AAATTACAAAATTTTAATATAAGCTGATTTTTCAGATAGATTTATTGATATTGCATTATTTAAATGAATAATGAAAAAAAATATCAAAAGATTAGTTGAGTTTAAATAAATTAACTTTGTTGCTCCCAATTGCTTACGTAATGACTTGAGCTCTTTTCTCGAAGAGTTCATAGAAATTGTTGATCAACACATGATGTCTATGAATTAATTTTTTGCTGTTAGATACAAGTGTTTAAATAATAAAAGTAAAAATAATCATCATAAAAATGTCTTTTATTTAACTGTTATCATTGTAGTACTTATCTCAATGAATTTTTTCATAAAACTCGCATTAAAAAAATCACACCTGATAAATATCTAGAGCACAGGACTATAGAAACAAACTATACAATAGAATTTAAAGAATGTAGATACACTACATCAGGTTAAACAAGTCCTCGTTGGTGAAATGCATCGTGATCAATCGAAAACACGTGGGTAGTTAAACTCATGTTTGCTTTATTGCGATTGCTAATATTGCGAAAATATATATACGCAAGTGTAACCTATTTCCATGCTACCTTTTCGATTTCCTATCAGAAGTCTCAATCGCTGATTCAATGAACAAAGGATTAATTTAATATCGCTTTTATATTTTATAATTAACCGATACAAATCCATTATATTGACTACTATTCCTTGTTACGTACAAGAATTAAAAAAAAAAAATTGTCTTTACATTTATCCTTCACATGTAGATCAATCTTAAGATTTTTTTTCCAGTATTTCTTTTGTGATTGGTCTTTTCTCTAGGAATTTATTTATGATAGAGAGCTAGTAAGAGTTAATGAATGCGATTTAATAAAATTTTTATGAATATTAGATGATCTGATGGTTTATATTGTTTTTAATTTATTGCTGATGAAGTAACTTTGTTTTCAGTTAGAGAAAATAAATGATATTCTTTAGAGTTATGTAATCTATTTTTTTTAGTGGTTCAGAAGTGGAAAGATCAATTGGAGGGTAATAAAGTAGATTTATGGTTTTAAAAAAAATCATTTTCAATGAATAAAAACAAAACAAAAGATTATATCCATTGAGATGCAATATTTTTTCAATAAAATTAAATTATTAATTTTTCATCCAGTTTCACCATAATACGTAATAAAAAGAAAAGAGTTGAAGGCAAATTAAGATATCAAATACTGCCAATCTGACTAGTCTAAAATAGGGTAAGGTTATAAAGATTGTAAGTTGAAACTAGAGCTGATTAAAAAATGTATAAATAAATTCTGCAAACTCGTTTTGAATAGAATAAACTATCCAATTATGAGCATTTTAATTTTAATTATTGGCATTCATTCTCTTTCACTATTTTTAATTTTTCTCTTAACTTACTGGTTTATTTTTTCAAAATATCAAGGCTAAAAATTTATTTATCCGTAATCTACATTTGTCATTCTTGACCACATGTATATCGTTTATCAATCCATCTAATATTTCTTTCAGGAAAAACATTATTGTTGGAAAATATTTAATTCATTTTTTTCTGAAATTATTTTTTATTCTGATTCTTTTTTTACGAATCTTCTTAAAAATAAACTGAGAAAATTTATAGGAATTCAATTAGAGAATCTTTTTTTGTATAGCAATAAAATATAGTTGGTATAATATAGCATACCAACTACATATACGATCTTAACAAATCATAAAGACAATAAAAAATCACAATATTTTCAGACAAAATATTGATAATTTTTTTGATTTTACGTTCACTTGTTATTAATCTGAGTTATTTACTATGTTAATTCATTTCCTTTTGATGAAAAGAAAAAACATAAATTCCATCAATAAAAAAAAGATTGCTTCCTTACAAATAAATATCAAATTATTAATTCATCATTGCAATTCTTTTTATAAAATGTCTATGTCACGACATATTCAATAATTAAAGTATTTGAATTTATTGAAAACATTGAAATTATATTATAATAAAATAATTTATTATTATTATTATCCATATAAACTCATCAAGTCTGGATGTGGCTTATTAAGAACGCCGGATGCTTTGTGATATTAATAAAAGATACGTAATGAATTTCTCGCACTAAATTACTTCAAACTTAAGTATTCAAGTTGGAAGAAGTGAGATATTCAATCTCGATCAAGTGCATAAGTTGTGAATAATCTACTACATAACTGTAAAATTAAAGTTGTGAAATTATCAAGACACGCAAAGCACTTACATTTCTACTACTGTAATAACTACTTTAAACTTATATATGTTGCTAAATATAGTGATTTATAAATCGTTGTTGATCGCAAGGATAAGGCAATAGACTAATCGCTTGGAACTAAAGACTCATATGTGAACAAAAAGAAAGCCCATTTGTAACATTGTTTCATTTTTTTCTTTTATTATTATTATTATTATTATTAACCCTTGCAAAATCAGATTATATGATATTAATAAATATTCAGTCGAAAGTATTTCATAAAAGTTATTGATTGTATAAGTATTAATTGTTGTTTATAAACAGTCTGGAAATCTGTCATCAGCTTTTAAAGTCAAGATTTATATGTTAACAATCAATGTTTTGTCTGTAAAAAAATAATTATTTGTTGTTTGTTAAATTATTAACAACCTTCTTCAGTTCTCTCAATCACCTATTACATGATGATTTTTCCAAAGAAATGTCCCCTTGTGGGCGGAAGAAGATAACTGAATTGTTTCGAAACATTCGATTGGTCTCTCCTTTCAATAAATTGGTCAATCTTGAAAATATCTGAATCTTATACGATATTGTAAATATAATATTGTAAGCATGTAACGATGTAGTAAGTGAAGATAAATAATGATAAAATAAAAAAAAAGAAATTAACTCCTTTAACATTTGGTATAGACTCCTATAGAGATGAAATTAAAAATATTCATTATTTTAGAAATTCAATGAGGTCCAGCAACGTAACCCAACTCCTGACCTTTCTAATAAAAACTTGTAGAGTTAGGAATGCTTACAATGAATTATTGAACATTAACCGGAAATCATTAATTTCTTTATTAAGTTTATAGCTGATTTAATTATTTGGTAACTATAAAAATTTTATAATTAATGAATTCATTGGAAGTTGGGAATATGTTTAAAATCATTAAAAATACCAAACTAACTAAAGATTTATTATGCATTGAATTGTATGGTGAGAAAGCATTAATAAATAGTCAGAATCAATTAAAATATGCTTCTATGATTTTAGTAATTGGGTAAATTTCACGTTGAACATTCAAAGACTTTTTCATTCAAGACATGAAAATTTTAAAAACAGAAATTAACTGAATAAAAATTGTTTGAATGTCAAAATAAATATTGTTTACCAAGATAGACATGTGATGTATAAAAAACTTTTATATAAAATTCAATAATTATTATTTACTATAGAATTTCATACATTTTTATGACAAGTTTTTTTAAAAATAATAATAAAATACTCCAAAACTCCCACGAACATGATGATTATACTCTGCTTATATCGAATACATTTATTTAATAATTCAAATTTTTAAGTTGAAACTGCCATTCATATTCTAATTTTTATTTTTACTTAAAGTAATGGTAGATAAATTCAGTGGTACCGTCAATAATTTTGAATATTACCTGTAAACAATCTCATTAAGTCCCATTATATTGCCGTAAATTGTAAAAGTTGTCAATATATTGGTTACTCAATATTATTCATGATTCATCACTCGTCTATTTTCAATCGAAAGTTTTTCAATTTGCTTCCTTCCGTTTATTTGTTTACTAGACAGTTCAAAAATTTATTCAAGGCTCTTTGATGTCAACAAAATAAAATTCACCCAGTAATGTATCCCAACCTTTTTTGGATCAGCAATATAATAATAAAAAAGCGAAAATGCATAATTCATAAACAAAACATTTTTATTGACTACTCAAAAATCTAGAATAAACATGTTCATGAGATAACTCGTCTTTTATAGAACTTTAGAATACTTATTTATCATTACGGAATATATAGCTATGGGAGCGCGAGAAAAAATAGTCAACAGATGAAATGGCTTCGGCCAAACGTCCTTGCAAGGTTGATACCGTAATGGCCAACGTTGAAGCAAACCGGAGTGTCTCGTTTCTCTCATATTTCTTATACGATTCTTTTTCCCCGCGACCCTTCTATATCTCCCTGGCTATTTCCCTTACATAATATACTGACGTTATTTTATTTGTGAAGCGATAAAAAAATTATAAAAAAATTAATACAGCACTTGCTATATAAAGAAAACACACGCTGACAAACGTTCACACATTTAATTCAGCATTCCAGAAGGATTCATGATGAGAGATTCCTGTGGAATGTGGAATGTACCAGTACTCCTTAACGCGTGAGTTCAATAGTGGAAGTAATATCCAGATACCAGATCGCAAGAGTTACCATGCTATATTTATTACTCATGCATATTGTCTTGCATTATATCAAAACTATCCTTTTCTTCAGTATATTTCTCCATTGCCTGGTATATTTATGCTCCTTAAATCAACTATTAGTAAATAATTCATAAATATTTTAAAGCATTCTATTTTTTTTTGTTATTCAATCATTTTTGCCTAATTGTTTCATTTTCAATTATATAAAGAGCAATGGCTATTAATTATTGCATAAAATATAAATTTATTGAGTATGTAATTTTTTTAACAACTACTTTGAAAAAAAAGTGTTACAACAGAACTGTCTTGTGGCAGCAACATAACTACCCTCTGGTGATATCTTTAAAATACGACTGGTCTCTAATCCTCTAGTTAGAAGTCCTGTTACTGCTTCAGGATAGTCTTGTCTTTGCCACAGGACAATCCTGTTCCTATCTCAGAATAGTCCTGTTACTATCACAGAATTGTCACCTTCAAAGAAAACACTGTTCCTGTACAGGCAATTTTTATTCATATTCGAAAAATCGAACTTGAGTAAATTCAGGTAAAGTTGAAATTAAAAATAAAATAAATATCTCAAAATTAAGATTATAAAGCAGCTATTAATAAATATCACCATTATTTTTCATGTCATTTACAATATGAAATAATTTCTCTTATTTTAGTGTTCACGCATAAAGCTTCATACAAGATGATGTAGTTGTCTCTCAGCTGCACTATCTGATTCCAAAGGTTCAAATGTGTAACATTATCGTTCACATCACCGTCATTCGTTGCTACCTTGAAGATAAATTCCACTTACTAATTAACGCTACAATGAATAAAAGAAAAATACCTACTTTATTATCATTACGCGCTCGATTGACTTGCAGATACTTGAGATGAAAAAAGAATTCATAAGCCCAACAATCAATAGTTTCTGTGTTGCGGGTTGCATTCATGAGTTCAACAGTCGGTTCAACGATCTTTATGGTTAACGCTTGAAGCCACCGCTTCAACTGAAATGCATTTTTATGGTATTGATCGATAGTTATTACAAGAATATTAATAATAACCTTTATAACAAAAACTCTTATTTATAAATTATCATGAATAACTTTACAAAATAAATTTAGATTCACATTCATTAACTCTTACGAAAGTAAAAGATAGAAAAGAAAGCTTATAAAACTTCTTTACATCATAAAAACAAAGAGAATAAGTATATATAAGTTATAAATAGATCAATCAAACATGTCTTATGAAGATGAATCCTGTGTAAAGAAGTTTTTCAAGATAAATGAAGTGAATATTAATCAATAATTCGTCAATTGACAGTGATCTATAGACATTCAGCTCACGATTGTTGTGTCAGCAATGAACTGGACTATTATTGGCCTCAGTATTATGATCAATTTGCCAACAGTCGTGGTATCTTCCTCCAAAGGAACAATACGAGTTGACAACGTATTACTCCAATCAGCACAAGGACCACATTGGGCATTTTTCAATTGACGTCTGTTACAATTGAATTATCATTATTATTGTTGTTATGATTATCATCTTTATTGCTACAACTATTCTCTAAAAATAAATCAACTGTATTGAATTTTCTAGTAAACTTAACATAAACTGGTTAGCTAGTAATTTAATATTTATTTTTCGATTGATAATAAACTTGAGCTTATTTATTTATAAATCTCAGTATTTTCAATATTTATAACAGAGAAATACCACAACTGAAATTGATAGTTCATAGACCTGCCAAGAGCATGAATAAGCATGAAAAAGCTAAGAAGAATAATAGAGAATAGATCAATTGCAATTTAATTCAATTTCATTTAGTTTATTATAAGGACCACTCCTTTTAGTATCAAAAAAATCGATGATTTTTATTTTTTTTTTGTCATTAAATTCTTTCAGATAATTTCATAATTAATTTATTGAATGATTTAGCAAATTTTCATTAATAATCATCAATATTTACTGATTTATTATCGGAAAATGTATTCAATATTAATTAATTCATTCAAAAATTTAAAATCAATAGAAAAACTAAACATTTCTTACAGTCACAATTGAATGAATGTGAAACGATTTAATTATGTTAATTAACAAACCTCCGGAAAAACATGGAAATTATATAATCCATTATGTGCCAAGAAGATGTAATAATAACAGTTTTTGTCGAAACTGCTAATTTACTAGCTATAAAAGCAATCAGTTGACCTAAAACTGCCGGACGACGACGTAATAATGAACGATGAGATCCATGAACACGGTAGCAACGTCGTTTACAAATAGCATGCCGACTTCGTCCTCTTTCATTACATGTAGTCAATGAATAACTTGTCAAAGAATTTATATCAAAATTAGAATTATTTAATTTTCCTGAAACTGTATTGTTTATTATGATAATTTGTTTATTCAAGCTTAAAGTAAACAGTTTATTTAGACATACCTCCTGAAGTAACTTTAATAAATTCTCTATTTGTTGATGATCCACAGAGTTTATTAACCAGTTGAGTATCATTAGTATTGGATTTGATTGAAACTGGCTCATAGATTTCGATAATATTATTCAAATCAGCAACTTTGTTTGGAAATTTCTCAAGAATTTCTAATGCCTGGAGAAAGCAAAATGTAAGTCAATAATTGGAATTATTGATTGTAAATAATGATGAATATTGTTTTTATTTATTTGTTCATTATTATAATTTTAGATGTTTTCCTTAACATCAGAATCATCTTAAACAATTTAAAATGGAAATATTTAACAAGAAGTATCTCAACATCATATTTCCTGTTTAATATTTTTTTTAATAATTCTATTTTGAATAAAAAACGCTGAATATGCAATAAAGAGATGCGAAGCAAGTATACTTCTATTTGAGAGTTAAGGGATAAAGAATCTTTCTGTTAGGTCTTCATTCATAACATTAAGCAGTGGATCATTTAATTCCCGTTTTTTGTTTCAAGTAATTGAAATCTTCATAAAGTTAACTTAATATTATTTTACCTTGGGACACATTTTACCTTGAAAATATAATCCATAAAATGTTACACATCTGGTTTATTGAATCAATGTATCATTCATATTTTCTGTTATTATAATCTCAGCTACCTTTGGCTTTCTTAAGATAAATTATATGTTTATTGAATCTGTGTTACATTGATCCAATTTGATTTGATATGAATGATAGCATTGATTACTTAAAGATCCAAATCGTTGGATTTTTTCAATATGTGTACGCCAATTCAGTTGATCTACTTCATTTATGTGAGGTTAATATATTGTATTTAAGATACTAGATAATATTTGATGAGATAAAAAAAATTCTTAATTTTTAAAAATAATTGCCTAAATATCTATTTGTTTAAAATTACTTTAGTTACAGATATATGGTTATCATGTAATTTCAATTTTTAGTAAACCTGTTGAAGTTACTAAAATAGTTTACTTTTATGAGACACCTGAAAATAAATGCTAACTTATGTACCTGTTTTTGAAGATGCTCTAAAGAAGCAATTGTGTCGAGTTCGTTTTTCATATTTGGTTTATTTAATATTCCATATAATTTAGGTAATTTTTCATTAATTTATGTTTGTTTAAAAGTGACAGATAATAAATAAAAATTATAATAAAAAAAAATGAATCACGATTGTGTATCAATCGAATGATATAAAGACATTTTTAATAAACAATACTTGACAAAAAAGTGTTATGGTGATGAAAAAATGATATTTTTTAAATGAATTTGTATTTTGATTTTATTATAATGATGCTATATTAAATAAAGATCATTTATTTTTTAGTTCTAGAAATTTCGGTGAGCAATGAGTGATGTACAAATTGCTACAACTTCAGCAGTTGCCAAAACTTCATTTAATATATGTAGACATTGTACTAAATTGTACTAAATTTTGGCTTTATATCAAAAATGTTTATTTGTATCAGTTGTTACTTAGATAAATCTAAATATATGAATTTTCAAATTCATAGATTCAAATTAACGAAATAACTATTTAATGACAAAATAACTGGTTTTGTTTTCAAACCTCATACAAGAGTATAAATAATAATTATCAATAATAAATCAATCAAACATAACATCTTTATCAAAGACGTCAGACAAAATAAAATATAAATAAGAATAATCTTCATGATGTTTGAATTTCCCGCGTAATCAATTACAGTGGAAAGGAATTTTTTCATTAATATTATCATTCTAAATGTTATTATTAATATAAAAAATATAAGTCTATGCAGTAATAAATTTAAACATATATAAATGTTGGTCTTATAAAGAAATACAATAGTATTTAAATTTATATATGATAATTTTTTTGCTTCAAGATACTTCCTGTTTGAAGTTGCACATTTCAACCAGCATCTAGTGTGGTTATATTTTATAATAATTTTTATTTTTCGTGTTCTCTATAATGGATGATACTACTGCACAAAAGGTAATTCGTTTGTAATTAAATTAATCATCTATAATATTTTAACAAAAAAATTTTTTCATTACCCGAATATTTAAGTACTTCTAGCGATGGTACATTGTTGGCATCGACCAGTACTTGAACTTCATCAAGATTGTTTATTTTCTTGATCACGCTTTCTTAAATCCTAGTGTTAATTATTAATAACTCCTTTTTTGAATTTAAATTTTACATTTTTCTAGATTCACATATGCTAAATTCGCATCATTAACTACTTTCATTTCTAACAACTTCGTTTCATTATTGAATAAGTCAATTCTAACCTTCCTTTGTCCAACTAATAACGTTGAGAACGTTTTAAAATCTGTTTCGATGAGTTAAAATTAATTCAATATACATTTGCTAATGGTTCTGACTTTTTATAAAAATTATTTTATTTAAATAAAAAAATAATTTTTTCGTCAATCTGTATAAAATCTGTGATATATATTTGCGATTACTGATAATACATGAAGTACAATAATTGATTTTGCTTTGTTTAATCTTGATAATAAAATTACTATATAATATACGTATGTATAAAATGACTTTCAATTGAGCTTGAGGTTACTTATTCATATTCATCTTTTAGCAAATCAAATTGATGTTTGATATTTATAAATTTTGAGTAAAATTAATCCATAATTCAAAACAATCTCAAAGCATTTGAAAGTCAAAGAAAAATAAATATTGGTATTAACACTTTTGATTTGAAAAAATTGAATAGTAAGTTTTTACATTACTAAACATCATTTTTTTAATTCATCACTAAACTAATAGTAATTTCTAGAGTATAATGTATACCTCCTTGGAAACAAAATCAATGTTGGCAGATTCTATAAAAAGGGTTAGCAGAATCTAGCAAATGATTGATAATTGTTATTAGTTACAGTTTTGTTTGAGTTAATTGAATAGAATTGTATGTTACAGGTTCAAGAATATAAAGATTCCTTAAAAAGTAAAGCTGAACAACTATTACTTAAAGGATTCCCTGAAAAAATAGTTAAACTGAATGAGTTATTAGCGGCACCAAGTTTTTCTAATCGTGTTTTATCAGAAGTTCATCAAGAATTAAATGTTACCATTCCAGACCCCATCTTAATTAATCACTCTGATGAAGGGCATAAAAATAAAAGAGTAAAATTAGATAATAACAGTGAAGATGTACCCGGCACCAAAGTTATGATTTTGCCAAATGGCCCAATACCATGCAACAAACGTCTATGTGACATGATTCGCATAGTTAAACCATACATTATACAACTTTTGGAGGATTCTAATTTGGTAAAATTTTTAAATCTAATACAATTAAATTTCAGCTAGTGATTTTCTCATAATTGATATATTTTTTATAGTTGAAAATGTGGATTTCATTCATGATTCCGAAAATTGAAGACGGAAATAATTTTGGAGTCTCTATTCAAGAAGATACTTTAGCCGAAATTCAATCTGTTGAAAGCGAAGCTGCTGCATTTTTTGACCAAATCTCTAGGTAATTAATTTAATTATCTGAATATTAAATAATTTTTAAGATTCATGCAACATTGATGAATCGAGAATTTTTGATCATATTATATTAATTAAAAATATTGATATGAACTTTAGGTACTTTGCGTCGAGAGGAAAAATTCTCAGTAAAGTCGCAAAATATCCTCACATTTTGGACTACCGACGAGCGGTTCAAGAAATGGATGAAAGAGAATATACAAGTTTATGGCTTGTCATGAGCGAAGTACGCAACCGTTACTGCTCGTTACATGATTTGGTAATAAAAAACTTAGAAAAAATAAAAAAACCGCGGTCATCAAATGCCGAATCTCTTTATTGAAATACTGTCTGATTGAAGAATATCGAAAAGAGTGTATCACTAAAATACGTACATACAAATATAAAGTGGATACGTTCTGTTAAGAATCATGAATAAAATTAATATTATTTTTCCAGTACTATTTTAGCACATTAATTGATTTGTCTGTAAAAAAACGATGTAATAATTGTATTATGAATTTAATCTAAGAACGTATAACCTTGACATATGATTGACACTCTTTTCAACACCTGAAAATTCGAATTTTGTCAGTACCTCTGTAAAGATTTACCTAGAATTATCATAAAACAATTGTGATAGTTCTTTCAAATTTAATAAAATACTCGACTAAGATTTTTTTCATTGATGATTTATTTTTTAATAAATAAATAACCTAATTAATACTTTTTAACAAATTAAAATATTTGGAAATATTTTTATTTATAAATTTTAGTAGATTTAAAAAATAACTACTTCGTGCCATTGCCGCCGGAAGTTTGATGTTTCATCGCTATGCCACTAGAGGCATTTAAAACGCTACCAGGTGGCGCATGGTGATGCGACAATTAGTTTCACCACCAGGCGGCGCACAAGACTGGTAGTCTAGGCAACGAAAACAGTTTGCAATCACTTGAGACTTAGATGCCAACCAGTGCACACCGTGTATTTTTTGTTCTGTTTTTTTTGCAAAAATACAAGCGCAGTTTCAATTTTATGCAACAATTGCATAATCGAAACTTAAAAACGAACATTCAAAAGTGAAAGTGAGTGTTTGTGATAGAAAAAGTTTGATTTATACAGTTGAGGTTAAGTGAACGAACAATGTCGAGTTGGAGTTCCGAAAATAGTAAAGGGATAATCCCTCCACGATGGTTACACTGTCCTCGAAAAAGTATAAAGTTGATAAACAATAAATTTCTTGCATTTAAAACACCACTATCAGAAGAATTTGATAGTCAAGTTTCTGAAGAATGTCGTTTTTCTGTGGACATGTTGTTTACATCATTGAAGAGTCAAGGACTGAAAATGGGATTACTGATAGATTTGACAAATACTAACAGATTTTACAATAAAGCTGACGTGGAAGCCCATGGTTGTCGTTACTACAAACTTCAATGTCGAGGTCATGGAGAAACTCCCTCCATAGAACAAACCAAGGTTTTCGTTGAAATTTGCAAAAATTTTATTGCACGAATTCCATCGGAGATTATTGGAGTCCATTGCACCCATGGTTTCAATAGAACTGGGTTTCTTTTGATAAGCTACTTAGTTGAAAATGATATATTTAATTTGGACGCTGCTGTTAGTGAATTCTCATCTATCAGACCACCTGGAATTTACAAGGAAGACTACATCAAAGAGTTATACAGACGATATGATGATGAAAGTGATGCACCTCCTGCACCACCACGTCCAGCTTGGTGTTTGGAATACGACGACTCCAAAGAGGACGATGAAGAACATGACCAATCTGGAAGTAGGAAACATACTCGAAGACGTAAGGAACATATTGTTAAAAATCCAGTTTTCATGGCTGGTGTTCCTGGAGTGGTACCTGTACAAGATTTAGCAAAAGTTACAGGAATTCGAAGAAGAGTTCAAGAAATATGCCAATGGAATAGAAGTGGCTTCCCTGGTTCTCAACCAGTCTCCATGGACCGGGAAAATATTGTTCTACTTAATATCAAACCATATAGAGTATCATGGAAAGCTGATGGTACTCGTTACATGATGTTCATCCGAACAGACAAAGAGGTATTCTTCATCGATCGAGATAATAGTGTCTTCCAAGTGTCTGGATTGGAATTTCCACACCCTCGAGATCTTCCAAGAACTCTAAAAGATACATTATTGGATGGCGAAATGGTTATTGATATAGTAAATGGTACCGGATATCCCAGGTACTTAGCTTATGATGTAATCATGTATGACGGGAAAGATGTATCTAAAAAATCATTTTTTCCTGATCGATATACCATCATCGAGAGAGAAGTAATGGGAGGCCGACATAGAGCATTAAAAGAAAGTAGAATACACCGAGAACAAGAACCTTTTTCTATCCGGCTGAAGCATTTTTGGGATATCACACAAGTCAAGAGTTTGTTGAGTGAAAAATTCGCCAAACAATTGGGTCATGAACCAGATGGATTGATCTTCCAGCCTTCGAAAGAGCCCTACATGCCTGGAACTGCAGCAGAAGTCTTAAAATGGAAACCATTGTCATTAAATTCTGTAGATTTTAAATTAAAAATAGTCGTTGAATCAGGTATGGGTATTTTACCCAAAAAAATAGGTCATTTATATGTTGGAGGTTTAACAGAACCCTTTGATTGCATCAAAATTACTAAAGAAATTAAAGATTTAAATAATGCAATAATTGAGTGTAAATTTGAAAATGGGCGTTGGGTGTTTATGCGTCAAAGAACGGATAAATCATTTCCCAATTCTTTCACCACTGCTCAGTCTGTTTGCCAAAGTATTAGAGAACCTATTACTTCGGAATGTTTGTGTGATTATATTAATAGATATAAATTTGAAGATGATTCTGATTGTTTGCCTCCACCATGTAAACGACGTAGATAACAATTGACAGAAAAATTAGAAAATTAATCATGTTCAAATTGTATTTTTTTAATGTTAACTTTAAGCTTCATAAGTTGTAAATATTACTTATTATTAATTCAAATTAATATTTGTATAGAGATTGAATTTTCTTGAATAATATATTTTTTCAAGTTAGATTGCAAATAAAACTTAAATTAAATTTATTGAAATTTTTTTAAAGACTGGAAAGAATGTGTAATATATAAATGATAGTAATTGTACTATAATATTTAATGGCTTCTTTTAAAAATCAATTTTATTTCATTAAGTAATTGAAATGTACTATGTATTTTAACTTAAGAATTTATTTTTGTTAAATGTTATTTTTTTTAATAGCATATTTCAAGTTAAATTAAATTTTTTTACATAGAGTGTTTAGAAACTGGAATGCATGTGTGATATTGGAATGATAGTAATTGTATTATGATATGTAAAAATGTACTGTATATATCTATTTATTCGAATTAAATAAAATTTTTTATATCGTTTTTTCCTATAAAAAAAGCATTTCTTAATTTAATTACTTCTCATAGACATAAGTACATAGTAATTAGTTATTAAGAATTATTAATTTAGAAAAAAAAAACAAATAATAAATTCAAAAATATATACTTAAAAAGCTTAAAATACTAAAAATTACTCATGTCTCCTCATTTACTAAACAATAAGCATTTTTCAAATTAATAACATTTATTATTAATGTAAATAATAAAATCTCAACCCTTCATTCTGATTCAATAATATTTCTAGACATGAGTTATTAGTTATTAAAAATAAGAAAATTTTTTTAAGAATTTTTTAAACATAAGTTTATAGTAATAAGCTATTAGGTTTTGAGAATTATTAATTTAAAAGAAAAAAAAAATTTTTTAATCCATATATCTATTTATTGACTACCAATATGGACAGTTGGAAAGTTTTCATGCTTTGAGAAAAGTATAATCTCCTAGAGTAATAGTTTAGATTAACAAATCATCGAGAATATTTTTGAAAATTGTCGAATTTTGTTTAACTTTGTCGTATATTTTTCATTCCTGGTAGGCAAATTTTCACCCCTAACAGCTATAATTACCTGTCGAATCTTCAAGAGTGCAATAAAATAGAATTAGAAAGTTAGGATAATAATGTACTTACACTCTTTCAAATAGGGATTAAAGAGTGGAAATCCTTCGAAAAATTTTAAATTGTCATGCAGGTACCATGAAATAGTCAAAGTTCTCTTTTACATTTAGGATGATTCATACTTTTATGATAGGTACTCTGTTGCAAAGAAGATTAGAACTGACTATTCTAGTCGTTTTAATCCTTATTCAAAAGTGTTTAAGTATATTATTTCTTAGAAGGTTTTGATTCTACTTTGTTTTTAATTTTATTGCACTTATAAAGGTTCGAGAGGTAATGGTGGCTGTAAAGAGCAAAAGTTTGCTTACCTGGGCGTTTGTTAATTCGAAAGATTGTATTGTAAAATTTAGTATGTCTTTTATTATACCCGTATGGAAGTTGTACTAAACTTGAAAAATAATATATATTTTCATGGCCAAAGAAAAGTTGTTGAAGGAAAGTGATGAGAAGTTTAGATATAATTTTGAATTCGACTTTAAAAACTTAGATAAGTGAAAAATTAATTATTATGAATATGATTATAATTAGGCTACACATGTACGAGTTTCTCCTGATGGAAAAGCCATTATCATTTTTTCCATTAATAAATAAATTAATGTCATCTTGTGGTCGTTTCATTGCTACTTCAGGTATTTATTTATTTCTTAGTAATTAACGAAGAAAATTTTTCTTTAATGTAAAAATTTCTAGAGTTTACTCCAGATGTTAAGGTGTGGGAAGTAGGCTTTACTAAGCCTGGAGAATTTAAACAAGTCATCAAAGCCTTCAATTTGGCGGCCATCCATCAGGATAGTAAAAAAATACATTACATACATAGAGAGAACAAATAGGCCAGTGCAAGTCATACAGTTTAAAATGATCTAATTGTCTTTCTTAGGTTTATATGCTATTTTTTACGATGTCTGCAAAAAAAGTATTGAACAGAAAGTTCAATAAGTCCTAAATCTCAATAACTTTCCATAAAAGTATGATAAAAAAACATTTTAAAATTATAAACATACTGATTTACATGATTTTTAGCTGTTATTATTACTTTTAATAGAAAAATATTCACTGATTGGAAAAGCATGTCATTGAGCAAAATTAAATTCATAACACAATATAAATATTTATGGAAATGTGTTGAAAAATTTTAAACAGACTATTTCCTTGTAGTAACAAAGATATACTATAAAGCAATTATAGACTTTGTATAACAATATCCAACTATTAATATAAATATTAGAATTAAATACATAAATATAACTTTAGTTGAATATAAAATATAGATATATTGTGTAAATGCAATTATTATATTATGAATTTTACTACTTCATAAGTAGTAATAAGAAAGAAATTATCATATGAGTTTTTAGGAAACAAGTCTCAAATAATTTTTTTAAAATAAAGTTAAGCGTAATAAAATATAAGTATAAAAAGTAATTATAAAATAACCTATTTTACAAATTTCATAAATTATCTAAAAATACCATTTTTAGACCACACACAGTGAAATCCATACTTTTGAATCTTTATAAATTACTAAAAGTCTTAATGGAGTCATCATAGTTTGATTTCTTTTACATACTGCTATTTGTTATGCTCAGAGCAAAAATCTCAAAAAAATATTACATGACCAGGGTAGAAAATTAAACTATCCCAAACCATGCATTTAATACTCTTGCTTTTAAGACGTTGACAATATTGCACATGATTTCAGCCAATTATAGCAAACTTACTTCACTTCTCTAGCTTGTGATTTTATTTTATACAAATATCGCGAAAAATTTGTCTCTTGAATGATTTTAAATTCATTAATTAGATACATGAAGTGGCACATTAGAGCTTCCTTAAATACTTTTATATTTCAACAAAAGCCAATTTTCTCAACTAAATTTTCCTGGATTTAGGAAACAGCGTTGAAAGCCGATGTTACTAAGAAAGTACGGAACATTCTGGTTGTCAGTTCTTAATGATTTTGAACGCTCATTAATCTGAAATTTCAAAATTATCATTATAGAACAATATGTTATAAAATATTTTAAATATAATAACATATTATATACCACTTTAAACAAGTCTTGCACATGAGTATTATGTGCGTATTTCATAAAAACTTCACATAGAACTTGTATGAATAGAGAACCATTTTTTGTTATTCCATGTGTATTATCGTACATTATTGAAAAAGATATCAACATATCGGAATAATTTCGTAGCTTCCTTCCTGCATCTTTTTTCGAAATGTCTCGTAAATTGAATTCATGTATTGTATCATCATTTCTATCAACTGTTACAACAGTATTATTTATATGAATTGAACTGCAACAATGTAATATTTAAAAATCAGATTCAAAGGAAAAGTTCGTATTTCAATTATCAATTATTGTTTTTATAATAAATATATTATTACTTCTAGTATTTAATAATATTATGGAGCAAATCCAATTTATCGTAAATTTAATAAAAAGATTACATGTTATTTAAACAGTGCATTAAGTAGTTTTTTCCATAGATTTATTCAATTGTATTTTATCCCTTATATATGAATTCATATTTTACCTGCCAAGATGAAATATAAATATTTTAGGTTTATTCAATAAATTTGGACAGTTTTGACCGTTGAAATAATGTATGAGATCACCATAAACTATATTGTCAGTTGATTTACTATCTTCTTTCCATCTTATATTTTTAAGACTCATCGAAACATAATTAGTATCTTGCACATTATTCCCGACGACAATAAAAAGAGCACAGTCCACGAAACGTAATTCAGAACTTTTGGAAAATTCTTTTGCTTTTTGCTTTATTTCCTAAAATTATAAATTATAAGTAAAACGAACTTCAAGTATAGATCGAATTTATTGACTAGAGTTACTATTATACATACCTGAACATCCAAGTTTTTTTCAATAATAACTTTGAAACCCATTTGATGAAAAAGATCTTTCAGATTTTTTTCATCATGTTCAGCAGACTTCTGACTAGTCTCATTATCATTAACATTGTATAACGACATAATTAACACTATTCCACGTGGTTTACTTTTCATCGGATAAGCATCAAAAGGATTTTTATGATCGAAATTATTAAGATCATCATAAAAACTTGTGGATTTTTTTACTTTAATTTTTAAAGGTTGAACAGCATTGAAGGGAACGTATTCTAAAGTTGTCCTATCAAAACAGAAATTGATATGAATAATTACATCAATCTGTAATTTAACATTCATAAATCATTATAATACTCATAATAAACTATTGTATATACCTGGCTAATATTTGAGCACAATTAACTTGATTAGTATCTTCTAAACTACGAATTAAGTTTTGGAAGGCATCAGGACCACGGGTTTGTATTTCGGTTAAAATACTCTTTATTACTCTTTGACTATTCAAATTATTCTGCAAGTAAATAATTTAATTTTTATGTAATAGTAAAAACAATAGAAATAGAACAAAAAACAAAATAACGGTGATACATACTTGCCATTTAGACATTTCTGGATAATTTTTAAAAAAAATTCCAAATTCTATCAGTTTCGGCATTAAAATTTCCATATTAATTAAACTTGCAAGTTTATCAAGGTTTTCTTTTATTTTAATACGATGCATGGTTTCCATGTTTATTTTGTCAATGTTTTATAAAAAACTTTATAAAAAATTAAAAGGTTAAGGAGCAAGTTTTGGCACGAAAAGATTCAGCATCACTTGGCACAAAGAATTCTTATGCATGATCTTCATTTATGCATGTATACATACATGTATTTTAAATAAAAATTATTGTTGCTAGGTTCATGAAAAATTGGTACTAAAATAATTTTGTCTTGGTCGAATATTAACAGAATAATATTTATTGACTAAATTATATCTACTCCAATTTAATTATTTTCGTCAACTATAACGATTCTCTATCGTTATCTACGTTTTTTAATTAAAAAACTATGATAAAATATAAAACTAAACCATTTTCTTTGTTGCATTTTAACTATGTACTTGAGTAATAATTACACATTGTTTGTGGTATTATGATACTTCTAACAACTACAGACAGTAAAAAAATGGCTCAATTTTCATGAAATTCTTCGCGACATTTAAACCTGTAGTTTTTTATCGTAGTGAAGTTAGCTGAATATCACAATAGCTATGCGATTTGATACATTCAAATATCGACATATCGAATAAAAAGTAACATCACTCGAATGATCGAAAAAGTAATTTCAAATTGAAGATATTTATTCTATAAGGTTTCTGTAATAAGAGTTTATTCAATTAGGTACATTTTACCAATGAAAATAATTATTTTGAGAATGTATTATAGATTGAAAGAATTATAATTAGTGTTATGAAATGATTATTTATTGAGAATAATGATTTATTCAACAATTTTAAAGAAGCAATTATTTATACTTCAACATTTAGTATTTATATATATTTCATCTATATCATTTTATTTCAAGTAAAGCTGCAAAAAAGGTTGAATATCAAATATTAAATTTTTCGTAGTTTCATTAAAATTTTCTCATAGGTCTAAATTTTTTATGTGTTACTAAAAAACTTCTTGATTTTAGGTGACGTTGGAATTTAATTAATTTTTTTTGTTGAGTGTAATGTTGATTCCACGGGTATAAAATTCGTTCAAAAATACAAATAATGGCAGAGAGAATAACTCCTACAAATAAAAATAGAAATATCATGTACACATGATATAAATGAATTTTTTGTACGATTTGTTCCTGCAATTGATTATAAGTCCGAACTTGGAGCCAACGTTCTTTTAATCCATCGACTAAACCAGTCTCAGATAACCGAATTAATCTGGAAAGATAATTAGTTTAATTTTTAATGATCAATCAAGTCACATAATTATTGTTAATTTATGTAAATTACATAATACATAAATATATTAAATTGGAATCATTTAAGTAATATGATAACAGATGAATATGAGACATAAGATGCCAAGTATCATTAATAATTAATATACCCAATATCAAAAGCTCGTTTATATTTAAACCCCTTGACAACACCACTCGTTGTCCACGTTCCAAACAAAGGTGATCCAGTTGGGATAAGGTTACAGGCATATCTTGACGCTTGTTGTTTATCCTCAGACCCAATCATTGCATATTTTTTTTTGCTCCAACATACTTTCTCTCTCATTTTGCGGCTTGATTCTATGTAAATGAAGCGATCACGATATTTTGGATATCGTTTTATTTCCATCTACATTGTAATATTATTTCTCAATTATTGAAATGGATACAAGAGTAAATTATTCGGATAATAATATTTTCAAGTAATTATAAGTTTGAAGAGACGAACTATAATTAATGGAATAATATTCATAAGTTTCAATAATCCCTATAGCTACAGTGCAAATGAGAAAGCAGACTCCTGGAAGTCTGGCTCAAGTTCTGAGCTAAACTTGACATAAGACTTACTGCTGTTTACTTCTAAATGCACAATGTGGTTACTCGAGAATAGTTTAATAATTACTTAGTTAGTCACAGTCGAATCTCTTTACTTTATAATTATAATAAAATTCTCATTGTTACCTTAACATATCCATAAGCCAATGATCCATTATAGATCAGAACATTGTAATTAGTACTATTCAGAAGTGAATGTAAATTCTTAAAAGGTGGATCCATTTTAAAATTAGTCATATAGGATACTAAATGAGAGCTCACTGTAATAAGAAGAAACCAAGAAAAAATTCTTTTTGATAGTTCTAAGATCTTACACTCTTCTTCTAGATCTTTGGGTAACCAGCCTAGATATATATTTAGATTTCAATATACTCTGTATAATTTTTTTAATTGAAAAAAGTATTGTTTGACAAAAAACCTTGGGAACAAAGTGCTGCAAAAGTGTAGAACAAATAATCTTGAAAAGTCCAATAATGCTTTTGATTCATCAATCGACGGGATATTTTTCCAGCAATTGTTCCTAGTATGCTGATAATAATTGTTATCACGCCTACTACGATCCATGTTTTATACGAGAAAAGCTTAAAAACCCATGAATCGTTAGATTTATATTCTGGACGATTATATAACTGAAAACTTTAAAAAAAATTACTAATTTTTGTTTTTATTCTAATAATTATTGTAACAGATGCGGTTTACTTATTTTTCCACATTGGTATTGTGTAATCCATAACATGCAAATAAGCTCTAAAAAAATTCACTCGTGGTATTACATGTACTTCACGTCTCTGCATTAAACCGAGGAGACCAGTGAGACTTCCATTTTCCAAGGTATGACCAAAAACCTCATCGTCAATTCTTACAGGCAATAATCTGAATGATAATATTCAATTATTTAGTAATGTTTTTCAAAATTATCGCTCATAAATGTGACTAAAAAACTACTTTGATTCATTTGACTTACGTAAAATTGAGATATTCTGCTAATAAATTCCATATTTCTCCACACACTCCCGAAACCTTTTTATCATGATCATAAAAATCAATTAAAAAACTTTCCTAAAAACATAACAAAATAAAATAAGTATTTAACTTAACAATTAACAAAGAACTTTTAAATTTTAAATGGATCAGTGCATTAATTATTTACTTGAAAATAAGCAAATTTTATTAACTCTCCTTGAAATTGATGATTTTCAAATAATTTACTCCGTTGCTCTAAATCTTTTCTTGACTTTTTTTTAACAGCAACATCACTGTATCCAGAAACATTGAGAGGAATAAAATTTCCATGATCTTTTTTCCATATAAGATATTCTCCTGAAGAAATTGGAAAATGCTCCAGATAAATAAAAAAAATGTAAATCAATTTTACGTGGTGCATCGCTGTTAGATATACTGAATGAGCAAACAAATAATCTTACAATATATTTACCTATCATCTAATAGACTCATTTGTATCAAAAATAACAGCAAATTAGCATACATAGAATCATATAAAAAGATTGATAAGAGTTGACATAAAACTTCTGCAATAGTAACTAGACTTCATTGCTTTATCATATTACCTTGACCATAAAATACGATCATTTGCTTGATTACAACTTAACACGCTATTAGATCGTTGGAGTCAAATTGAATTTCATAAAAAAACCAGGATTTAATAAAATAAATAGAGAGTCCAGTAGATATTTACGAAAACATTAATTTTGTATTATATCTGATTAAATATATAAAAATTTTACAGCATTGTATAATTTCCTTCACGAAGATGTATATTTAATATAAATAAAAGATAGCTTTATATATTATTGTTTTTCCATGACGAATCCTTGAATCGGTTTATATTATTGAAGAAATATATATCAGGTGAAAACACAATATCACTTCTTAGATTCGTCATATAATTCATTCAAATTTTATATTTTCTTAGCAAAAATTCTTTTTGCTTGTTATATTTTAAATAAAAAATTATAAAACATTACATTTATCTTGATAAAAAAGTACCGCAGACTACTTACTAAATATTGAACTTTAAGTACATCGTGATATAAAATGCTATATCTTTAAAAGATATATGCGTTTAAAATACTTTTTCTTAAATTCTTCACACTGCCCCCATTTTCTATACATTCAATGAATAACTGAGAAAGTTTTAAACAGTTAACACTTATATCTTGATATAGAAATAAGTATAAGTCATAAATATGATATACATTGGACATTACAAGGAATATCTTGTTGTCTTGTAGAACACATATATTATTGTTTCCATTTATCTAAAAATGGAATTGTGTATGATTGACATCGCTATGAGCTCGAGTGTCAATTGTTTAATACTTTAGTACCTTGTTAATTATTGCTACACATGTAGATGTTTTTTTCTCTAAATCTTAATAAATAATGTAAAATGCAAATTATTAATCGATCATCAGTCGTAAATACTCACTTAGCGATGCCAAGTGTTTGAAACAATAACATCAATAAAAATCAATAGAAAATATTAATAGATAATCGACTCACTTAGAGAGTCTAGTTTCAGTACCAACTTTATTAGAATCTGCTAATCTTACGACCATTTGTGCTCCATTTTGAGTAGCTTTAGCAACTGGAGAACCTTTGTTTATTTGATGAGGTGGACTAACTGGTAAAACTCTTTTGGCCCCTGTTAATTTGGGTGAGTGACAAATTTTATCATCACTTAAATTGACATTAGTTATAACACTATTCTGACTGTCTGTTTTTCTTACAAGCATTGTTTCTTGACTATTTTTAAAAGTTGAATCCTTACGATTCAATGAATCATGATTGATAAAAATAGCTGGTGAACCAGTTTTACTTCCGCTCTTCTGACTCGTCAGGTAGGCCTGGTTAACGTACCAATTGTGCAGTCGATGATGTATTTCAGAAAATTGAGGCCTGCGATTCGCTATTTCATGCCAACACTCAATCATCAGACTGTAAATCATTGTTAAGCAGTCTTCAGGACATGGCAATAATTGTCGAGAACGAATCATGTCAATGACTTCTTGATTATTGTAGCCATAATATGGCTGTAGGCCGTAACTATAAATCTCCCATAAAACAACACCAAAACTCCATACATCAGATTCAGTAGTGAATTTTCCATAAAGAATTGACTCAGGTGGCATCCACCGCACAGGTAAAAGACTTTTGGATTGAACGCGATAATAATCACTGCTATAGATATCACGTGATAAACCGAAATCTGATATTTTTACTGTCAAATTTTCTCCCACTAAACAATTTCTCGCAGCAAGATCACGGTGAACATAATGGTGGCTGGCTAAATATTCCATTCCAGATGCGATTTGTAAAGCAATATGTAGAAAATCTCGTTGGTCGAGGATTTTGCCTGTTTCATTATTTATTGGAGCATCAGAGCGCGGTGAATGATTAATAAGAAACTCATGAAGATCTCCTTCAGTCATATATTCAAAAAGCATACACATTGGTTCACCCTTTAAAATAACTCCCAACAAACAGATAATATTCGGGTGTCGTAAATCAGTCATAAGATCAACTTCTCTCTTGAAATCACTTTGAGTTTTAGGTGTTGCGTTTTCTTTTAATGTTTTCACTGCTACGTAAGTTGATTCTTGACTCTTAGCTCCAAGTACCGGCTGCAATTCTCCTTTATAAACTTTGCCAAATGCACCTTCTCCTAATTCTTGAATAAAAATGACGTTTTCTAATGAATACTGTGGTACTCCTCTAGTTGCTGAAGCTCTACTACTAGCAACACTACTAAGAGTTCCAGTTCCAGGTGTTGTAGCGCCATTACATACAGCTCCAGCACTGGCACCGGCAAGAAGTGAACTCATTTCAATAGGCTGACTAGTATTTCTTCTGCCATCATAAATATTTTTATCACACTGGACACCAGTTATCATTTTTCCACATGGTAATAAATTATTAGAAGGCTGTCGTCTTACTTTTCTATTTCTGTAACAACAGCAATAACATGCTAGAGTGAAAATAAATCCAGCCGAAAGTACGAAACTAATAGTCACATAGATCCAAATTTTATCAACACATTTCATGATAACACAAGGTTCCTTTTGCATTTTATTATTAGCATCAACATAGCACCAAGGTTGCGCTTCCTTTCCACCCGGATTTCGACAGTAGGAATGCCTTCCACGCAACTCTGGATAGTCCGATAATGGAAGATTATAGTGATCCAACCACTTAAGACAAGGACGATTAGATATACTATAATTAACCGTTCCATTATAAGTCACACCATTGCCCCAATAACAATCAACATTTTCTTGGGCGTTTTGTGTAGTAGGAACGTCGAGAGATAAGCAATCAGCCGCTTCTTTGCTTCCTTCAACTGGTAAATCAGAGCATTCTGGAAGTGGAAGCTGTTTCAATAAAGGATGTCTTTTTGCAATAGCATATTCTTTTCTGCATAATTCATTCTCCAAAATTTCACAGTCTTCTCGACAAATTTGACGAAGTTTGCGATTTAACCAAATTTTTCCTGGTGACTGTGCCTCACCGTATCTTTGTCGGATAATTTTAGCACTCTTTTCTGAACTCCACGGTGAACGACGGCTTAATTGTGCATGTCTTCTTTTACGTAGAATACCTCGAGGAACTGACAACTTATCGCTACCCTCATTTTCTTCATCAACGGTGTCTGCTTGGTCGTCGGAATTTAAAGAATTAAAAAGTTGTAAACTGTAGTTAGAGTTCTTTGTTTTTAATCGCACTGGAGCGTCTCGACATATTGGAAATGTTGAATAGCAGAGTGACGGCTTAGCATAAATCGCACAGTTGGATGATAAATCACTAAAGAAACAAAATTACATTAAATAGTTTAAATTTACATTTAAGTTACTTCAAAAGAAAATTAGTTCATTAATTATAATTTATAATTACTCTGAGATATTAATAACTCCAAATGCCTGCATAAGTTTATTTTCCAACATTGTTTGAGTCTTTGGATAAGGAATATAAACAGTCTTATTTCCTACAAATTCTGCGCACGCTTTACCAATGTAGATCTGCAATGAAAATAAATATTTGGAGCATAACTCTATCGATATAAATCATAACTATATCAATAAATACCTCGCAGCTTCCTTCATAATTGACTTTCTGACCAGGTACATTTGAAGCTTTTGGCGAAATCATCTCGGGAACGTGAGAATTAATTTCAGTACTCTGTATCATGGCATCTAATAATTTTTGTTGAGTGCTCGTAACTGTCGTCTGTTCAGTAACTGATGATAAAGAATTCGTGCTCCCAACATCAACATTTCTCTCGGTAGATTTCACTATTTCCGACGTTACTCCAATTACGTCCCTAAAACAAATTTTATTTCAGTCTGAAAATTCAAGTAAAATTTAAAGTAATAGTTTGTAATCTTTTTCCCTTCTTCTTTTTGAAGTTGAATAATGAACGAACAACAAGCTTATATGAACATAACCATTAAATAAATTTTTAAAAAAATCTCTTCACCTTGTAGAATCATTAACATAGCTATTATTTAACTGTCCATATATACATATTAATTGTTTTAACAGTAATAAAAACACGTATAGATTCATAATTAATAAACTTTATAATTAATATCAAACCATTGATTTATTTTAAAAAGTGATTGTTGACAATAAAACAGTCGCCATTTCAACTGCATGTGCCACCTTGTGATGAATTATTCAACTAACATGAATTGAAATTTTTTGACAGCTGAATTATGACAGTCAAACTCCACCGAGACTATTTTTGTAAATGAGTTTTTATTTATATATTTTTATAAAAGAAGTCAACAAAAAACTAGTTCTCCATATTGACAAAAATAATTATAGAATATTTACCCAGTATCCAGATAATCCAAAAGAAGGTTTTCGTTCATTCTAGTATTTTGCTCTGCTGTGGTATTCTCCAGTTCTCCAGCTGCAACAAAAAAGAATTATCTCCATTCAGTTTCATAAAACGGCCAATAAAGGATGATCGTAAATGCTAGCAGAGGATTTTTACAGGGCGTTCGTCCACTTAAACTGGGAATATCGACATGGAGCTTTTCTATATGAGGCCACAGGCAAAATTCGGAACAAGTGTCGCCGTGGTAACGTACCCTCGTAAAACCTACCCCCTCCCCCCTTATATGCTACCGTAAAGCCTCTACAAGCTCACCACTACTATGAGAATTACGTGGAGATTCTCTTATGGTGCTTATACGTACATACATACGTACAAACTCAGCCTTTTCCAACTGATCCCTAGAGTAAAGAAAAATCCCAATCGACGGATACATCAACCAGGGAAAATGGGAGAAGGTTAATTTGCCCGGACGAGTCATCGGATATGAAAACTTTGGTCTCCCCTATATTACATCATCGATAAAATTGCCTGGAGCATTGACAAACTGATATCTCTTACAACCACCAGATGAAGCGGAAACCCTAGGATTACATGTTAACGACAATAGATTTAAGTATGATAATTTTTCTAATTCTAACGTTGAACAGATGGAATTGTATATGTGAGAATTATTTACAGATTTATGACCGGAATAAACATATGTGAACGTCATGAAGAAGCTTGTGGTATAAACGATTGGTAAATATGCGGAGTGTATAGGCAGTTATAACGTAAGCACGTGGCAAACACCAATAAATCTGGTGGATCGATTAGCAAACGTGGAGATAATAGTCACATCGGGCGGGACAAGTGTCGCAGATAGGGAATAATTTACATGTCTAATTTACCACTCTGTCTACCAGTTATTCCTAGAGGGTTGAATCATGTATTTATGCAGACGTTTATAAGCACAAGAGACCCAGTGGAAAAGAGAAAATGTCCGAGATTGATGTTTATTCGTCAGGTCAGTATCTTGATAAAAAAATTCAATGTTTATGCAATGATATAGCTATGCATTCATATACATCCGTCAGATAAACGATAAATATCTCGGCATTGTATAGAAAAATTCTCATTGCGATGGATGAAATTCTTCGAACGTTGGAAGATAAGTATTTTCTCTATGGATAGATAGTGTGGACGTATCTTGGGGCAGTGGAATGTTTGATGAACCCAAAGACTTGGTATATAGAAAGGGTCGAGCGTAAGAGAAGCACTCTGCGTGGTTTCAACGGTTTCCGCGTAATTTTAGATCGGCAAGATAACGTGCTTGGCCCACCCTGTGAGGATGAAAGAGAAAGAGTGCGATGAGAAGAATCTGAATATATACACAATCGTATACGGTTGGAAGGAAGACACACGGAAACTGGGTAGGAGGAGGAGAAGAGATGTGTTGGCCAGGCGGAGAGAACGAAAGTGTTCTCTCTCTTGAACGCAGTTATGCCGACTAGCTCGGGAGACGCGTGCCGCCAAATTGAACGCCAGCCTCGTGTCTCCAGTGCCAAAGAAAAAGGTTCAAAGCTGACTACAAAGTACGTGAGAAGAGAACGAACACGAAGAAAACGTTTTTGTCTTATTAAATTATAACATCGTCATACTGACTTTCATACTGAAGACCGATTTGCATGAAATACATGTGGAACTATTGGAGAATATGCAATCGTCAGTTTACTCTATTTGACTTGATGTAAATATTATACGTGAGTGTAATCAAGTGTCCTAAAATTAAATACCTGTCACGACTGTCTGAAATTTCAATGAAAAGATAAAACAGTTGTTTACCAAATCGTTTCATTTAACATGTTTATGTAATATATAAATTATTTTAATTACATTTACTGAATTGATGGTCAACGTGGAAAGAAAACTGATGCCAAGCATGCATCGACGATGGAATTATTGGGAGTCTTTCGATGCGACGAACGATCGAATTGACGCATCTAAAATTAAATGCCTCAGCAATACTTTAGTCTCACTCTACGGTTGTTTGTTTCCGGAATCGATTTAGCTGGAAAATTCCTCGCGTTCACTTTCTTTTATTTATTATTATACGTTTTAATCTAAATCTTGAGCTTTCAGACGAAGCAGTAAGAAAGGGGAGTATATTAATGAGGCCGTTGAAGGTGGCTTTGGTGAGTCACGTGAAAGTATGGACTTGGCGATAAGAAGTGAAGCAGTAGTGAGTGTCGTGGTACGATCTGATCGTCAGGAAGCACGAAGAGGAAACAGTAAGGATGATAACAAGCACGGGGGTTGGCGTTGGCGGCGTCGGCGGTATTGGAATGCTCAGGGCAAGAAGGAGAGATGTAAGCGTCAAGCCTAATCGCAAGCTTGACCGAAAGTCATCCCGTGGAATGATTTATGAGAATGAGGAGCTTAGACTGAGAACAATTCACATTAATGCGGAAGTTGAACAAGGTAAAATCCTCCGTCAGCTACTTTGGGCCTCCAATGTGATCGAGATTGTGGGCCAAGGCACATCTTGTGCATGTTGATCTGTGTGCTTGTGCCCACAAATAGACTATCACTCGCTGGACGTTTAGTTACAGCCGTCGTGTTGCGTTGGCTAGTTCTTCTGACAGTCTTCATACAATAATATACCCTAGTTTAATAATCAAATAACACTAGAGTTTATTCAAGTTTCAATTGGTATATATTTTGCGGTGATGATGGTATGAGTTAGTGGGAAATGAAAAAATTGTGGAGTAGCTTAAAAAAGCGGGGAGCGAAATGGACTCGCTCACCCGCAAATCCACGAGATAGATTACGAGGTCGTGATGCCAAAGGGAAGAGGACATCTGGTGTTACCGTGTAATGCGCACTTGTGTCTTGTATTTTTGGTGCGCGTGTTACAACACGATTCTACTGAGTTTAACTTAATATTTCTGTCTATATTGCATCGTGGCATACTGTTATTGCCTATTTCTCAATCGTTAAATAGTTCATTGAGGGTAAATAATATAATTATAGTTCACGCGGTTCAATCAAATAAATAATGTGTCAATGGTCATGGTCACGGTGCCATGATGATGCACAGGAGAGATCGGGAGAATACTCGTACATCCAAAAAATATGAAAGTATGTTTTTTTACTATTTTTAATTATTTTTTTTTAACTAATTTTATTTAGAGGTGATAATGTATATATGTATATGATCAAGAATATTATTTTGCGTGGGCAAAAATTTGCTTCAATGTTTAAAGATGGATAGATTAGGAGTTGGGTAGGCGGTTCACGTTAAACGCCAATCTCACCCTCAAAATAGAATGACTGATGGATGAGCAAATATTTAAGTTACCCACCTTTTAGCGTTGAAATACGGCCCGTGTTATTTTTATTACCAATAAAAAAAAAATATTATCCCAATATATGCATAAAATTGACTTACTGTTAATATTATTATATTTAATCTTCATTATTATTTTAGGTCAAAATGACATTAAAAAGCTCAGACGGGAGAACGAGCAGCTGAGACGAGAAATATGGTGTCTCAGGGAAGAATATGACAAATTAGAGGAAATTTTGAAAAGCCAGCAAAATCGAGCTGACAGTGAAGACAACGAGGTTTTTATTTACTTTTTAAAATGTTTTATTATTCAAGAAAACTCTATACTTAATTTAAAATATGAATAAAATATTTACAGGAATACAGTCAGGACGAGGTTTCTACATCAGATATTGAAGACGACGAAGATGAAGAAGAAAAAGAGGAAGAACAGGATGATGAGAAGGAAGAAAAGAAAGAGAAAAAAATTGACAAGAAGGAAAAACTTTTAACTTTAGACGGCGTGATTCAAGATGAGCTTTTAGAGAATGCTGAGAATCAAAAGTTGTCTTCGGAGAAAACTAATAGTCTTCACCGGCTACATGTGGAATTTGATCAATTGTCAGTAGTAGACGAAGAGGAAGAATCAACGAAAAAAGAGAAAGAGTATAGAGATGTAAATGAAGCAAAAGTGCTTGAGGTAAAGCGTGAATCAGAATCAAATAAGCAAGAAGAAGGATACTTAAATCAACATGCATTCAACTGGATAATCAATTCTGAGTGTCCTGTCACCCACTCTACAACTGAATACTCTCTTCCCTACACTTCAACATTCGGCATTGTAACGACGTTGAACAACGAGAGTAGTTCACCACTGGGGATTGGCTGGCAGCGAAAGATTTTTGAAGGAGACACGAGTCACACTACGACAACAACAACGGATCGACAGACTTGCGCAGAATCAATTTTACCCTCTCGGGCGTCGTTTCTGTCTCGAGATACGTCTACTGTATTTCCAGACATTCGTTCATTCACCGAATCTATGAAGGTCACTCCAAACATTATTGCTACGTCCTCAAGTAGTGAGAACACAACTTCAACTATTATCCACAAGACATCTCCTGATATATGTGTTGCTGGGGCAATAGCATCTCAGAGAACTTTTGGTAGTTCTGACCAATTGTCAGCTCATGAAATTCATGATACTTTGAATAAATCTCATTCATGTCAAGAGTTGGATAAATCACATACGTTTCTACTAAATATAAATCAAGCAATTGAAGCTAAAAGTTTACCCGATAATTCAAATACTCGTGCTTTTAAAAGTCAGTTGAAAATACAACTGAACAATATATCACCAGAAATACTACCGGAATTACCTCCCAAAATGCCACCAATCGACTGGTTACCTGGACAACCACTTTATAGGAGTTTAGAGCCCATCGACCGACGTGAACAACGTCTACTTCGTCAGCTTCAACTTAACGAGTATCAGGCAACTTCTTTCGAAAGTCCTACTCCACGTAATTTTAATTTCTCATCTGCAATTGCTGGTCAAACTCTCGATCGTTCATCGAGATCTGAAAGGAAAGTTGTTCCGGTATGGCCCAATATTCCATCTACGCCTAAAGTTGATACACAAACCCAAACACGAAGTCGAAGTTCTAGTCAAAGTAGGAGTCCTACTCGAAGTCAGAGTAGAAGTTCAATTGAACAAGACGCGCAAAAGGAAACGAAATCTCCAAAAACGAAAACAAACAAGAAGAAGAGCCCTTCAAAGAAAGTTACGACATCAATAGTATCAACAGATGATTCAAAATGTCATTATGAAAGCAAAACAGATCGAACATCGTCTTCGTCGGGTCATGAATGGCAAAAGAAGCATGTGAAGAATGTTCATAGCTCGTTAAATTCGAAAAGAAGATCAACAAGGAGTCGAAGTATTACACAAGGTTCAGAAATTCTTGAGACAACCACAAGAGATAGAACAATCTCAGCTAGCAGTCCAGAGTCTGACAAGTTTAGAAAGAATAGCATCGGAAGCGACAGTGTGCCTTGGTGCGCGTGCTGGGGTAACGGATGCCTTTGACATTAAAGTCTTGTCCTCTGGTCTTTCGCGACACTAATTAAAATAATTCACCAAATGCCGATCGATAGCCAGCACCGCAAGCGCGCGCTTGTACAAAGCAACTCTACCTACAAGCTATTCCGGCTGGGCTCTATCTAGCCACCGGTGTGCCATGTGCAGACCACGACCCCAAACCGAGTGTCGTTGACACGCGTTGACTCGTGCGATCCCAACCGCGCCGGGTGTTGACTATTTTCGTGACAAACTCTCCGCCGAGAATTTCACCATTAACATCTACCAGCCTAACATTATCCTTAAAACTTTACTCATAAATCTGTATATGTATATATGTACCATTTTATGTGTATTAAATCAATTATTTATTGTTCAAGTTTATGACTTTTTTATTTTTTACCATATATCATACAGCACATCAATTTTAACAGCCGACAAGTATATTAATGAATGGAAAGTGTGTCGTTCGATAGTTGGATATGCCTATACATCATGTATCTGTTGGTACGTACCTATTGACGTGTTGAATATGCACAGCAAAACAATACAAGAGCTCCAATAGCAGAGACTGCTCATTTTGTTTCCAGTAAAAAGGGAAATTCTCTTCCCTCAGATCAAGTCACGGAAACGCTTCGGGCACATGGCAACCCCTCGACTAAGTCTTTTTTCTATTTTTATTTGATCTTTCACAGTAATTTGTCGAATGATCTTATCATTTTAATCTTCAAACTGATTTAATACTCTTAAATAAGTTTTAGTCAATTGAACTACGTGACAGAGAGTTATCACGTGTTAAAGGAATCAAAAATTTGCCGGTAAATACTTCGAAATAACAAGGACAATCGCAAATACGATGTGTTCAGTTCAACGTATCGCGGAATACTGGCAAGCACTGGGATCAGTTCCCGGCTCGACTATCAAGCTCTCCCCTGCTTACTAGTGGGTTCTTACCAGATGGCACTACCCTTGCGCGCTCCATTTATCATTTTTCTCCCGTCTCCTAAGTATTTCTACATTTCTTTCGTCTTTTTCCCTCATTTTCTGAATGTATAGTTGAACATATATAGGGCTAAATTTCGTAATTTCTCTTTTATTTTCAATTATCGAACATTATGGTGAAGATTTTGAATTGCTCACTGGAAAACAGCTTTCCGAAGACGAAGAAGATGAAGAGGATGTTGAGAGAAGAGAATCCTATAAATTCAAAATATAATTTCAACTTATTATTTTTTTCTTTGATCAATTAGTTCAAGACTTACTGTACTAGCATCATATCTAATAGGTGTACTTTGAGCAGCGGGTACTGATATAAAACCTCTGCTTTCTCTTTTTTCTTCGTAAAATCTTCTTTCTTCTTCACTACCAAGTTGTGTTTCACCAAGATACCTCTCTTCATCTTCTTCCTCTTCATCGTCATCATCGTCGTCACACAAACACACCGTACAATGAGGATCGAATCTATTTATCTTTATCGGCGTACATTCAGCATTCTTATAAATTACTGATATTCTGTAAGATACATCGAGATTTATATGAATTTGATACCAAGATATTTTTCCAATATTTTACTTACGGTGGATTTTTGTGGAATGAAATACGCTTGCAACAGAAGATACAAATACAAAGTAATAAAGACATAATTGCTAGAAGTAGAGCCATTAGTATGATATTTTTAGTGTTCCATGTTGAATAGACTTCGTTTATTGATTTACAACTGGTTTCTTCACCCAATGAATTAGTTGATCCTCCAGATTGATCACACACCATTTGTTTTTCACTACTATGAATGATGCCAGGAGGGTTGATTGCTTCCGGAGCTAAGCAGTTCTTTGATTTTATGCTTGCCATCACTCGAGATATTCCGCCAAACGCAGGATACCATTTTTCATCTTCTAGATGAGGATTAATCTTGAATAAAAAATGATTGTGAGAGTCATTTTGAAAACTTTTAGTGAACTTAAAACTGAATAACTGTCAAATAAAATTTATTTACAACTTGCTCCAACCACTCATTAAGTTCCCTTAGAAATTTATATAGTTGATCTTGTGATGATATTTCTCGCTTCCTACGTGATGAAGATAATATACAACTGACGCTAGCAACATAATATTTCTGCACTATGAATGCTGAGCTTTCAGTGAAAAGAGAATGAAGACTGGAATTCTCAAATGGAAGTGCTATACTAGTCAATTAATCTTTATTATCATCAGCATCAATTTCATTGTTGTTTAGATTAACTCATTTACCTGCCAGGGTTTTCATCATCATCCAAAAAAGGTAAAGGTACCAAAACTCCGCCTCCCTCACCTGTAACATAAAAAAATGATTATTAATCTTCATTATTATTATTTGGGTGGTGGATTGGCAATATATAAAAGTTATCAAAGAGATATGATTTTAAATACACAGATGTATATTCACATAGACACATTATTTATCTATAATTAAATGTCAGCTGTTTGAATATGTTGGATAAATATATTCATAAACTCATCCACCTGAGTAATTTCGACCTCTCGTAATTTTCAATTGATGATAAAGTAAACAAAAAGGGTATTTTACTGGAATTATTTGCAAAAAAGTGCGTCTACATTAATATTCATCAAACAGACTTCACAAAGTGAGGTGAAGCTTTTTTAAATTTAGAATTGAATTTTCTTGAAAAATGTAATTTGTTAAGTAAATTACAAAAATGATTTATCATTTTAGATAAAAAATAATATTCAAATTACCTGGATAAAGTAGCAAATTGGAGCAAGTATCAAAATTTTCATTAGGTGGAATATCGATGGGAGTAATATTAAATTGCCGAGTGTCATTATTCGGCTTAAACCAGCCAATTCCATTAGTTCGTAAGAAAACTTTTAGTTCGTCATAAAGATCAAAAAGCCTTTTGGCATTGTGATACTGGATATTGCCAGCGTAGAAAGATCGCTTGGTTATTGGAAGAATATAAACCCGTAAATAACCAGCCATAGTGTCTGCAAAAGCTTTCATAATCAAACGCTTTGTTCTGCCAGTTGTTAATTTTTTTATTACTTCCAAGCAAACGTCCATGTACTCCATAATAAGTCCAATGTAATCTTCATTACTCGCATCAATCATTTCTATCTAAAAAGAAGTTTATCATTATAGATTAGTTAAAGATGTTTTTGTAAATAAAATAAAATTTTCAAACCTTTGGTAAAATATCTTGAAATATATTTCTACTTATTAATAAAGTTAATTGTTCATTATTCCAACACTTTTTAGCAACATCATTTTTATCGAACAAGACACTCCCAACATTCTGGTCCAGTTGATTTACCATTCTATGACTAATTAAGGTTGGGTTTTAGCTTAAATTCATTCTTATTGCTTATTTAATTCCAGTATTTAATTATGATAAAAAAGAGAAGGCGGCGGGAAGTAGTTACGGAAAAAGCGAAGAGAGGTAAATTAAAAAAACAACTCTGAGTAAAATAAATATGAAGAAGGGAAAGCAAAAATAAGAAAAAATATATAGAAGTTTTAGATAAGACAATACAAGAGGGTAGAAGAAAAAGATTTAATTATTTTCATTAGAGCTATAATTAATACCTATGTCTTCCTAAAACTATTGGAAAAACTGTGAAGATCAAGAAGAAACGATGAAAATAAGCTCCTTTTCCGTTTGAGCATTTTTTCATTTTCTGTTCCCCCTTTTACAGCACAGCACGAAGTGGTGCAGCGAATATGCCGCTTTTTTTTCATTTCATTCTGACATATTCAAGTCATGAGAGGTGGCTCATTATATTTTCTTTCGCCTATTACGGTCTCGTTTGGATTCATGAGAACATCTTCGCTACGCTGTTCAGAAACCCACATGACGCCTACATTTTTTCCCCTCTCCGCGCCAGATAAAGGTCCATTCAAGTCCTTAAAAGTAAATAGTAAGGCTTCCTTTTCAAGTATGGTATTAATTCTTTTTTTTGCCTCTATACAACCATAGAATGGCATAACCTGTAAAGTATTTAGCAAAATAGAGTGGAAGTAAAATATATCTCAAGGTAATAAGTTTTTCTTCTACCTTTTAGCCAACTATTGCTTTCATAAAAGTAACGGAACCTTTCTCCTACCTTCTCCGCATTACGCATCAACACCATCACTTCCACGATTCAGTTGAGACTGGGTAAGACTCTGAACAACACGAACAACTTTTCTTAATATTACTGTGTTTCCCAAGTAAAAAAGTTTATTAAAACATACACAATGGGTAAGTGTTTCATTGATTTATCAAATAAATAAAAAAAACAAATAACCTTGAACAGTTATGGTGCATGATTAGAATTCTATTCACTGTTATGAAATGTAGATAAAGAAGAATTTACATTGATTAATATTATAAATCCTTTGTTCACATATCTTATATGCAATTTTCTTTAAATTATTAAAATAATTAAAACCAAAGTATAAAATGTGTATCATAAAGTGAAAAAAAACTTTCTTTTCACATCCTGCTATTCACGCTTGACGTTACCTGACTTATTTAATAATTATGTTAACAAGAGCATTTTCTTTTGTAGGGGCTATTGGAGGACTTAGTGCGAGAATTGTGCTGATCGTAAGTGTAGTGAATGTTAATAATAATTAGGTGTTATTATTCCAAGTTTTTATAACCGTTATAATTGTTTTTTTTTTTAGAGTGTACTGGTGATTGTAAATGCTGGGGATATGATGCGAAAGAGTATAGTATTTGATAAAAATACCCCTGACGTATTTTATTGTCCTCAACACAAACCAACAGGCTTTGAGAAAATGATTGTCAAAGCTAAACCTCTATCCAGACTTTGTCAATTCGAAGGTGGTCCAATACCTGAAGATTACAAAAGTGATTGTTACAATGATGTAGACGAAACGGAGTATGCATGCAAAGAAAAGTATAGGATTATGGTAAGTTCTTTAGAGAAATGATGAATAATGAATTAGTAAACCAAAACTTGATTTTATAAAAAATAAATAAAAGCGGAAGCAGCAAATAAAATCCCTAACGAATTAATTCCACCCAAAGCTAAATTTATATCCCTGCAGGCTTTTTTAACGAAGGGTGTTGGTTTTATTATTTCAGAAACGATTCAAAAAAATGGAAATTCAAAGACGGCCCATTGACAACGACTACATCGAGAAATAGATGAAAATATTCATGATGCTATTCATCGTCATCAATTTATGACTACTTACTATACTAATAGGAGTAATAGAAATTATCATCCACTAATAATCACACCCGCCGTTAATTAGATTTCATAGATTTAATGCTCAATTAATCCTACTCTGAATAAACCTTCGGAGTGTCAAGGATACAGGGTGCTTAATCGAATTATTTCATTAACGACTTTTTTTACGTAAACACTTAACCAAATAAGTCAAGTACTAATTGTATTAGTAGTAATCTTGAATAATAAAGTATTAATTGATTTAATATATTAAATAACTGGTTTTATCAATTATATAATTGCTTTTAATTACTAATTCATCTTAAATAATATAAATAAAAAAAGTTATTGTATAATTTTCGAAATATTAATTTTATTGTAAATCTACAATTGACAAAAAAAAATCTCTTAACTATTTCAATTTTTAATTAAAAATAAATTTGTTTTCTTCTTTTATTGGGTTTTCTATAAAATAATTTTATTGACATTTAATTTCCAACTTATCCTTGATAAATTGTTAATCAGACGCGTTAAAAAAATGTCCTTCTCTATAGAAATTTATTGAAAATTTATTCGAAATTCCATTTAGCAGGATTTACATTCATCAATCACATTTGGTACGTAACGAATTAATAACTATGTATATCATTTATTTAAACGAACTAGTAATTTTTACTTATTTAACGTGGTTTTAAATATTATGCGTTAGAGTATAAACAATTGATTGAATGAGACAGACTTAATTTAATAAATATTTATTATTTAGTTCTATTGATAAGTCTAGCATGAATAATGAGTTAATAATAATTTTCATCTAAACCTATGTTGTAGATGCGACTGCATCCTCCAGGCAGCGACACCCCTTACAACGGTTCTAGATTAATGAAATTCGCAAAAAGTACTTCAGATATCCAGAAGTTAATAAGTTAACCATTAAATTGAAGATTTTAATAATCTTCATATAAATAGTCATTTTCCCTCATGATTCTAAATACCAAGGTAATATTAGTGTAATAAAGCTGTAAATACCATATATCTGTCAATATAATCACATATTTACAATTTGTATCGACTCTTAAATACATAAATTCTGTCTAATAGTATAATTAGTCAAAGATAAATTAACATAATAAGTTCTAAAGAATAAGTTTTCCGCCGTTAGATGCTCTTATTTGTGCTACTTGCTCAGGTGTAAGTATAAGTTTACTTCCATTTGGAAGAGATAGAGCATAATGACTTCCAGTTTCATTTACAACAACCACCAGCTGAGTTGCAGATATTGGCTGTTGCTTTTCCGGTGATTTACGTTTGACTGGAGTAATCGATATTCCCCCTTGGTTCATTCGCTCAATAATTTGCGGAGATAAACCGCTTTTATCTAATATTGGTGTTGGTGTTGGATTAACTGGCTTATTCTTGTTCACCGTTCTATTGTCCATAGAGGTTGTATTTCTCGTATTCGAAACATTGGATTTCTCGGGAATAATCATCTCGATTTCATCATCATCATCACTGAGAACAATCAGAGACGTAGCTTTATTTGTATTCGTGGTTGAGTGATTTGCAGCTTGTGGTAAACGTGGTCGAATTAGTCGTACACATCTTTGAGCATTTGGGTTTCTTGGTACAGGCATTCTGTTATTTACCATTGTTTGTCCTCGAACATTGCCTCTGAATGGTACAGTGCTCCTTATAACCGCACCATCCGGGTGTCGAGGACGTGGAGGAAAAACAATTGGTTTATTTTGTACAACTCTAGGTAATGCTCGTGTTTGCTGCATTGAAACAGTTACAGGAGTAGTCGGTACTGATCCACGATAAGGAGAACATGAATTTGCTGATGGCGCAACCCCTATTGGCTGATATTGAACATAATTATTTGGCTGTGATGTATAATTTTGATCATTTTGCATAATTACTGGTTGCATATTTAATGAATCTTTATAGGATGATTGAATATTAGTTATTTGTGGATTAGCTACAATATAACCACCAGAATTTTGTACATAATATCCCGGATGAATTGGTACTTGAGGAACGACAGAAATTACCGGTGATCCTGAAGTGATTGATGAGTTATCCGGCTTCATTACTACATAATTGACTGGGCCATTTCCCGTATTAACCAAAACATAATTTTGTTGCACTCCACTGGTTGCCGTTTCAGAAGGTAATTGGTTATCATTTATTGGCCCTTCATCTTTAATATCCAATACCGAGTGAACACTTTCAATTTTTATTTTGTTTAATGCATTATTGCAATTATCGTGTTGATCAGTATTATTGTCTATTATAACATCAGGATTAGAAAATGTCTTCACACTTCTATCTATTGTTATTCCAGTGTTACCATCAACTTTAACGATTTGTACTTTACTCTGGAGAGACCTTAAACGTCTACTTGCTAAAGATCGTTTCTTCCTTTTACGAGAACTTGGTAGAATCCAGTCTGTGTCAGAATCCGTCGCGTCTGATTCGCCGGTTAGTACGCGTTTAGAGGAAGACGTTACGGAATGAGGGCTTGTATGTACGCCAGTAGCTGGATCAACAGTCTCAAAACCAACCCAATCATCTGGCTCACTTGAATCTGAATCATCTTCAGAAGAAAATGGCTCAATATAAGAAGAAACTCCTCGTGCTCTCAATACTCTACGTGTTCTTTGTTCTGTAATATCAGAATAAAAATAAATTTAATAATATGTTCAACAAAAAATACATTGGTATACAAGATTAAATTTTTTTGTTTCATTACGGGTAGTGTAGATTGCATAAAGTATATAAATAGTTAAAATATATTATTTACTGGAAATGAAAGTACAATGGCATCGTATAATACATTCCATTTCCAACCATGTTCCAAGTGGATTATTAAACCACTAGATTTTTTTCATTGATAAAACAATATAAATATTTTATATAAATTTTTATTATTTTTTAATGAAAAATTTATTTAAAAAATATAAAAAAAAATGTATTATTTATTAAATTTTCTGATTTTAAAAAACTTTAATCTATCTAAATTTATTTTTAATGAGATAATAGTTTTCCCCAGGTGTTAATTTTTTTTATCACCATCATACATCTCGTAGACCCCTCACCCTATAATTTCCATGTACACCAGTGTAATCAATACTGTACTCTACCTTCTTTAGAATCACCATCCTCTAATTCATCATTTTTTTCAATTTCCTCTTTGATGCTAGATTTTTCGTTGTCTCGACGTTGTGTTGAATCGCCACAAGAGAGTAGTGGTGAGCCTTGTGGTCCCAGAATCCACGCAACAGGTCTACTAGTACTGTCAGACGACAATTCTTCATTTTTAATATTGCTAGAAAATATAATAAAGGTATATTTCGTAAAAGTTTAATAAAAATTAGATTAAAAAAATAATATTAACTTTTATATAACCCTTGAATAAAGTTTTACTAGACTTATAACAAAAAATCAATGGAATGAGGATATTAAAAGAAAGTTGAGTGCCTTTTTTATTATATAATTTGATAAAACACGCAATAATGTGTTCTTTCCATGTGCGATATGATTTTGCGAAACATATGTAGCGTGAATAAAAACTCATACCCGTCTTTAAAAGCTTGCCATTCGCTTTGTAGTTTCTTTTTAGCACGATCTGTAGATTCTTCAAGATAAGATTCTTTTGACTCTAATGATTGAATGAGATTTTTCAATTTCTTTAAGAGCAGCAGTTCACACCTTGCAGCTTCCTGAAGAAAAGTATTGATTTTATTGCGAGGAAGTGTTTCATTTAATTACCCAAAAAATACAATAGAAAATTATTTACTTACACTAGACTGTACTTTACTCTGTTTAGAGAGATTAAGAACTAGACTTTTTAATGATTCCACACTGTCAGCAACAAGTTGAAATTTTGACACTTCTAAATCTGTTAAAATATTGTTAAAGTTATCTGAATCTTTTTTACAGATTATCTTACTTCTCGTCTTGATACCTTTACTTTCAGACAAATCTTGATTTATTTCCTGATCATTTTGAGTTTTATCATCTTCCTTTAAAGGATCTTGATCATTTTCTTCTAATTCAGGTTTAACTTCACATGAATTATCATCATCTTTCTTATCATCAATTCTATCAATCTCTTCATTACTTGTATCATTAACAGTTTTAGTTTCTATTAATTTTTCATCATCACTTTTTGACACACAATTAGTATTAACGGAAGTAATATTTCCACTTGTTATCCTTTCATTCATTTTTTCATCATCAGTCTTAGAACTACTAGAAATATCTTCAAGAAGATGATCAGTTTCTTCAATCATACAAGGCTTAACGCCTATTATATCCATAATAGCTTCTTTACTAGGTGCATCCATTAATTCTTTGTTTAATTCAACATCTTTATTCAAATCAGAATCTACATTGCTAGATACATCTGGCATTCCATTCTGCTTCGTCGCTTCACTTTTTATACTCTCTTTAACTTGATTAATAACTTTTTTTACTCTAACGCGTCTTTTAGATCGTCCCGGCAAAATTCCATTTTTCCAACGATTATTTTTCACTCTTTTTCTTTCTGTTTTCTTTTTTCTAGTCCTCGTAGATTGTAACTTCAATTTAGCACTCGCCGGCATAGCATTTAAAAAAATTTTATTATTCATAAAATGTTTATATACCCTCAAGTCACCATCAAGAAAAATTGGAAAATAAATATAACGAGCTCCATATCGATCACGTCCAAGTATTTTTTCACTCAGACCATCTAAGTATTTATTGGCAACTTCTTCTTGGAGTAGTTTCCTTGTATGCATAAGCGTATCACAGATTGTTTTCAAAAGCCAAACTTTTTGTTTTAATTCAAAATCTTCAAAATTTTGTCGTTCAACAATGGAACTGTCAGGAAATATTTTCCAAAATTCTGGTTCAATTCCTATAGCTTCCAACACCTTTACAGAATCTTTATCCTTATTTTCATAAATTTTAAACCAACTGGGGACTTTGTGCGTAAGTAAATAATTGGTCCAAAAGTCATAGGGCATCAGTGGTATTTTTTTATATTTAGATGCTGGTAATGTTGGACTTAAAAGACATGTCATGACATTGGCCAATTGTTTCGATGCTTTTGGAATCAGCAACATTCTCTCCATTTCATACATTGATAAATGTTGTATGTGCAATGTATCTTTTGCAAGACAGAGGAATTCATAGATTTGTGGTATCTCCCACATATTTGAAACAGTATCTGGCAATTGATTAAGTAATTGATCAACCAATTCAATCTCTTTCTCTTTATCTTTTTCATTTTTCTCATCTTCATGTTCTGAATGTGAAATTGCCTCAGACATTTTATTCAATAGCTGTAACAGAAATTAATTTTCATTTAAATAAAACTGACGTTAAATTATATGACATAATAGAAACTAATAGCTTTTTAAATTTTTTATTCTATTCAAGTGAATCGATTAACATTAGCAAAGGCATGGTCAAACTATATCAACTACTCTGGAAAATGCTTTGGACATATGCAAAAACGAACAAAGAGTCTTATCGATAGTAACGAATTGTTACAAGCTCATTTAGCTTCGGAATGGATAAGAGGAAAAGTCAATATTTGACGAGTAATTAAAAGTCTGCTGATGAATAGAAGTTCATCACGAATATCCTGAAAGAAGAAAAATGCTTTTCCACTTGCTCATAATTGATAGTAACTTTGTTAACATATTTTTCATAACTTCATTAGGGTATCTTATTCAATCATCGAGACTATCCATTTTCTCATTAATAAATTTTTTTAAAGTAAACTAGTAAATAAAAAATTTATTGTTTTATCTTATGATGTAATTTAAAAAATTTCTAGAATAATTTAGATATTAAGAATACCCAGAACGAAGAGTTTAAAAATTAATACTTCGCTTAATATTGTTCTACAAAATACTTTAAAAGATAAAGAGCCATTTGCATGATATTTGAAAAGAAAACTTGTTCAAAGTGTTCTGAAAAGAGTCTTGTATCTGTAATTGGAAGATAGAAATCCCAAAATCCCAGTAGTTTAATAAAATGACTGTTGTTAAAAGTAAACTAAGTTCTAATTAGCAGAAAAAATTAGAATAAAAATAAAATAAATAGGACTAGATGTTTTTGACTCAAAAAAATTTGGTATTCTAAAAAAAGTTCAAAATTTATTTCGTAACCTACATTCCTTTAAATAATTGTTGTTTACTGTCTGACTAAACTTAGAAAGAGTAAAAAAATTATTCCTAATTTGAAAGTTGTCTCTGAAAATATTGGAGAATGATACTTGGCTTACTAATAAAAATATTGTTGATGTTTCGATTAAAGCAGATATAAAAGTGGGTATTCGAAGTATCTTCTAATATCTTGACCTCTTTTTATTCAATTGTTCAAGATATTATCTGAGTTGATATCATCTAATGAATAATAGTAAATTTACTCTATTAGCGAAAAACTAACAACAAAATCAACAAAGTTATCAATTCTGAATGATCTTGTGTGCTAGCTTTTGGTGTAGCATCAATACTAGACTTGAAAAAAGGAATAAAAATAATCGACTGTGTTAAAAACGTGAGAAGTTTACATGAAAAGGTCTTGGTGGAAAAATCCATGAGTGCTTTCAGTAAGTAGGAACATTTGTCACGAAAGAGCTATTGTACATTGGTAGTGATCATTATAAGGCTGTCAATTGCTGCTGGCACCATCATCAGAGTCTATCATTAAGGAATTTTCCAAGGTATAGACATTGTTACTTGCATTTAATGTTGCTATTTTCAACAATCAGTTGTTTAGTAACACGCAACTTGCTCACTTATTATGACATTAATTGAGGATAAATATTATCGTTGGTAATAGCTATGCCATTATGTTCTTGCTAAACCTCTAGAGCAAATAGAAAATTAATCAGATGCACGCTCACAAGATAAATGATAGTATTAAAAAAGTTTCCATTGATATCTCACGCATTTTATTACCCTCCAATCTTCTGCCACAACGTGAATGTGGTCGAGTGAAAGTTTTCAAAATAACTAAGATGAACCCAGAAATCTATCCAAGAAAACTAAGGGATGATGAAAAAAAATTCAAAAGTCCTGGAAGTACATCAAATCAATCACCAGCATATACCCTCAATTCACTACATCTTCAAAACCCCTACAGGACACTTCAGAAATTCGAGAGTTTCAACAGCTCAAAAAATCACACATTGAAATTCCGCAGCAGTTTCTTGCAGAAGGTAAATTTCATTTTCTTAAATTTTTAACACCGAATGATTCACGTGTTTATACATATTAAGAGTGAACATTGTACTTTGTGTGTATTTTTCAAGAGTCATGATGTCGTGAGTGAAAATAATTATTCTAATCGACGACAAAAAAACCCATTCCAGAATTATGAGGAGAATAAAAATAAATATAATACAAAGATTCATAAAATCCAGATGTTTTTGAAGAAATTTAAGTTTTTTTCATTAATTGAACAATACTGTGCCAATAGTACACTTCATGGTCTACGATATGTTGGAGATACACACGTCTCGATAATTGAAAAGTAAAAAAATATATTTTTTACAGAATTTAATGAACCCATATTGACATGTTTCATTAAATTACACAAGGACATATTTATCTACAGATTATTCTGGATTTTTTCATTCATATGTGCATTCCTAAGCGCCAGCTATTTTATTTGGCACTTGTACAATAAATGGCAAGCATCTCCAATTATAATTTCCATGAGTCCTGAGCCAGTTTCTTTTGAAGAATTTCCATTTCCTTCAGTAACAATCTGCAATATGAATAATGCAAGAAAGTCTGAAGCAGATAGAATTAATGATAGGTATTAATTTTTTTTTTATCTCTAAGTAATAATAATCCTTTGAATAATCAATTTTAATAACTCAGTGATGATAATCTTGAGAAGTTATTGCTGGAAGATATCTGCGACTTTAGAAACTCTACTGATGAAGTTGATGAAGTATTCGGTTCAGCTAATTGGAGTAATGTCTTTCGATTTATGATCAATGTAAGAAATTGTAAAACTTTGTCACGCTTGAAATAGTTTTGTTACTTTCATTTTATTGATTTGTAAAATTTTTTGTCTTTTTGTATTTTTTCAATATTTATGATGTATTTTTAACTCAACTCACACTTTCTTTGATATATGAGTGTTTTTACATTGAATGGCAATTTTTTATTTGCTTCTTGGAGTGAAAAAATGTTTAAATTTAGCATTATGATGCTCTTGATACTTTTAATGAAGTACTGAAATATTGAATGAAGTTTCTTCTTGACTGTGATTTTTATTCGAATGAAATTTTTTTAACTTGTTAATATTTTTAAAATATTTTTTATTAATTTGAATAAATTATTATTTATGTTTTAAAATGATTGTTTTTCCTTTTTTTCAATTATAATTTATGTCCTATATTGGTGAATATTTAAAATTATTGTGTAAAATTCCATGAGTCTTTTAAAGGTATCACAGCCATGTACAGAAATGCTGTATCATTGTCAATGGCATGGCAATACCACAGATTGTGACAAATTATTTAATCCCACAATGACGGATGAAGGAATGTGTTGCAACTTCAATTCAGTCCACCGAAAATACATGTTTTACAATCCGTACGTTAAGTATTATACAATATTTGCTTTTATTTCCACGATGACAATTCTCATTTTCATTAAATAGACAATCACAATTACTTTTAATAATTCATTCAAGTTTTCTTCTATTAATATTAATCATCAGAGAAATTATTTTAATATTAATTAAAATCCTACATGAACTAGATATTTTTCTCTTCTCATCAAATCTATTATTATCATCAATAACTGACACCCACTTTCCTACTTGATATTCTATAGTATATATTTTGGTCTCTTCTTGTGTAAAATGATTTGTCTTACTTCTCTAAGACTAATAAAAATATATGTCACAACATTTTCAATTTTTATTGAATATGGTATATATTTTCTAAATTATTATTTATCACGAAAGTTATAAATAATATAGTTCATTTTACTCCATCAATTAATGAATTAATACTTAATTACCAATTAAAATAAAATAATCTTTAAAATAAAATGTCTCATTAAGCCAAGAGTGGGAAGACCTCAACATAACATTTCCATTTAACAACATGGACTGGAAACCAGAAACTGGCTATAAAGCTGCAATTCATCCAGATACTCAACCTTGGAGACCATTTGGAGCAGGAGAATATTACGGTTTAACACTCGTTTTGGACACTGCAGTTGATGATTATTACTGCTCATCAACAGCAAGTGTTGGTTTTAAATTATTGCTTCATAGCCCAGTTGAAACTCCAAAAATGGCTGATTTTGGCTTTGCCATATCTCCCGGTGAAGAGACACGAATTATCATTTCACCAAGAATTTTGACAGCCAGCTTGTCTATTCTTGAAATTCCTCGCAAAAAACGGAAATGTTTTTTCAACTCTGAACGGAAATTAAAATATTATCGAACTTATACCCAGAGAAATTGCCTGCTGGAATGCGAGGCAAATTTTACTCAGAAAATTTGCCAATGTGTCCAATATTATATGCCAAGTATGTCTCAAATGATGTTTTATGTATAATAAAGAAATAAAATTATTCATGTACTTAATCATTTTTACTTTTAAGAATCTGCAAATACTCCAATCTGTGGTAAAAAAGATGATCCGTGTGCTACACGAGCGAGAAGACTGATGGAAACTAAACTTTATGATGATGAAGCTGACAAGCTGAATGTTACTGAAATGTGAGTATGAACCAAAATACTCATTAATCATTTAATTAATGAATTAATTAGTCATTTATTACAGACCTAGCTGTAACTGCTGGCCAGGATGTTTTGAAATAAATTATGAATTTACCATTTCTCATAGTTCCCTTACTCCAAAATTCTATATTGACGATGCATACGTGAAGCAGAGCAAAAAATACTTCAAGTAAGCCATTATCTTTTTTGTTATTCAATTATCTTATTCTGATAATACTTAACTGTTTATTTAGAGAAAATATGGCTATTGTTCACTTATTTTTTATTGATTCTCAATTTCCAAAATACGTTAAAAGTGAACTGTTTGGCTTCATTGAGTTTCTATGTAAGCATTTTTAAATTTTACTCCAGTAGTTGTTATTACTCCATTATTTTATTATTTGTATTATTATTAATTATTCTAGCAAGTGTTGGTGGTCTTCTTGGGCTTTTCATGGGATTTAGCTTTTTATCAGTCGTCGAAGTGGTTTACTTTATGACATTAAGAATTTGGTGTCGCATTTCGTGGAATGAACGACCACAAAATACATCGAATTCGTTAATTCATGTGCAACCATGTTCTAACCCAAATTCCAACACTATTTTCCCTTTTTCACAATAACATACCATCCTATAACTGCTTATGAAGGAAGTTGATACATAATAAGAAAGTAATTAAATTATAATAACAAGTGTAGTGGTTTACACGTTTAATAATCTTAGTATAATATACAATGAATGTACGTACCTTAGGAAAATCTGTTAAATATTTCCATTACTAATTGTTATTTATGAATAAATCATAATCAACAGAAAACAAACAACTTAAAAAATACACTTTTAATTGTAATAATATACAACAGTAAAAATATTCCTGATAAAAACGCAATCACAATCTTTTATTATCGAACTATAGCCTGTGGTAAAGTTACTTGTAATTCGATGCCGATAGATGTCGTTAGAAACGTAAATGGCGGAAAAATTTGAATGATTGAAAAAGAAAAAGGAAGTTCAACATAATTTCAATAAAAAAAAATGAAAGACAATTTTTAAAAAAGAAATGTCACAAAGACATCTTTATTAATAATTAATTTCTTATATATATATATATATATATATATAATCGTACTAATTGAATTCGCATCGATATTCTTATTATCTAAGCCATAATTGTTACTATACACATATGCTCGAATTTGTATTTCTAAAATATGTTGACAGTAAATAAATCTAACTCTACATATTGTTATTATTTTATGATTTTTCTTATTTACTCATACAAAATTCTAAATATCATATGTTTACACTCTTAGAAGAGTTTTGTTTTTTTTTTTTTAGTTTTTCTTATTTTTAGTGCTTATTTTCTCAATATTTTTTCCATTTAAGAACATTTACAAACTTATATGAACACTTGTTTAAATAATATCCTAATAAAACAAACTTTTTTTATTCACAAAGAAGAAATCGTGAGTATAGTGATATTTAGTTAATTGTTGATGAATTAAAAACAATAAGGAAAAAACTCCTGTAGATAAAAAAATAATTGTTATTTATTTACAGATTATTTTTTCCTGATTTGTTTCTATTAAATTACAAATTAACTAAAACACATTTTAACTCATTCTTTCTGTTCTGTATAATAATTAGTCAACATATCTCTATTTCAAAATAACATTTCAGTGAACCTTAATTATGGTTAAAAAATAAGTCAACTATCAAATTAATTCATTGCATCACTGAAAATGACATTAATTTTGAATTAATTATAAATAGATATACATATAAAATCTATCATCTGTACAATATGTAGGTAACGGTTTTCACAAAATCAATTTACTTAAAGTAGTTTCATTAATTCTACCGAAAAAAGCAAAAATGAATATGGAATAATATTTATTTTTTTTTGCACTGCGGAGTATGTATACAGTATGAATACTTTTTTCGATCATACATTATATAAATTGTATGCACTTTTTGTGCAATTCAAACTTTCATCCTTATTTTTATTTTTTTGCCACTTTTTTTCGACTTTTTAGAGATATTTTTGAATAAGCCCTATTTGAAATCGTGCCATTTAAATAGTTAAACCATATATCTATATATTCACGTTAAATGACAAAAAAATATATATAAATATTAATTTGCATTGAGATGACATCATTTTTCAGCATTGCAAAAATAATTGGTCTAATATAATTAGAATTGATGATATTCAGAAGATCAATGAAATGCAGTAGCTTCGGCAGGTAAGGTTCTAGATAACATTAATTATTTCAAGAGGAAGACATTGGCAAAAATCTCTCGGACGTTTGCATTATATCGGCAATTGATACTTATACTTTAGTAGAGACAAGAGTAGATAAAAACTGAAAGGAAAAAGAAACTGATCTTTAAATTATAATACAAAGCATTATACATTAGTCCTCGACCTACCGAAAAGCTTCTACGTGGATGAACTTTTAATGATATAATTTTTTTATTTGACCAATGAAATTAAAATATAAATGTAAATAACAACTAAGACGCGCCTTTTAGCTTCTGATTCTTTACTTTGCTGCTATCGGTGCTTACCAAATGATTGGATAAAATTTTTAGTTTAAAGACAATAAAGTAAATCTAAAAACACTAATAAAATCTACCTTATCTAAACCGAAATACTGTGGCAGGTATTATGACCATACGTGGGACTGTTGTAGTGTAAGATTATTTAAAATTTACAAAAGGAAAATCGGTGTTAATCTACAAAAAAAAATAATAATAATAATTAAGCGAGTACATCAACTTCGATGAGTCGAGCAAAGTTTTAAGAGTCAGTTGAAACAGGTGCCTTTTGGTATCACATATGAAACCTCATGACAACCCTGTATAGTCACGAATCAATAAAAAATCCGTACAAAAGCGTATTGTTAAATAATTATTTTGTTTTTTATATTCTTATTTCCATTTACTCTGGCTCAAAACAGTTTGTTTCATATGATTTTTTTTAAAGCTGCGCAATTATTACCCATTCATCTTAAAATATTCTGAAGACATACTTTGATTTTGTTCAAAGAAAAAAGTATATACTCGTTATTATTATCATCACTTGTTAATTATTTAAACATAAAATAGACTTATTACAAATTTATTTATCATATCGGAAATGAAAAAATTCAAGTATATGTATATATAATTATTCTAATGATCTATTTACTATTACAAACTATCATTACGGTAGTCATAAATGATATTCAATATAGTATTCGATCTTAAAATTATAAAACAGATGTCTGCGGTCAATTATTTATCAGTTATTGCAGCTTTTAACAAGATTTTATTTCGCCGTTAAGGTATTGTTTCTGCTTTCTTTTTCATATTTTTGTAATAACATCGGTTTATCATGGCCATCATATATTGGTTTAGAATTTAGAATGACTTGACAAGAAGAGCCTTTTATGATAATACGGCAAAAAACTGAAGTTTAACGTTTGATAATTAAATTTTTTATCTTTTAACTTCAAAATTATAAAAAAATAATCACCAAATGATTATTAAATAATAAAACAAATAAAAATTTGTTATATTATGCACTGTCACCGTAGCTAGAATATTTTTAAAACAAGATTTGAAATACATGTATCAATTTTATGGCTCTCATTTATTATCCAAGTCTCCGTCAAGTCACGAACTATCACGCACAATTTTTACTTATCATCATAAGTATTATCATTCATAAAGCTTACAATGTGTAAACGGCTAATTAGCCTTTATTCCATAATTAAAATATCTCGAGAATTATCGCATCATACGTTCGTTGCCACGTATATCGTGTTACACAGGTACACCTTTTTGTTGATAAAACGGTGAAATCCTCACTTGCAACCTAACTTGTACGAAAATAAAAAGAAGCAATAACCCCGTTCGGCTTAGCACAATTTCTATCAGAAGTCCTTTATGTATCAAATCATTTAGGCTCCTGAAAGGCAACTTGACATTTGTAAACTTCATCAAGCATAACTGCTGCTTGTCCTTGGCCTTGACTAACAGTCACGGGTGTTGTAGCATTTACTACAACCACTTGTTGCCCTGGTTGGGCTTGTTGAGGTTGTTGTTGTTGTTGCTGCTGTTGCTGTTGTTGTTGTTGTTGTTGTTGCTGCTGCTGCTGTTGCTGCTGTTGTTGAGGATTGCTTGTATTTGGCTGCTGTGTATTGCTTGTGTTATTCGCATTTTGATTTCTAGCAGTTTGACCATACTTTTCGTGAATGGCGCGGTGACGTTTCAGAGCAAAACGATCAGAGAATCCAATTTCACAAATGTCACATCTGGAATTAATTAATACACAAAGTTTAATAGATGAAATTGCTTTGTTGGTTGAATTTAATTGATTTCGTTTAAAAGAAATAATTTACCTGTGGGGCTTTTCACCAGTATGAACTTTAGCGTGATTCTTTAAGTGTGTTGCTTGATTAAAAGCTGAACCGCAGGTGTTACATCGATATGGTTTTTCACCTGTATGGATTCGACGATGGTTCCACAATGTGGAGTGTCTCGCAAATGTTTTTTCACAAACTTCACACTGATAGGGACGTTCACCTGAATGGATTCTCTCGTGATTCTTCAAATGAGGGCTTTGAGAGAATTGCATACCACACACGCTACACTTGAATGGCTTTTCTCCAGTATGAACGCGTCCATGATTTTTTAAATAGGCCGCTAAAAATATATCAATCCATATTATTAATTACGTAAAAAAAATATTTTTATATTTAAATAAATGAATAAATTATATCATATACGTACCTTTCGCAAAGGCCAAACCACAGACTTCGCATTTAAACGGTTTATCTCCAGAGTGGAGTCTCTTGTGGGACCAAAGCGACGAATAGCGTGAAAATGTGCCGTCACAAACATTACAATGAAATGGCTTCTCTGGCTGATTCTGATTTTGCTTGCCGCCTGAAATGAGAAATGGGACGGGAGTATTAGTTTTCCTCGAAGGGCCAGTTCTACAAATACATTTATTCACCGTATACTCATGAGACGTTCGCCATTCTGAATTTATTTGTTACTTTCTTTGTTTATTACACACATTTTTCTTATAAAATAGAATTAATCAATACTACATAAAAATCCAATTATTGTCATTTTCATGATGATCATCAATTGTTTGATGCAGAGCAATAAATTTTTCGAAAGTCTCATGATATTTTGGCCCGTAATTCGACAGTAAGCAAAAATTGTTTTTAATATTGTTAGAAAAAAATGATTTTGTGATATTGATAATTAAAATGCGTCGTTAATAATGAAGATGAATTGGAGATTTATAAAACTGTCCCTTAGGGGAGATTTTATTCCGTGAAATCATCCTTAAATTTAGATGTCGACAGTTCCAACTTGTTTTTTTACCTCAATATCAATCAAACTTTCTAAATTTATTATTATTATTATCATGATGATAATAATTATTATCTGTGTAATATAAGAGGGAATAAATAATTCATTCATTATAAAATGAGGTATTATAATAGTTTGAATGAATGATCCAAAAATAGTCAAACTTTTTCCATAAATACATTCAAAGCATGCAAAAGACCATTCTATTTCAACAGAATGAATAGGTGAGCTACGATAAAAATTACAAATGTAAACTCAGAACTGTCACCATCTAAAATAAAACCAAAGACATTTCCACTTGGAAATATCGAACTCAGGACGTTATCCTGGTTATTTCTTTGGCTGTGATTTTATTCCGACTTACTTCCTATGATGATACGGCCTGTCGCCTTGCAGCCGCCACACTTCGCAAGGGAACTGATTCCAGAATCTAGTTTTTCGTCGTGTTTACCTATCATACACCACCCGATGTACGATCATGACAGCAATGAAATGACAATATGATGGAAAGGTGGATGCAATGAAATATTACTTTAAAAAAATGATACTTTTATCTAATAATTCGAAAAATAATCAATCGTTTCTTTCAATTTACAAATGAATTATGACAAAGTACCATTTTTTTATTTCATCGTCCTGATATTTAGTAATTTTAGACTTACCAATGAAAATAATTCCTGTTCCATTGCATTTGTGGCACTTGGTAACACTAGTAACTCCTCGCCGTTTCACGGGATGATGACCAGGTTTGATTGCTAATAAAATAATGATAATCTTAAAATTAGTAAATATAAAATCCAGGTAAAGTGATTCATTTATAAATAATAGCTTAATAATAAATAATAAAAAAAAAATGGAATGAAACCAAGAAAGTAACATCTATATTAGAGGACTTTGTATTTAACTCCTTGTTCACATGACTTGAATATAAAATAAAAAGTTTGTTTAACTTAATATTTTTCAAGTCAAGAGACTATTTATTTTCAATCAAAGTTTCCATAAAATTTTGAAAATTCTATGAATGTATAACACTTACTTTTTTTAACTTTAGTGGGATGATGTTCACAGGGGTCTTCACTCCCACATTCCTCACAGACTTGCACTTTTGGCTTCTGATGCATATTCGTCTTGTGACTCTTTAATTCACCGGGTAATGCAAAACAAGCACCACAAACATCGCATGTATAAGGTCGTTCAGGTGTTGTTGCAACAGTTACAGTAGTCGGAGTCTGTACTACAACTTGCTGTGGCTGTTGAAGATTACTCGGTGTCGTATTATGAATTCTTTTGTGGTGATTGAGTAAACTCATATGACCAAAAACTAGGCCGCATATGTCACATTTAAATGTTGCATTTGTTGCAGCCGCTATACTCATTTGATTCAATAAAGTGTTATATCCAACGGGTTGAACGTCAAAACGATAGCAACCCTTGTCATCAGTGGTGATTGCACCAATTGTGCTCACTGTATTTGTTTGAACTTTTTGCAGCATATTCACATTATAATAAAAAGGAAATTCTGCTGCTGTTGTTTGTTGTTGTGTTTTATCCTCTTTTTTCTCAGTAACATACATTTGTTGGGTTTGTTGCTGCTGAGATTGCTGGCTTTGAGCAGCTTGCTGCTGCTGAATTTGTTGTGGATCAAACATTGTAGCTGTCTGTGGCTTTAACAATAAAAAAAAGTCATTATAGAACAATTATAAATAAATTTAATTACATTAATATTTTTATAAAAATTAGTAAATAAAAAAAATGAACTACCTGACGTTGATCCGTGTAACTAGAATTACTTTGTTCTGTTTGTGTAAAACTATTAGTTTGCTCCGTTTGAGTAAACATGGAACACTTGACTGGTTGCTCAACCTGTTGACTCTGTTGATTGGGAATCTTTATAAGATTTCCCTGGAACCGATGTTGGTCTTGTGACTGATGAAGATGTGCTTGATCTTCACTTGTTTCAATATGCAGTGGATCCTCTTTCACAACGTGCTGTACAAAATAAAAATATTAGAAATTTGTCAATTAATTCACGGTGAAATCAAGAAGCTTCAAGTGCACATTGCAAAAAAAAAAGATACGAAAAAATCACGAGTATATTTATCTGTTTGCTTCTTGCTCGTACGCGCGGCATACCTGCTGTATTTGATCAGGACGGGTTGCGTTCAACCACACCACGTTGCTACCATTTGATTCTAGGGCCATTGATGCGCTGCCTTTGACCCTGCGCAATCAATGGACATCCGTTACAAAGATCTCGATGTAACTTGTGGCGCGACTTCATACTGGATGATTTTATTAACGATTATTAGGGAGGAAATATTAATGTAATTTATATTATTAATGAAATCTTCAAACAGTGGGTTAATTGACATTTTAGTGATGTTATTCGATGAATTATTGTAGCAGGTTGTAATTCACCCCCCCTGATCAAAAAACACGCCGTATGAGCAAGAGCTCGTTAAATTTCAGGACCGGTGTGACGAGGAAGTAGGAGTCGGCTTTGTGGCACGCGCGAGCGAGCGAGGCGCAACCCAGCGGTAATGTTGATCCAACAATAAAAAAATAAAGATGTAACATTAGATAAATGTTTTATGACATAAAAGAAACAAAAGGTGAAACAAATGAACGGATAACAATATTCAACAGCCAAGTTATAATGCTACTTACATGTAGTTACATTTACTCGATAACCATATCCAACTTGATGCACCCGGATGATCTTCGAGTTGCCATGACGGCAGTCATAAGTGCGCGGGAGATGGGTCAGGAGTATAAAGAGCAACACAGAGGAAATTGCATACAAAGAATATATCCCTTATCTTGTAGAGTTCTGAAATTCAATATTTTCCTCGTTTCCATATACGAAAAAACCGGACATAAAAAATGCCAGGAAATACCTCACGATCGTAGTATGAAAAAAGGATAAAGGAGAAAAAAGAGGTCAGAGAAAGAAGGACGCGGTGGGCAAAGGTCAGCGATGTGGAACTATGGAATTCAAGGACTTGAGCTTCCTCGTCGCTTGATGAATTCCCTCGTGGCCTTCCTAATGATCACGTCAGAGCAATACAGTTGTCAGAGCGGAGCGTTGGCCCGCTAAGTTCATGTCGGCCAAGCCGTGTGGCTGTTGGTCGTTGGCTGCAGCGACAGCGCGGCTCCTGCGGCTTCTCTCTATTGCCAGCGGCTCGTCTTGGTGGCATATAAAATAAAAGTCTTCCAAGTGCTTTTAAGCGTTCGTTGTCACACACTCGAAAGCGCGAAATCACAAGGCTATAAAGTTTCAATCGATTCCTTTTAGAAGAGCTCGATGAGCGACATCAAGCAGCATAAAGCGGCGTCAACAAACCCGATGGCGGCCATTACACACGACAAGGATAACAATGGTTGCAACTAAAACTGCGAACACGCTTCGCGCAACGTTAAGTCTTGAGTTGTAGAATACACCAAACCAATACTCCTATCTGACTCTTTTCTTCGCACTCACTCCCTCGCACCACAGTCTATTCGCACCAGCAGCTCGCTTTTTTTCTCACGCGGAATAGCGCTGAACAGAGCGCCTTCCGTGACTACAGCCAACCGTCAAGGTCGATCCATGCCGTAGCCACGCTTAGCTACGGATTCAGTGCCCTCTTTGTTCGCTTCGAGCGCCATCATCAAGTTTAAATCAGCGTGCGCATTGTTTAAATTCCCGCCTAAAAATTTAAAATGCATTTGAGCTGCAACAATTCGATTTTTTTATTGTTTTAATAATTAACCAATGTTTGCGTTTTTAATATTTTTTTTCCCTACAATCAATTAGATTGCTATTTAAATAATGTTTTCCAGTTTGAAAAATCAACAACAAGTGAAGATAGAAACTGCACGAATTAATTATTTTACCCAGAGAAAATGAATACTAATAAAGATAAAATAATAAAAATTACTATGATGAGGTTATAAAAAATTTTTATATCTATATATAAACTTTATAACCAATATATTTTCATTATATGTAATTTTTTTTTCTTTGATGGCAATGACATACTTAATGAATATCAATAATTTTTTTTTTTTAAATAATTTAAAAAAGCAATAAATAAACATTGCAGATATTAACCTATATCGTGATGGAAATAAAGTTTTTTTTCTTCAATAATAAATTCAATAATTTTTAATTAATTATTTAATATAATCATACAAATGTGTTGAAAATTAGTTGTTAAAAAATTGCTATTTTATGTATACATCTTAGAAGAAAATAATATTTATTTAAACTAAAAAATTTGATGTTTGACTGATTATATTGATCAAACTATAAAATAGCCCTTTACTCACACTTTTCATATTCATGATTTTAACCATGGACAATATTTCAATAACAAAATACATGATTTTCTATTTATATGATACATTTATTGTTTTTCAAAAATAATTCATGTTATAATATTTATTTTTAGTTGATATCTGTAAATTTTGTCAACTCTAATAAAAACTTTGTCATTTTTGTTAGATATTTCCATCAATAATACCACAGATCAATCAATATCAGCCAGAAGATTACAATTTGACATTGTGTTAAATATAAATTTAAAAAACAGCTTCAATAAGTTTGTAGTTTCAGAAAAAAATATTCAAGATTGTGGAAAAAAAGCGCAGTCGCAAATGGGAGGCGGGTGAGATTCGAAAAGGAACCGGGTTACTTGTCTTCAGTCGATGTCGCGACGTCGCCGCGACACCAACTAATAGTAGATTTTTGGCTTAAATCAAGCTGAATGGAACACGATTTACCTTTTTTTTAATTCTTTAATCAACTACTCCAAATGATTAATTCAAAGGTACAAACTAATATCAATTGTGGTTACTAGAAGCTACGAAAATCTGGAAATTAAAGCAGTATTTTAAATTCTAGATGAAATAAAAAAAAGTCCAGATGAAGAGAAAACTAAAACTTGATTTCGGGAAGGATAATTGAAATCATTATCATCAAGGATGTCCAATTCATCAATAGAAAGAAGATTGCCACCAAGGCCTAAAATAAAGCTACCCGTCCCAGGCCAGTATGGCCATTATCCTCAAACACCAGTTGGATATATATCTACGCCTTATGGTCAAACACCAAAGCCACCAACACCAGGATCAGCACCACAGAATGTTTTATATGTCAATAAAGCTAGTGAGTTTGTCTTTGCTCAATTTAAAGGAATTAAGGATTTTACTAAATCAGGACTCAGCATTGGTGAAAAGAGTGCTTTTTGGCTCTACGAAAAAGTAAGAGTATTCATCAATTAAAATAATCTCCACTAACGATAACAATTTTGCTTTCATTAGTTACTAATTTAACGTTTATATTCCTAGGTCAGTTCCTGGAGCAAACGTTGGTTTACTCACATATTTCTTTTCGTTATCGTACTTCTGTATAGCATAGCTGGCGCCTGGATTTTTGTTTACCTAGAAGGACGAAATGAAGAGCGAGTTATTCTTGACATCAGGAGAGATAGAAATGATACAATTCGGATAATTAGAGAATACTGTGAGGACACAGATCTCTTTGAACAGCCTGATCGATGGCGAGGCAAGACAGCAAGGCAGTTGATGGACTATGAAATAAAGCTAAAAGAGCATTATAAACATGGACTTATGAATGAGAATGAGAAGGTATGGACCTTCTGGAATGCTATGTTCTACTGTGGAACAATATTCACTACTATAGGTAAGTGTTCTTAAATTAAATCAACTTAAGTGTCCGATTATGTAAAGAAGCTTTGAAAAAGAGTTGCTTTCAAGAATATTTATTCTTACCCATATCTTGTGATGTGTAGTTGGGGCTTTTTTTTCTTGGTTTTGTGATGCCTACCGCAGAAAGATCCCACGCGTCCTATTTCGGGAGTGTGACACATTACGCAAGAAGACATACAGAAAGAAGATGAAACAGATAAATTTTGTGTTATTTTAGAGGTTGACCTATTGCTGTGTGTGATTTACTTATATAAAGCTCTTAAATACCTAGAAGTCATTTGATGGCTTTTATTATGCAGATACATTCCGAAGAATGTGGACGACGCAGCCGCGAGTAGTTTGCCGCAGTTACATGTCATTCGGCGACTTTTCATTACCGTGAAGATAGAAAAGTAAGTGCGGGTGCTGTAGTAGTTTGGTGGTGGGAGCTCAAACTTTATTTTCGTCTTGAATCTTAACTTTTGTACATCGTGGTAGCTTTCAGAGTCATCGCACTCATTGTCTGCGGTGTTTTTCAGTTCTAAAAGTATATTAAACTTATCATTAATAACATGGAAGATAGTTATACAGTGCATCGTAGACGAAAAGCAGCTGCTAGAAGACGTGACAAGACACCAGAAGCATCAAGAGCTGTTGGAGGAACTAAAGATGTCAATAATGCTGGTGATGATGATGATGATGACAGAAAAAAATTGGAGGCACGAGCACGTATGGAGCAAATGGTGGAAGATACTGAAAAAATGGAAGAATTAGCTACTGATGGAAGAAAAAAATCATCTCCAATCGTTGAGAAACCAGATACTAAAGTCGAAACTAATGATGATAAAAAAAAAGATAATCAAGTTGTAAGTAGTAACAATGATAAGAGTGAATTGAAATCTCAGCAAAAAGCAGAATCTACTGATGAAAATTTTACCGTGAAAGATACGATGAACGAAAATAGATTAGAGGCAAGTAAACGAGTTAAATCGACTGTATTTAAAGAAGAGGCACCTCGACGACGACCTAAACGGTCAAAGGAGCGAAAACATTCGAGTGATTCAAGTCTAGCTGAAGATGACAGATCGAGTAAAAGTGATAAAGATGAAAGAAAGCGAAAGCCAAGAAGATTACGTAGAGAGATTCGTAATGAAGAGCCACAGGTTATCTCCGCTAATTTGACTCTTCCTATCAAACAAATTATACCTTTGAGTAGCGAAAGTCTTATTGAAGATTTCAAGAAAGCTCAAATTGAGTATGAAAGGAGAGAACTAGGTATTCTTGAAGTGGAAATTGATGACTATGTTCATCCAAAAATGGAGGCTGCTTTGAGAAGACGGAGTAATAAGACAATAGAAAAAGACGAAAGTGAAGTAGTAGAAGACAAAAAAACGGATCAAACTACTAATGAACATCCTTCTTGGTTATGGTCATGGTTATCAAGTTTCAAATCGAAAGTAAAAGATGAAAAATTAGAGGATGAAGAAAAAAAAAAGAAAGAGGAAGCGGTTAAGCAGGAGGAAATAAGAAAGGAGCAAGAAAAAAAAGAAAAGGAGTCCGAAGAAACTAAAAAGGTTGTAAAGAAATCTAAATTATTGGAATTCATTCGATTATTGTCAGATTTAAAAGAAGAGTTCAAAGCATTTGTTGCTCAAAATCCACATGAAATAGAAATAATATGTAAAATACGTAATAAATGTATAATTCAATTAATCTTGATCATCATTTATTGTGGTCTTGGAGCTTTTGTTTTTCGGTTTATTGAAGGTGCTTTTGAAACATTCTATAAATGTGGAGTCAAACGAGTAAAGCGAGACTTTTTAGACAGTCTTTGGAATTATAGTCATAACTTACGCGAAGATGATTGGAAAAGTATGGCTAGGAGAAAACTAATGGAGTTTGAAGAACAACTTCATGCTGCTCACGAAGCTGGTGTCCATTCATACAGTGGACAAAAAAGCTGGACTTTTTTGAATGCCGTTGTTTATTGTTTGACTGTTATCACGACTATTGGTGAGGCTTTTTTTGTCCTTCTGCCTTTTTTTATTGAGAAAAGATAATTTTTTTTCAGTAACTCAAGTTTCTTCTTTATTCAGAAAAAAACCAGTCTTATTGATTAAGTCTACGTTAAGTGGCGTCTACAGTAATAAGTGTACTTATAACAATCTTCATATTCGTTTTTTTTATGTATTTTGATACGACTTGAAAACGTATCTTGATAGATACTCTAATAGAGCAGAAAATAAGATAAAAGTAGATGATAAACTGGATTAAACAAAGATATTAAACGGAAAATCAATTACCATAATAAAGCTTTAAAAAAGTAATATTGTACTTTTCAATATTTCTTTTTAAATAATCTCTTACCTGAAAAATAAATCAATTATTTCCGAAAAATATTATTGGTATTTATTAATAATCTTATGAATTTCAATGTAGCACTGAAATATTGATAAAAATATCATGAATAGTATTCATGAAAATTATTTCCAATATTCAAAAACATTTTATCAAAAAATGACTTGTAATAAATTGATAAATGATCCCTTGAGATGCATCTAACATACAAATAATAAAAAAAGATATTTTTCTTCAGGTTACGGTCATATATCTCCAAGCACAACAACAGGACGAGCTGTCACAATAGTCTACGCGATATTCGGCATCCCAATGTTTCTAATAATCCTCGCGGATTTCGGAAAACTATTCACTAGAGGGATCAAATTTCTTTGGGCATTCGTAAGAAGAGTTTATTACACTGGTAGTTGCAAAAGAGTGCGAAGAACTGCACCTGTTCAGGTAATTATCGTTCATTGTCTTTTATTTTATATAGATAGACACAGACTAGTTCATTCATGAATCGATTTTTCATTCAGGAAGTTATGAAGGGAGTTCAACTGGTCTATGACTTTGCAACCTTTCGGCGTCCTTCGCAAATGAATCCCGAAGAATTGGCTGAAATGAGAAAACAACAAACGGTCCTTAATCTTGACGGAAATGCTCCAGTAACACAACCTGGTACACCAGCAACACCAGAGCTGTCAGCTTTTGCGATAGATGACGAATTCAACCTTCCAATATCTGTTGCAATAACCATCTTACTGGTTTATATATTTGTTGGAGCAACTGTTTATAATATATGGGAACGATGGGGTTTCTTCGAGAGTTTTTATTTTGTATTTATATCAATGAGTACAATTGGCTTTGGTGACTATGTACCAAAGGTAAGAATTAATCTTAAAACTTTTAATCTTATATGCTGTGTGCTTATTTTTCTCTTTTTAATGTGTCTACTTTTAATAATTTGCTGATGTGCATTTTTACATTTTTTTCACGCCGGACGTTAGATGGTAAGGTTGAAATAGACATAAGCAATAGTGTAGCTTCTAATTTATTGAGTTGATTATGCCAAATGATCATTTATTCAATGCTATTTTTATGCAGGTTTTTTTAACGAGATCTTAAAAAACTTTACTTTGTTCCAAGCCTTAAGGCATTATTCATAAAGAATTTAAACTCCTAGAATTTTCACCCAATGTTTAATTAATTAAGCAAAGTGGAAGCAAACGAATGACAATCACAAGTTGCTAGTTCAAATAGTAAATATTAAATATTAAGTGATGAAATTTACTTTCTGGGTCATGTTATAGAAGTTGGATCTTGAAAATAAATTTATATGCTTTTTGCAAAACATTTTGATTGAATGTCTGGAATATTGAATAAACTTCAAAAATATAATAAAAATTTTACACTAATGTTTAGCTGGTTGTGGTTAAACACAAAATAAATTTCTATTGATTTTGGCATAAACGTTTGAAAGAGTAAGGACTCTATTTCTCAAGATTGCACTTTTATATCCGTAAAAGTTATAAAATTAAACTAGTGTGTGGTATCGTTGTACACACACTCAAACGACTGCTGTTTTCCAGCTGAATTTCTAAATGAATCGAGGATAATCAAGTCACTTTGGCATAGTCATCTGCAGTATTTTAATGAAGTTATAAAAATATATATATAATACTTTTTTCATAATTATATTTAATTACTTATAAACTTTTTACTTTACACAGCATCCTATTTATATGATGTGCTCGATAGTCTACCTCGTGTTCGGTTTAGCATTAACATCAATGTGTATCAATGTCGTTCAGGTAACAATGGTCTAGATTTTTACTACATGTCACCTTGGTTCAATAATGAAAATGATGGAAAAACATTTTGATAACCTTACAGGTAATGCTATCAGATTCGTTTAAACATGCAACTCAAAAGATAGGAGCAACCATTGGATTTGAAGTCACCGAGGACGACGGATCGATACAACCAACTGTACCACCACCGGTGGAAGTCGCAGAAGTTCACGCGACAATTAAAGAAGAAGATGAGACCAAAGAAGCTCCAAAAGCTAAAGAAGAAGATGTTGAATTATAATAATTTATTTAAATTAATCTAAAAATTATTTCATTACTTCTTATACTACTAATATATATTTTTTTGTATTTCATTTTAAAGCAACAAATTTCAATTACCAAAGAAATTTTATGCACATTTTTCGCTATAATGCTGTGAAATGTTATATTATTGCGAAATGCCTGTGCTATTTGTCAGGAAAATATTGTGCCTTTTCATAAAGATCTTCAAAATATCAATAATAGTCTTAATATATTATTTACTATTCTATTTATTAGACATCATTTATTATTCCATTCTCAACAGATGGATTTTCATAATTTTTTTCGCTCATGCTAATACTTGATCTACATTCCCAGGTAATTAAAGAGACTATTGTACTTCACATATATGTATGTTCTCTCATGTATTAGAAGCAGATTACCATATTATTTTTAACTGCTATTTTCAAGTGATTTAAAACCAAAGAGGAATTAAATTGGTCGAGAGATAAACTCAGCAATTTTTTGCTTGATTATAATTTTCAACCATCCTTGGAATATCGAATTAATTTATAGTTAAAAAATAATTAATAAAACGAGAAAAATCTGGCAGATGTCCAGAAGGGAATTGGAGCACAAAGTATCAACAAAACAAATTTATAAAATAGCCATTGTTAGCCATTTCCGTATATGAATCATGTCGCTAAATGATCCAGATCTGTACAGATGCGAATTGTGTTCATGCAGTTAAATACATATACATATTGCTCCACCGATTGATGACGTCACTTTATCCGCATAGCGTTGCTGCCGTGACTTTGCGTCAAGCCATAATACGCTGCGTTGCCGCTTCAGTAGTATGTTGAATGGCAATATGGCATGCATATGACACCGGGTTTGTTGTCGTTCAAGTGCACTGTTTATTAGAATTTGTTTTGGTTATATAATCGAGTAAAATGTCGCATGTGCAGTACGTTGATGAATTGGTTAAAGAGTACCTTCTTTTTCGAGGCTTTAGTCAAACACTTAAGGCATTTGACAATGAACTCAAAGCAGAAAAAGAGAAAGGTTTCAGGGTAAGTTTACATTAGTTTACTTACTCCAATTAATATGCGTACAACTATAGTAGGTTTTTTTTATTCTTGTTTAATAAATATGATATTTTTTTCCATTTTAGGTCGATAAGATTGTTGATCAGCTGATGCAGTATATTTATACGTTTGATTTAATGTCATTACGAGAACTCTGGGGACATTTAGATATTCGAATGTTTTCACGATTAGAAAGTCACTTTGTTCCAAGTGTTAGGAAGTTAGAGAATGCCGTGTTAAAGATGTACCTGGTGAATGCAACAGTGAATAATAAACAAGAACGTGTGCATGAGTTTTTTACTAAAATGACTCCAGAATTACAAGGGCATTCAGAATGGAAAGAATGGTTTGGTAGGACTTTATTTCTAAACATGAATGTGGTTCTTTTATATATACACTAATGACTGTATCTATTATTCAACCTAACAATATAGCATTGCCATTCACAAAAAACCCTGAGGACAACCCAACATACTCTGTTCATTTTACCAAGCAGTGGCAGGATACGATGCTAGTCTCATTGCACAATTTTCTCGCAACAATATTCCAAGTGGGTAAATGGGTTCAATCTACATAACTGTACACGATAAATAATGGAGCTGAGGAAAGGACGACGCTTCTAACAATTTTTACAGTGTATGCCACAGCCCACACTTCTTACCATTGATGAGGATGTTAACAAGTTGAAGCGTCTACAGGAAGAAAACGAAGCTCTCAAGCAGTGTCTCAGTGAAGCTACCAAGATTGAAAATATCTCGGATGTCAACCCTGGGTCTACGCCACAACATCCACCAATCATGGACGATTTTTATATTATTGCTCAGTATGTAAACGTACAATTATTTTATAAATATCTCTATCAAAAGATCATGAAAATACTAAATATTTTTGCAGAGAATCTCCACTTATGGAGAATCCCAAAACACTTCGGAATTTGATTAAGAATATTGGCGGAGGTTCCAGTCCCATTCTGCATCGAAAGAGTCTTTCAACGACTAAAAAACAACTAGAGGCAGATGCAATATCCACAAAGAGAGCATGTACCAAAGGAAGAATCAATTCCTTGAATAAAAGTGATGTTGTGACTAAGAGAAGTATGAGCTGTGACTCAAGATTAACAAGAAAACGAGATTTTTCAATTGAGTCGACAGTTGAAAGGAAAGCCAAAGATAAAATTGAATCCAATTACATCCTTCTAAGTCAGGTAGGAATGTTAGAAATTAAATTTAATGAGAAATGATATTTTATAGCATGAAATTCTTGTAGGAAGAATATACGGAACATAAGACATCAATAATCCAGTGCAAAAGTAATACCAGTGGATCATATGTAGCAACTGGTGATGCGGATGGTATTATCAAAGTATGGACTCCAATACCTTCACCAAAGTAATATTTTTTAATTACTTAAGTTTTCATAAGTTACGACGAAAGTTTTACTATTATATGTTCAATCTTTAAACTTGAACCTTTTTTTCAGAACCGTTGGAACATTTACATCATCTATGTTAAATGCAAACAAAGCTGTTACTTCGTTGGATTGGATTTCAAAAAATGAAAGATATTTTTTGCATGGAGATAATAGTGGCTCAATCCATCTTCATGATACGAGAGACTGTAAAACATTGTGGGAAATTCAACATGAGGGCTCACGGATCGTTACGCTGGCTTGTAACCCTTTAGAGTCGACATTTATCTGCTCTGTGACGGATTCCAATGAGAGTAAACTTCTACTCTACGATGTCAAGACAAAGAAGCTGGAAAGAACATTACCAATCGATGGGAATCTGACTGCATTGTGTTCTGTTTTCAATCACAATGGCCAACTACTGATAACGGGATTATCAAATGGAAATTTACTGATACATGATCTTAGAAAGAATGAAATAATAGACAATCTTACCTGTCATTCAAGTCCGATAATTGATATTGAATTGATAAATGATTATACTAATATTTGCATCTTAAGTGAAGATGGTAAATTATGTCAGAAGAGCTTAAACCAAACTGCAAAAGTAATGTGGGAAACAAAAATCAAGATTGAAAAAAATGCAGTACATGGGAAAATGTTTACATTTGATCAGAGTGGAAATCACATGCTACTCTGCACACAATCAGGAGGAAATATTTACAAAGTAAGTTTTAAATTAATTTCGACTAAAAAATTATATTTTAGGTCAATATGAGATTATACACAACACCAAATATAATAATTGATGTTATCTCAACCGTAAATTTGATACCAGTTGGCTGGAATAGAATTAAATTATATCCAACCGAGTTATTTAATGATATGAAACTATTAATCAAATAACTAAGCTAATTATATTTCATATTTATTACATTTAACAAAAGATTTACACATAGCTGAATAATTATTTTTATCTTATTACAATTGTATTTAATAGTATATCTGTTATGTGGAAATATAAATTTCAGATGCCACCAGGTGCTCAAGCAAAAATCCTAGAACTTGGTGGTCATAAAGGAACATTATGTTGTGACTGGTCTACTGCCAATCAATCCGGAACATGTATTACAGGTGGAGCCGAGGGTAAAGCAAGAGTTTCTACCCTTCTTTCGCCATGATACAAAACTAAAATTAGCCTTTGTATAAACTCTTAATGAATTTGGCAAAGATGTTGAGATGATATTTTTGACTTTTGACTGATATAGTGCACATAATTGTAGATAATGTAATAAAACCTTTGTAAGACTTATGTATATAATACAGTCTTTATTACCTTATTTAAACTTCTATTTTAAGTCGTAAATTTTAAGTTGTTTCGAAGGCGAGGAATTTACAATCTTGTCGATGAATTGAACGTCGTTGGAATGGTCCCATGGTATCGAGTTGTGGTGACCAGAAACGTCGAAGAGCTTCGTTTATTTCTGCTGGCGTAATTGGCTTAACACTAGTTCCCTATTAAACATATATTTATGGTTTCATTTTTTCAATAGAAAATAAAAGATAAAACAAATATATTTTGATAAATATTACTATAACACTTCTTACTTTTCCATACTGATGAGGTTTGTACGTATAAGGATTATAGAAACTAAACCGTAATCTATCTAAACTATCTCCATGTATTTTACTTTGGTCTTGTCGTACTAAAAAAGCTAAATCCATTATTTGTGCGACGGTTTCAAATGCAAGGTATCCAAGTATTGTATACGACGACTTGGAAATTTTTATGTCATCTGGAATTTGAAATTTTCAATGAGTAAAATTAATCAAAATAAAAATACCATAAATTTTGAATAAAATTGTATGTAGATAGTTACTATCAGTTGCAATCCAAGATTCAAATTTATGATTATATTTATTGGCAAATGATGCAGCTCTCGCTTTACTGTATTCCAAATATTGTAAACTATCCATCTTCCTACTTGCTAATTCAGCACGGATTTCTCGATTGCGTTTAACATAATCGATGTGGTTTTCTGAATCAGTCAGAACACCAATGGTATCTATTGATTCAATAAATTTTCTATGAGAACTTTTCTTTTTTGCATTATTTTGGGTATCATCAAGTAGATCATCGTTTAATTCACTGTCTAGAACCTTATTGATCGAAGACTTGAAATCCTTAAGATCTAGAAATGTTAAAAAGCGTGAATGAATTAAATTTAATATTCTTTGTTATTGCTCCTCAAAATATATTTACCTAAATATTTTAGAAGACGCTGCAACTGTGTTTTATCACGTCTTAACAAAAATAGAAAATCTCTTTCTTCAACAATTTGAGAATCCCTCATGTCGGCTATTTTGCTAGCTTCATAAACAATGGATTTCATTTGTCTCTGTACAACACTATTGATGATTTTCGCCGATTCAATAAGAGGCTCTGAACAATCGCCAAATCCATACATCATTCGACGGACTTCTAAAATATACATCATGTTAATGATTATGTGTTCTTATAACTGTATGTATGAAACATAGAAACAATTATTAAAATCTGATTTACTTACCTGGAATATAATTTACAGATTCACTTTTAACATTAGCATTAATTGAACTAGCTGTTGACTCAGTCATTGCGTCTTAATTATTTTTTATTTTCAATAAAATTACAATATTAGTAAACTGAGTGATGTAAACAATGATCCAGCAATGCAACTTGTTAGAGTTTTTTAACTTAAATGACCATTGTTATTCTCGAAAAGTCTTTAAAACACTACAATACATTGTCCTTGTTTGACAATAAATATTATATAATTTGTCTTTAAGATTTTATCATAAGAATTATTGTTACAAATTTTTCCTGACAATCAAAAGCTCACTTTTTAGCCTTACCTCCACCTGTCCCATGTCGGAATTGAACACATGTGCGATAAAGTAGAAAGCAATGTCGTAATACCAATAGACGGGTATACTTCTATAGAATATACACTTATATATATATACTTATATATACACTTATAATATATATACTTCTATACTTCTATACTGATTGTGAATAGCAAGAAAAACTAAAGAGGGTGCCGGTAGCTAAAGACCAAAGAAAATTGCGCCACAAGTGTAGACAGATGAGTAACCAAATTTTATAACCAATATCCTTTCGGATATGAAGCTTCCTGTCTTCTTGTTCTCATTTATTCCCGGTTTGACAGTTATAGAAATAAAAAGGTACCTACTATTTGAAAATCTATGCCTGTAGTGATGTTAATGGCTGCCGAAACATTGTTAACGACTTCCTAGGATATTTTTTTGATTATTTGTGATAACGGTATAAAATAAAGTAACGTATACGATAGATACTCCAAGTTTCAACAAAATAAAAATATCATTTTATATTCGCACGACTTGTCCCTAGCGGTAAGCATCTTTTTATGACAATAAAGATCACTAAAATTGAGCAAAATCTCAAGAGCTTATATATGTATATGTACATTTTTACTTATTTTTGCACTCAATTTGTCAATAATTAATGATAGCTCGTAATATTTTTACATGTTACTTTATAATCGATTTTAATTATAATTTTTCTTTTAAAATGGAGAATCTGTTAAACACTCATGTTATATACTGAGTAATATTCTCGCCAATGTCTTATGGATGAGACAACCATTGAAAAAAAAAAAATAAAATGGTTTGAATCATTCGAGTCATATAAGGTCAATAAATTTTTTGTAGAAAGCTATCATTTTGTAAGAGTGTTTGTTTACTCATATCCATGGTTAATCAATTAAAGTCGTTCCATTATTAATTCAATTTGTTTTGCTACTTGTACAGGGAAGAAAATAATTAATGGAGGAAGAAACAGAGTTTACCAAATTACCTGTTGAGGATAGATGTGTCCATAAAGTAATTATTTATTTAATTTGTATATTTCCCCAAGGAATTTATCATTCTAGTTGTTAATATATTAATTGATTGCAGTCATGGAAAGCCAGAGTTCATGGATACGAAGAATGTACAAAAAAGTTTGGGCTAATTGACGATGAGAAGTCTCCTGAATGGAACAAATTTCTAGGCTTAATCAAAAAATTTGTCATAGACAGCAATGCCGTAGCTCAAGAAAAAGGATTAGAAGCTACATTAATATTTGTGGAAAATGCTACTTGCGCTGGAAAGTGAGTAACATTTATTTTAATGTAAATATTCAGTAATCAATCAAATTATTATTAATATTTATGTATCTATCAGAAATTATTATTCTAATAAATAATGAATTAATGTTATCTGCAGAACCGTGGGAGAGGTAATGAGTGGACTGGTTAACAAATGTATAGCAGCACCCAAGGCCAAAACAAAAGACTTGGCAGTACAGATAACATTAATGTATATAGAGATTGAAAAACATGAAATAGTTCAGGAAGAATTACTAAAAGGAACAGAAGCTAAAAATCCAAAAATAGTTGCAGCTTGTATTAATACTTTGACTTTGAGTCTTAAAGAATTTGGATCGAAAGTTATAAATATGAAACCATTGATCAAAAAAATTCCTGCATTTTTAGAAGATCGTGATAAAAGTGTACGAGAGGAAGGAAAAGCAATGGTCATTGAAATATATCGATGGGTCGGCGCACCATTAAAACAACAATTAAACACTTTGAAACCAGTCCAAATGACTGAACTCGAAGCAGAATTTGCAAAATTGAATAACACAAAAGCACATCCAACACGTTATTTACGATCTCAAAAGCCTCAAAAAGTAACAATTGAGACGACGTCAGTTGGAGACGAAGATGTAGATAATGATGAAGATGATGATGAGGCAGATGGCAATGATGTCGATCCTTATGAACTCATTGATCCTGTTGATATTCTTTCACAACTACCAAAAGATTTTTACGAAAAGGTAGAAGCTAAAAAATGGCAGGAACGCAAAGAGGCTTTAGAACAATTAGAAAATCTGACAAAAAATCCCAAACTCGAAAGTGGTGATTATGGTGATGTAGTTCGAGTTTTGAAAAAAGTTATTGCAAAAGATTCAAATGTCGTTGTAGTAACTATTGCCGGAAAATGTCTAGCAGGTTTGGCTGGTGGCCTAAAGAAACGTTTTCAGCCGTATGCTAGTGCATGTTTACCAGTCGTTTTAGAGAAATTCCGTGAAAAGAAACCTACAGTTGTAACTGTTCTAAGAGAAGCTGCTGATGCTATCTTTCACAGTACTACTATTGACGTTATTCTTGAAGATTCTCTTGCTGCGTTAGAAAACAAGAATCCATCAGTTAAAGCTGAAACAGCCGCATTTTTAGCTCGTGCTTTTGCAAATACTCCTGCACCGAGTTTAAACAAAAAATTATTAAAAGCTTATAGTGGAGCTTTACTCAAAACTCTTAATGAGCCAGATCCGACAGTTAGGGATAATTCGGCTGATGCATTAGGTACAGCTATGAAATTGATTGGCGAAAAAGCAATGACGCCATTTATTGCAGAATTAGATGCTTTAAAAAAGTCGAAAATTCAAGAATGCGCTGAGAAAGCAGTAATTTTAGTTAAAGTTACTGGACATCGAAAGACTGATCGACCGACAACAGCTCCAGCCAAAATTGAATCAGCAAAACCAACAGCTTCTAACGATACTGTCAAAGCTCTTAAAAGACCAAATTCCACGACAACAAAGAAAACAGGTGGTGTCAAAAAAGCTGCTGGAGGATCAAGTAATTCAGCACCATCGAAGAAAGTAGCTTCTACAAAAGTACAAGTAGAAAAGGACCTAAGCAGTGAATCAGTTGATGAACTCGCTGCAGAATGTTTATCTGCTGAAATTTTATCAGGTTTAGTTGATTCAAATTGGAAATCTCGTCTAGCGGCTGTTGAACAACTTCTAGATACAATCAAACAAATGAATTCTAATGATGTTTGCACGCAAGTTCTTGTAAGAGTATTGGGTAAAAAACCCGGCTTCAAAGATACTAATTTTCAGGTTTTAAAGCAAAGATTAGAAATAGTAAAAATGCTGGCCGAAAACTATTCATTTTCTGTTACCACTTCCAGTTATTGTATTATGGATATTGTAGAAAAATTAGGAGATTCAAAGAATAGTTCAATAGCTGCAGATACTTTGATAGCCATAGCAGAAGCTACAAGTCTAGAACATGTAGCTACTGAAGCAATTACTTTTGCATTCAATCAAAAGAATCCGAAAGTACAACAAGAAACGTTGCTTTGGTTATCAAATGCTCTACTTGAATTCGGATGTACAATTAATATGAAAGCTTTAATTGAACACATTAAAAAAGCTATTTCTGCGACAAATCCTGGAGTTCGTACTGCTGCAATTACGTTAGTCGGAACACTTTATTTATACCTTGGGAAACCTTTATTAGCATTTTTCGATAGTGAGAAGCCTTCATTGAAGCAACAAATAGAACAAGAATGTGAAAAACGCAGTGGTGAGGAACCACCTGAACCTAAACGTGGACCAAAAAATAAATCAAGTAAAAAGAAGGTAGATGATTTTGATGAACAAGATGAAATTGACGATGATGTACCTAATCAAGTAGAAACAAATGATCTCTTACCACGAGTTGATATTAGTAATCACATAACTGAAGCACTTCTTGCTGAATTGAGTGACAAAAATTGGAAAGTTCGTAATGAAGGTTTACAGAAAGTGAGTAACATCATTTCAGAAGCTAAATTCATTAAAGGATCAATCGGTGAATTACCACGAGGGTTAGCACCTCGTTTAGTAGACAGTAATACCAAAATAGCTCAATCTGCTCTTGGAATTTGTGAAACATTGGTCAATGCGATGGGTCCACCTGCTAAACAACATATTCGTATTCTCTTCCCAGGGTTTATTCAATGTTTAGGTGACTCCAAAAATTGGATTCGTTCAGCCGCAATTTCTTGCATTAATACATGGGGAGATCAATGTGGATATAAAGAATTCTTTGACGGTGAAATGATTGGTGATGCTCTAAAATCTGGATCGCCAGCACTTCGTTCGGAATTATGGACCTGGTTATCCCAGAAACTTCCTACTATTCCTGTCAAACAGATTCCAAAAGAAGAACTTATGGTCTGTATACCTTACTTATATAATAATTTGGAAGACCGTAATTCAGACGTCAGAAAAAATGCTCAAGAAGCTGTTTTAGGATTTATGATTCATTTATCCTACGAAGGTATGGTGCGGCAAACAGAAAAATTAAAACCTGGTTCAAAAAATGTTGTTATGGCTTGTTTGGAAAAAACACGACCAAGTCTACCAATAAAACCTCTTCCCAAGAAACCGATTCCTGATGAATCTCAGCAAAAAACTGTGAAAAGTGGTGGAGCTATGAAAGCTGCAAAGTCTATTGTTAAACCTAAAAGTGCTACTTCTTCCAAACCAGGTAGTGCTAGGAAGAAAGATGATGATGCAGACACAAGTCCATTGCTTGCTGTAAATAACTTGAAACATCAAAGAGTTATTGATGAACAGAAATTGAAAGTGTTGAAATGGAATTTCACCACACCAAGGGAAGAATTTGTAGATCTTCTTAAAGAATTAATGAGCTCAGCAGGAGTTAACAAAACATTAATAGCTAACATGTTCCACTCTGACTTTCGGTATCATCTAAAAGCCATTGAATCCTTGACAGAAGATTTACAAGATAATAGTAAAGCTCTTGTATCAAATTTGGATTTGATACTCAAATGGTTGACATTACGATTCTTCGATACAAATCCTTCGGTGCTTCTTAAAGGATTGGACTATCTTCAAACTGTATTTACTATTCTCATTGAAGATCAATATCATATGTTAGAAAATGAAGCTGCTTCTTTTATACCTTATCTTATTATAAAAATTGGAGATCCAAAAGATTCTGTCAGAAATGGAGTCCGAGCTTTGTTTAAACAAATAGCATTAGTCTATCCAGTCAGTAAACTATTTTCTTATGTAATGGAAGGCCTTAAATCTAAAAATGCTCGACAAAGAACTGAATGTTTAGACCAATTAGGTTCTCTTATTGAAAATTATGGAATAAGTGTTTGTCAACCTACTCCTTCAGCTGCTCTTCGAGAAATTGCCAAACAAATAGCTGATCGTGATAATTCTGTCCGTAATGCCGCCTTAAACTGTATCGTCCAAGCCTACTTCCTTGAAGGTGATCGAATAAATAAACTCATCGGTCAAATGTCGGAAAAAGATCAATCTCTGTTAGAAGAACGTATTAAACGTGCTAGCAAAAATCGTCCTATTAAATCCGCCTCTTCTACAAGGATGTCTGCTGTTCCTCCTGTAGCTTCTGTTGGACCAGTGAATGATGATGTTGACCCTGATATGGAAGATGAAGAAGAAGAGCAAATGGAAGAAGTTATTGAGCCGTTGAATGACAGGTGGGATGATCAAATAAATTACATACATTTTTCTTTTATTCAAATTTTCGTTTAATTTATCTATTACTGAATTTTTTTATTGCTTTCATAATTTAACAATTTAATAACTTTTTCCCGCTGGTGAATATTTACAGGAAAGAATTGCCAATTGTTAATGGGCATCCAAGTCCCCCAGGAAAAGAAGTACAATCACAACATGGAATATTAAAATCTCCCAGCGCTGATAATAATTATATTAATCATACAGAGCAAACGTTCGTGATTGGCTTATTTTTAATTATTCTTTATACTTAAAATTTTAAGTGGTGATGGGTTATTTTCAATTTATAGCCTTGAAAATTTTTACTGTGACGCCTTGACTTCTAACATTCTTCGAAGATTACTAAAACGCATGGAAAATTTTATTTCATTATCATTATAATACTGATCTTTTTTTCTCATATTCCTTGCAAACTGCGTGTGTGTGTGTGTGTGAATGTTTTTTAATTTCTAAATGTACACGTAGGTTTATTTAATTTATTTGATTACAGGTATATGCTTCAACCCAAGGCAAAAATATCAGGACCTTTTGGGCTGGATATGGATTTCTTGAAGAAACTAGAAGAGGAGGCTCCTGCAAAATGGAAAATACCTGAACTTACAGAACTAAGTTGGGATCCAAATGAATCTATTAATTTATTAAACAAACCGACTAGTAATATAATTCCAATAACGCCACCATCATTACTCACCCGTTCATCACGAATCTCACCGCTAGGAACACCAGTTAGTAAAGAAGATAGTTTAGAGAGATGTATTCTCGCTATGGCAAGTCCCGATTTAGGAGCAGCCTTACAAGCTTTAAGTAACATGGAAACAATTTTGAAGTCTCCGCAAGTATCGATGATTCAATCAAAGGAAGATAAATTTATTAATTCTATAAATATGCAATTAAGACTCTTACAAACGTACCCATTAACATCTGAAAGCGTTGAGATAGCAAAGGCCTTCAGAACAACATTTATGGTCACACTGTCATTTTATGACTCGGGGATCCTTGGAAAAAATGTCCCAACATCTCAATTGAAAGAATTAGTTCATCAAATGTTAATGCTTCTAGCTGAAAATAAACTAGATCATATAAATCAAGCTGATGTCTACAATCGAGTTGTTAATGTTATTGTTGTTAAAATGATTGATCACTCGAATCACACTACTATCATATGCGTACTAATAAAACTCCTACATGAGTGTGCCGAGGCTAAAGTTGCTCCAAAATATGAGGAATTGGTAATGAAATGTTTATGGAAAATTGTAAAGACTATTAATAATTGGGCTGTTGAATTGGATTATGATGCAATTCTTCTAGAAGTACATCATTTCTTTAAAGATTATCCTTCATCTTGGTGGAAAAAACGTAACTCAGATATGCCAGTCCGTACTATTAAAACCATTCTTCATAGCATGACAAAAGTCAAAGGCAGTGCCATTCTGAATCATTTGAGCAGAATTAATGACACTAATGAGTCTGAATTACGTTGTTATCTTAATAGACTTATTGATATCGTAAATCCAGATGATATTCATTCAGGAACTCGAACAATTACGAAGCAGAAACATCTTTCAAAAATTACTCATGCTCAGTTAACAGAAATATTTAAAAAGATTGGCTCAAAGCATCAAACTCAAGAGGGTTTAGCTCAGTTGTATGATTTTAAAATCCAACATCCAGAAGCGGATGTTCAACCATTTTTGGTCAAATCTCACCAATTTTTCCAAGAGTTTATAGAACAAGGCCTCAAGGATATTGATCAAGCACGTAAGAATCAAAATATTACTTCCCAAATGAATCATCAGTATGGAACGACAGGAGTCCCAGTGCAGGCACCAGTGACTATTCCAGAAGAGAAAAATAGTATGGATCCCATTCAAAGGCTGGAAAAATTACGAGCTTTAGAAGCCCAGTACCGTGCGAATGCTCCAAATCAGTCAAATCCAACGTGAATTCAATTATTTATTAAACATAGTTTTAACTCAAGTATCAGATAGATGTTATGTACATAGCTCTGGGTAGTTCTTTTGGAAAAACTAATTAAGTATTAAAAATCTCACTGTTTTTAAATTATTAATCAACTGGAATAAATTTAAGTGAGTATAATTTTGCTAAAAACCGTAGTAGAATGAATGAAAAGCATGACCGGTATTGATACAGACTATGTACTCAATAATACTGCTTTAAAGATCTAAATCTATTTCATATTTATCAATGACAAATGACTTAGTATAGTTGTGTATAGTTGTCTTCAATAATTAATTGATTAATTAATTAATTATCAATACTATTAATATTATTATCAGTATCTATATAGAATATAAATATTTTTGTGTTAAATTCTTCACAATTATTTTAATGCTGAGCATAGAGTTTATCAAATACTCTTTAAATCTTATTGTGGTCCAGAATTGTTTTAGACTGATTTTTTTAACCGTGATTTAGTTATTTTTTATATTGGATTTGAATACCTTTTTTATTTTCGGTTATTGATTAGAATTTAATAATAATAATAATAATTGATGACTAGCAAGATATATTAAAGTTAATAATTATATAAATAAATAACCAGTAACCACTATTATATTAATTATATGAAACAGTTAGTACTTTTAAAATGTACCACTCTCTTTATTCAAATAATTAAATACATGGATTATTTACTGAAAGGTATTACATTTTGAATTTATTCTCCTATCGTACATAATATAAAATTATCAATGCATATATTTCTAATAATTTTCAATTATAAGACAAAAATAGTACCCTGTTATATATTACAATTTGATTTAAATTAAAAATAGTATTCATATCAAACATTCCTTTTAAACTCACTCAAATAAAAGTCAATAATAACTTTGGATATATTTATAAAATTATTTCTCGTATGGATTGTTGTAACTAATAGTCAACATCACAATACTGAATTATCATCATTAATAATATTATTTATATTTCAAGACAAATGTACTTATTAAAAAAAAAATAGTGTATTCAGGTACTCGAATGTTATAATACATTCGTAGTAGTTATAAGTGAATGTGCCATTAAATGATATTGACAATTCATTTCACATGTTTAAATCAGTAATTTTACAATAATAAATTCTATTAAAATTTATATAAAAAATAGAAATACATGATACCAGTAGTTTACAGCAATACTTAATCTCAACAACTGGAAATATTTAATACTAAAAAATAGCATCTTACTATATACAATTCATGATAGTTTTCACAGTTTTTTTAGACCTACGAAAGTACATTTTGTATCCATTATTTACTGATGCCAACCTTTTTTACGTACTCTCAGTTGGATCAATAAAAAGTGCAGTTAATGCAAAAAGCAGGAAGACCAATCCACCAATTATGGTAACTAAAAATCAATCAAAGATCATTGGCTTATAGTAAAAATATTAAATATAGAAGTATAGAAGGAATATACAAATAAATAAAGGAGTATTAAATAAATTAAAAATTCTGACTGTACCGGTTCTAACAGATATCCTTTGAGCTATCATCCGTCCACCTAAAACTGCTAAACCCGTGCAAAATGAGTGACCAAGAACTCCCCCAACAATTACACCATATACATCCTGTTCATATTAAAAAATTTTTTGATTTTTTTCGAAGATTTTATAATAATTGCCAATAAATGATTAAGTTACTTCTCTAGCTGCAAGAATAATTGTCGTAAGTTGAGACCTGTCACCCCATTCAGCTAGAAAAGTTAATGTGAATGCTTGTAAAAAAATCCTTGATAAAAACATCCAAGGATTGGCTTTCGATGTTTTCTTAGAAACTCCTGCTTCAGGATCTTGAACTGTAGTTGTAATAGCTTCTTTCTCAAGCTACAAAAAAATAGATACGAACATTTTCAGTACACTGACATTTGATAAATATGATAAATTCGTAGATAAAACAATAAAATAAATAAAAGTCAACCTCATCTTCTCGTTTTCGCAAATCCGACTGTACTTCTTCTAATTCTTCTTGTCCCTCTGTTGCACTCATATAATAACCATCTCTCAACATCTTTAGACCAAAAAGTGCAAACAAAGCAGTGGAAATATAATAAGTGTAAGCTCTGGGAATGATCGTTGCAGCATAGCCAAATATTACTGAATTAGTTGATGAACATTAGTACAAAAAAGAAAATACTTTTTAAAATGAAATGGATAATTATCATGTCTACCTGAAAGTATTGTCATTGCAGCAAGAGCTGAAATAGCACCGCTAAAAACTATTAACCGTGGATGCCTCATTGCCATAATTGCAGCTATAAAAAATGTTTTATCTCCTAATTCAGAAACTACAATAACAGAAAGAGAAGCTACAAAGGCATGTAAAAAGCCTAGGTTACTCGTCTTAATAATTGTAGGCTCAGGATCTTGATAAACCTGTAAAAAGTAATGCATTGACAATACAATGGTTTTATTCCTTTTATTTATAAGAAAAACACTGTCACTGTATAAGATATCTTACCATTGTTGTTCCAGTGAGATCTGATTTTTCAGCTAATTTTTCTTCTGGAAATGTTTCAGCCAATACTAACGTTCCATAATAATAAAAACATATCAGAGTAGTCATAATATTTATAAATAAATTATTAGCGAAAATTCCAGTTGAACTAAACATTTTGAGATATTTAGACATCCTAACCTTAAAAACTAAACTCTTTACCGCTTACGCCAAACAACTGATTTGTGATATAGCATTTCATGTATATAGCATGTTCAATGTAGATGACCTACTTTAAATCCTGGTTGGCTGAAAATTATCTATCAGATAAATATTTATTTAATTATTAAGAATGTATTGGAGCTAACTTTTTTTTATTAAAAACCAATGAAATACTCTACGGTATATACACTATTGTAAATGATATTTTTAAATTACAATGAGATATGATAGATTGATAGCTAAAATTTATATTGATACATCAATTGATGCTGTTCTTATAATATATCACATAATGATTAGCTCAGATAGCATCCTTTTTTGATTCTTTATCAATCAACTTGTCTGATAACAGAGGACTTGGTAAATAGGAGTAATGATCCTGAAGGAATTCATGGTATGGAGCAACTTCCCCTTAAAATCAATTAACTAACTCATTGTAATACTTATACTACAACTTTTTATTAGACTTCAGTGAAGTATGGTTTCGTTAATTTTCTTAATAAGGAATAATTGAAGTTCTCAAGAATTAACAGACTTTATTTTCAGATGCGTTCGTGAGCTAGACGATTGGGCTTGTCTTTCTACAAATAAAATCAATTTTATGTATGTCTAGCAACCCTCTCGAAAAGAAGGGATCACGTTAGGATATAGGACCTGCGCTTTATAGTTTTTGGCTCTTCTAGTAGCGATGCTGAGACATTAACTGTGTAACGCTGTTGCCATTCCATAGCCACATAAGCTTCAGTCTGTGTTTGATCATCATTGATTTGTTATTGAGATAAAAAAGAATTCGTTCTTTTATTAATTTATATAAAGAGACTATTGTAAAGATATTTTATTTTCATAATTTCTTTACATATTCATCAACGGTAAGGTTTTAGAAAAATATATCACTTTTTCGCGCGTAAATACTGATGTTTATTACACTTAATGATAAGAGTTGGATTAACTTTAATTTATAGACAAAGCAAATGATCAATAGTTACTGTACCATGTAGTCCAATTAAGTTATAAAAAATTTTTTATGGCTACATGATTAAGTTATATTGTTTCAAATTATAAACTGTTACAAAAACATTCTCGTTTTCGACCTCATGTCCTTCACTTGTTGCACATGCAGTTATAGATACAAATATAGATTATTTTGTTACAGGTTCGAAGGAGTCGTTGACTAAAAAGTTAGAGGATAATTTCATAAAGATCAAAGTAAATATACATCCATGGAATATTATTCTAATAATTTTTATTGGTTATGGCTATTAATAGTTATTATGAATTTATAACATTAAACTCATTTTAATGATTGTATAAATTAATTGATACCCTTTTATTGAATTCAGACACGAGCTACTGGTGAACATTAAGAATACTTGGAAATTAATTCATAGATAAACTTTTAATTACACTCTAAATATATATTGAATTTTTATTGAGCTATTAATTTTAAAAGTTCAATGAAATGTTGACTAAACCGTGAAATTTTTCTGTTTCAAGAACGCTAAAAGATTAAGTGGCGTCTACATGACTGGCTCTATCAGAGATCATGTGCGTAAATCGTGATGCAGGACTACATTTGTTTGCTGCAATAAACTTGTTGAAAAAATTAAGTGATCCTGTTTGCGGTTTGGAATAATGTCACTGGTAAATATCAGAAGGCCAACAATCTGGCATATGTATTTTCAATGGGAATTGTTAAAAAGATGGTAAAAAAATGTGGTTTGATATAAAAAATTTTTTTAACTAAAAATCCATCAATGACAGTCTATTTACTCTTCTTTTTGGGTCAGATTGGAGTAAAAAAGGTAACGTAAGATTTTTACATCTCACTACAAAGTTATCCATTATAAATATAGATAATATTGCAAAAATAATAATTGCTGGGGTATTTATTTCAGGATATTTTTTTAGTGACTCCTCTCGGTCTTGTGTATTGCGTTTCTTATTAATAGAAAGACGAACGCATTAGCAAGAAGTGAGTGCTGGAAAACGTTTCTATCATATTCTCCATCCCCTATTAATATAAAATTGGTCACGTCAAGGGGTTTACTAACGAAAATAGTCTATTATAAAACAATTATAATTGTGCGTGTTTTTTGAACGTGACAATAAGATATACAATTGCGTGCTTGGTGGCTATTAATGCAATAATTGTTATGTATTTCTTCGTTTACTTATGGTAAGCTGGTGGAAAATAATAATTGATTTGAACTGTATTATTAAAAGATAATTAAATTCTCATTACACCCATTTTACTTGTTGAAAAGTAAGGGTTGCAACGTTTACTTATTTTCATTCGATTTATACATTTTTAATGAAGCTGATTAAAATTCATTGTAAAATAAACTAGATTTCGGTTGTTTTTAAAGCACAGTTTCTGTCAAATTGATTCTAGTTTTTATTATTGTATAACGTATTCGCGGTCGAGTGCGGGAACGTGACCAAACTTCCGAGTGTGCTAATAATAGCTTTGTTTTACCTGTAAGGCGGGTTAGTTTTAATTTAAGTAAAGTACTTGTTTGTAAATTCCTTTTTTATTCTTAATTCTGGGGGTATTAATTTTTCACTAGTTTTCCTTTAATTATCTTTTAATATCTGCCTTTCATTGATGCTCTTAGTAATACTAGGTTTGGTATATTTCCTTGTGACTTATAGCTATTAGTGATGTCTCAACGTCAGCACTGACATTGCCATCAAGAAGGACGACAAATAAAGAAAATCATATACAAAAAATAAGGACTACACGTCCGGAATATTATACTGTGTCTTTGAATCAGGTACTTACGTATATTTTGATACTACTGAATTAAATCACTGAAGAAGTAAAGGAAATCATAGTTACCGAAGAGGTTTGTTGTTGATAAAAGTTATTCGAGAGTGTTATTCTTTTATTTAGAATAATTAGTGCTGCTGCAAAATGTATGGGTTGATATTGGAAAATATGTCGGAGTATATTCGACAAAGATATGGTGAAGAAAAGTGGGAAGAAATACGAAGACAAGCAGCTGTAGAACAACCAAGTTTCAGTGTCCATCAAGTTTATCCTGAAAATTTTATCCCACGGCTTGCTAAAAAAGCTATTCAAGTAAGTAGATAATCATAATAATAGTATCAATGACAACAGACTGCTCTAATTAACGTAACCACTTACGTAAAAAGACTTGATTTTAAAGATTAATAAATAAAACTGTTAGAAAAGTTTTTTAGAGATTCTTGAATTTCAGATAATTATTCAAATATTTGAGTAATGTTTTTACTTTATCCAGTAGAGATATTGTGATTTCGTTGGGAAATCTTTTATTTTGGTCATTATCTTCAGATTTTATTGCAATTGAAAATATCTTTTTACCTAATAGCTTCTAGAGAGAAACGTTCGTAAACGTTACTTAATGTTAAAGAAAGTATTCTATTCTTGGATATTCAAAGAGTAATTTTGAAAAAGTTCCATATACATAAGTAGTTTTCTTAAATATAACTAAATAATAATGTGTCTACGTGAGATTAATATTAATTCATCAAATTGTAGAATAAAAATAGTATAGTAAAGCAAAATTTTGTATATTTAATCAATCAAAAAATAATTTCTCGAGTTGATTGACAGTATGATTCTTCTCATCATTATATAATAAGTTTCCTGACGGTGTTCCTGATTGTTATGTAGGAAATAAATAAATGATTGATTTAGGTACTTGGCATCACAGAAAAAGAATTTTTCGATCAAATGGGAGTTCATTTCGTTGGATTTGTTGGTCAGTACGGATACGACAGAGTATTATCAGTATTGGGACGTCATGTTCGTGATTTTTTGAATGGACTAGATAATCTTCATGAATATCTGAAATTTTCATATCCGCGAATGCGTGCCCCTTCTTTTATTTGTGAAAATGAAACTCGACAAGGTAAGATAAATGTAGATAAAATTATGAAAAAAGTAATACTATTGAAGTTTCAGTTTATTACATATGTGATATATGAAATGATTGAGAATAGGGTTAACACTTCACTACAGAAGTAAACGTCGTGGTTTTGTTTATTATACCATGGGTCAAATTCGAGAAGTCGCAAGACATTTTTATCACAAAGATCTTCAAATTGAACTTGTTAGAGAAGAAGTGCTTTTTGATACGGTCCATGTAACATTTCAATTGACATTTGACAATCGTGCATTCACTCTTGCTTCACTTGCTATGACTCGTGAAGAAAAACACTTACCTATTGGTGCTTCTGTTTTATTCGAAATTTTTCCATTTTGCATTGTGTTTGGGTAAGTATTTACATCACTATAACATTTAACATAGTCCTCAATATTATATAATTTGTTTATTGATTATAATAATTTCAGATCAGATATGATTGTCAGAAGTATTGGAAATTCTTTAATGGTTATTTTACCTGATTTAGTTGGCAAGAAAATTACCCATTGGTTCGATTTAGTAAGGCCTCTTATTGCCTTCAAATTTCAATCGGTACGATTTTACATGTGATTCCAATTAATAACTTATTCCAATTGATAATGAACAGTTTTAATAATTCATTTATTTATTCTAGATCCTAAATAGAACAAATAATATTTTTGAGTTAGTGTCAGTAGAGCCAGTATTAACAGAGCGTCCAACATATCGCAAATCAAACGCCATAGTATTAAGTGATGATAGTTTAAATTCACCAGATGATAGAACTCTAAGGTTAAAAGGTCAAATGATTTACATGGACAACTGGAGAATGATGATGTATCTTGGTACACCTGTGATGCCAGATCTCAATGCTTTAATTGCTACTGGTTTATATATAAATGATCTTTCGATGCATGACTTCAGCAGGTAAAAACTCAAGCTATATATTTAAAGCTAAAATAATATTATATCACTGAAATCATTGAATTGATATAAAATTTAATTACTTCTAGAGATCTCATGTTAGCTGGAACTCAACAATCCGTAGAACTGAAGCTTGCTCTTGATCAAGAACAATTAAAAAGCAAAAAGCTAGAAGAATCAATGAGAAAATTAGATGAAGAAATGCGCCGTACTGATGAGCTGCTTTATCAAATGATACCGAAACAGGTTGCAGATCGATTGAGAAATGGAGAAAGCCCAATAGATACTTGCGAGGTAACAAATATTATTTAAAAGATTCAAAGAAACGTTGATTTAAAATATAAAAATTTTCTTGAATTATTCAAAAAATTTTTACAGATGTTCGATAGTGTGTCAATACTTTTTTCAGACGTTGTGACATTCACAGAAATTTGTAGCCGACTTACTCCAATGGAAGTAGTATCAATGCTTAATGCGATGTACTCCCTCTTTGATACACTTACCGAAAGAAATCGTGTTTACAAGGTTCTGATAAAAAATTTATTTTCTTTTTATGATGATTTATATTGATACAAACAATTTATCAGGTTGAGACGATTGGAGATGCTTACATGGTTGTTTCTGGAGCTCCATCTAAAGAAACTGATCATGCTGATCGGGTTTGTGATATGGCTTTGGATATGGTTGAGGCAATTACGGATTTAAAAGATAGATCAACTGGTATATTTTCAATGAAGCATTTTATTTTTATTCTTATTAATTATGATAAAAATAATAATGTTATTTATAATTTTAGGGAATCATTTACAGATTCGTATCGGTATTCATAGTGGTGCAGTAGTAGCGGGAATCGTAGGTCTAAAAATGCCTCGATACTGTTTATTTGGTGACTCCGTAAATACTGCTTCGAGAATGGAGGCCACGAGTGAGGCCATGCAAATTCACATATCTCAATCTACTAAAGAATTACTTTCACCCTCGTATAAAGTCAAGGAACGCGGAGAAATACAGGTCAAGGGAAAAGGTAATCTAGAAATTGAAAACATTTTTTTGAGTGTTTTCAAGTATCTATTTAATTTAATATAAAATAAAACTGAAAAAAGTTTGTTTTAATGAGAATTCACATTTCAGGATCAATGAAAACTTATTGGCTAGAAAAACGTTCAGCACGATTGAATGTAACGAAAAATATTACTATTCAAGAGCCATTACAATGGATGAATAGAATAACAGATAAACGTATATTATCGAGTAATATCACAAGTAGTATTGAAGAGAGATCTTTATCGACACCACATCCATTAACTGATAGTCATTCATACGTTGATATGTCAATGAAATCACCTAGTTCGCGAATATCTTCTCCAACACCTTTCGGATCATCAGGATTAATTTCTGATGAACGAAGAATGTATTCACCTATTACTTTTCAAGATGTTGCTCGTCGTTCTGAAGCTAATTCTCCTACAAAGACGTCCAATATTTTAGGTAAATTTTGTACTAGGACTGTAATTTTTAAAAATCAAAAATGCCACTTTAGATACCATGGAAATGGACTTTTCTTGTTGCTTTTTATTTCATTTGAAATTGTGAAATGTCATTATATTCTTGATAATAATGATATTCTGTTTATTTTTTTGTAAAAAAAAGTAATAATTCATATTATATTTTATTTTTAAAAAATGAATCATGTATTTCAGAAATGAGATCAAATTCAATTAATGAGCCTCCAACGACCTGTAACTCACCCAACATCTTTGGATCTCTAATCAACGACACGGAAAAACACTTTCGTTTGCATAGAGATAGTTCATGTTCTCGAGAACAATCAGCCTTAGTCCACGGAAAAACTGAGTCCAAACAACGAAGTACAATATCAACAACAAATACAAGCATATCTTCAGATACATCACAGGAAACTGTACCACCATACGATGATGATGTTCATTCGGTGTTGATGAGTGCGTTTTGTCCTGCAATGGATAGCAGTGAATCACTGACGAATTCCCAATTATTAGTCAGATCAGACCAATGTTGTCCAGGTTTTGTAATATCAAAAGGTGGAAAAACGAAACATCAAGGCAATGGATGTAGTATTTGTTAAAGATTAAATATTTCACATAATTTATCAAATTGCTCTGTTTGTCGTATAATGAATTATGTAGCTCTCTTTACATTAGTATCAATAACCATAAAACAATTGAAATCATATTGCGAATGTAATAATTTAATACCATTTAATGAAATACATGTGTATCATTTGACAATAAATACAAGCAACTGCATACATTGCAAATCTAAATACTCTACAAGTCATTATAATGAACAACGAATTTAGATGAAAATAACAGGCATCATTTACATAGTTGTAGATTTGCAATGTTATTGCATGAGTAATCGAATAATTCAACGAAAAGTCTTTTAATTAGATAATGTGTATTTATTTAAACAATAGTCCTATTCTATTTTCTTTTTGATTTAATTGAAAGGTAGTAAGAGGTGTATTCATTACAAACTAAATAAGAAAGCATAGATACATTGGAACAATTCACATTTGAATAAATAAATCAGGTGATTGTAAGTGCTAGGATTAATTATTCTTATCAATAATTTTTTGATTACAATTTATTGACTCCCATTGTTCATATGCAGTAAATAATATTTTAATTTCATTTGATGTCATTTAAATATTCAACCATTCAATAGTATGACTTTTGCGTATTCAATATTAATCGTAAGTAACTAGGAGATAATTTAAATAACTCAGTGAAATTCATAGTCTTTCGGAATAAGTGAAATTATTATTAAATCTTACCAGTAAGTAAGTGTAATCTTGAATATTTGAACAACGTTTCAAGAAAATTGTCTTTAATCATCAGCTCTTTAAGTAATTTCAGAATATCTTACTACTTAAACTTACTATGTACTAATTTCCTCACTAGTTTAATCCTTAAATCTACCTGCTTTGCTTTCTCTCTGAGGTCGTATTCTGTATTATTGAGAAAATCTGTTAGAAGCTTTTAATTTTAACTGACTAATTAATATTATAATTTTTTTTTGAAAGATAAATGTCTATCATTTTATAAAGTTTATACATTGTTCAATAAATTTAATTATTATTTAATCTTCTAGACGTTTGGAATTTTTATTTCAGAATTCAATGATAAAAGACAGTTTATTAAAGAACTTAATGCACTTAATTAAAGGATAAATGAAATGGTGAAGAAGACAAATAAATTTGATTGAATAGTAACGTCTTAAGTCATTATGTTAGAAACTTTTTTTTATTGATTTGGTAAAAAAAATAAAATTAGAAAATTATTATTAATTTTCGATTCCATTTATCATAAAAATATTATAAAGAATAAGTTTTAGTCATTTTTCATAAAAACTTCAAAACAGTTCATGTAAAAATAATGCTGAATAATAGAAATCATTCTAATTGAATACACTCACACAACAATAAAAGAAGTTTTCAAAAATTTTTTGTTTATCAAGTTTTGACGCTGAATGATCAAAATGACGTTAGTTAAATGAATCGCGATATTTGAGCATGTGATAAGAATAGAATAGTTGGGAATGAATATAAGTTTATGGGATTATGACACTTGAACATGTGTCTGTTGTTTATTGATGATCTACTTAGCAAAAGTCCACAATTTACGTGAGAACTAAGTTCTTGATTGTCACCTACTATGATATCTTTCGATTAGATGGCTTAACATCGGATTATTTTATGTTTTATATATCAGAAGGGATCGAGGCCCTTCGTTTTATGTACTAGATACAATGGCAAAAGCTGGATCAAGAACTAAACATTTTTCAAGATAAAGAATCATCCACCATTGTCCAGATCAATTCACAATAACTTCAACTTCATAATGTCATGATATTGTGTACAACAATATAATATGTGAACATGGAAATGCTGATAAAGCTTGAAATTTTCATTCTTCCAAGTAACTTGTCCATCTTTTCAATTTTTATCCACCAGTTATGAGTGTAAATGTTAGCAAAAGTTTCTATGTATTTTGCAAACTTCAGCTTTATTCTTAAAGCAAACATAAAAGTTTTATGTGGTCAACAGTTAACTTTAAATTGAAAACATTTCATAAATAAAAGAAATTAACTTGTAAAAAAATACTTTGCAGGATGTTTTATGTTTATTATTTATTTAAAGCATTTGCTACGACCAACAAGTGGGCAATAATGAAATCTGGCAGACTTAAACATCTAAACACTACGAATAACACTTATCAAAAGGAATGACTAACATGAATACTTGTATCTAATCTTAAAAATAATAAACATTGAATAGACAGATAATTATAATCCCATTACAAATTTAATTATTACTCAAAACTAGGTTTTCGAAAGGACAGAAATTTTTAATTGAATTTTTATATTTCGTTGGACAATATTGGATTGATAAAAAATAAACATAGTGAATGATTGCTGTCAGAATTTTTCACAACTATTATTTGCATACTGAAATAAAAAACAAATAATTTGAATGTATGTAAAATTTAAATAAGATATATTGATGTTTATTTTTTTTTATCAATTGTCACTCATTTTCGTATCACCCAAAACTAAAGGCGGTGTTAAATAACTTTCAGTTTAAAACAAATCGCAATAGTTCCTTCAGCAATAGCTGTTATTCCATTTCAGCTTTTTTAGTTATATATGGAGTACTAAAATATGTGTGGACATAGATCATTTATGCTGATTCAATTGATTGTCGTAATTCAAACTAGAAAGTAACATTTTTACTAGACTGATTTTTTATTACCATCATTGCCTTCTATCACTACCAAAAAAACACTCTTCAGTTAAGAATGCAATGATGTTAAATAAATGAATTTTTAAGAATAAAAATTAAATCAATTGGTTTGTTGTAAATTGAATAACTAATGTTATTGTAATCTTTGATTTTGATACATTTCCACAAAAGTTTGATCAAGCATCCTGAGCATACAGAAATGAATAGATTACTGGATCTCAACTATAAAGAAAAAAATACTCGTCGTAAAATTTAAATCTAGGATTTGAGATCATAAAACTCAACATGTTTCGATAAATTCTTGATGAAGTACTCTGATTCAAATTTATTCTTTTCTTTGTTAAAACTTTTTAAAGTTTATTCAAATAATTCATCAGAATTTTCAAAATAGTGCCAATTATTATATTAGCTGAAAAAGACGGGAAATGATTAATATTTATTTTTGAATAAGAGCATTTAATTAAAAAAAAAATTTCTTTTTCTTTTCATTCTTTTATAATTTGTTTCAGATTTATGAACAGTCAAATTTTTGAGGCAAAATGAAACCATATCTGCAAATATGTATGAAAAGAGCTCGAAGAATGTACAAGAAATGAAAGAATTGAAATTAATAGAGGAAAAAATTCCAAGAGGATTTTTTGGATCATAGATTTTTGCAAATAACTTGCTGGACTGAAAGGTAATAGCGTAGCAAAGTGGAGTTGACCAGTACACTTTTCATCACTTTGCATGAGTAACTGCAGATGGGTTTTTCATTTTACTTTTAAACAGCTTGAAATGCAATTTATATCTAAACTATTTAATAAATATTCTGAATTTAAAATCTATATTAATAATTTATAGATTGTTTATCCCAACATTATTATTAAGATAATAATTTTTCATTAATTTTTTCCGTTACTCGTATCCTTTTTGCAGTATATTTGGTTCAAGATATAATGAATCTTAACTTACTGATGATTATTATTTACTAGACCCATAAATAATGAAGAAATTACGTAGGTCGGTGACTATGGTGTAATTGAATCAGAATAATGTCGTGGTATCGTGTTAAATGCGTGGCCAATCATAATTCAGGTGAGATTATCCTGGCACCAAGGCGGGAGCTGCGCAAGGGTGTATATAAGGGTGTCATCTCTGTGTTCCAGACACTCGTTTCAACACCAAGCTTGATACGCGATCTCTCATCTAGGATCTCTAATAACTAACATTATTTTTATTAGTACTTTTTAAAAACAATCATTTCAAACTTTATTTTTACATAGTGCTTGTATATTTTTTAATCATGGTGAGTGAATTGCATTTCAATCAATCTACTTCTATTCTGTTTTTGACAACTTTCAAATTTACGCGGGTGAAATGTGATATATTTGCTTATTTTTATTTTTTATCAATAAAATAAAGTTTATTAGAGCTTAATTTATTAATAATATTATTCGATAAATAAGTGGTATGTGTGTGATGATTTGAATATTTTTTAATAGTTTTTTATTTTTAAATATTAACATTGAGTTTGTTTGAAATTTATTCCTTCTGACAGATTTTTTATGATGTTAAATAATGTAATTAAAAATATCATGATGGTAACAATGGCTTGAAATAATGAAAATTTAACAATAAATTCATTCATAAAAAATATAATTATGAAGTTACATTTTTATGTATTAAAAAGATTGGGGTGACCGACAAATGAAAATATAAGCAGAGTTATCTTGTGGATAAAAATTCATTTACGGCTCATAAACTTGTCACAATATTGCTTTAGATCTTGGTAGCATTTATTACTTACAATTATAAGATCCGGTACTGATTATATTTTTGTTCTCAACTATGAGACATATGTTTTTTCCATTATCTTTATTTATTACATAAAACCTCGAAAATTCAACATTTCATTATTTATTTTTTTATTTTTTTTAAATAATTATTTATTACTAAGTTTTCAATAAAATGTTGCATATCCACAGGCAATTGTAAACATTTAGGACACAGATGATTGAATTCTTATAAATTTACAAATCAACAAACAACATTTTTGTAAATTCATTGACACTAAAACGCATATCTTTGTTTTTGATAAATTGTCCAACATAGGATTTTTTATTCAATCTTCATATTCTTAAGCATATGGATAACTTTTGTTACCTCGGAAGTAAGATATTTGTTTTGGGCCTGCTTCCCTAAGGCCATAATATTCCTTGGTTACCCAGTTTGCAATATAATAGCTAAATACCTTAAGTTAAATATAAACCGTGAACTTTTACATAATTTGTTTCACTTTGGTAGAAACTTTTCCAATGATAATAACATTTCATTAAAACAATAAACTCCTACATATTGATATTAACGTTCACAAATAAACATTAAAAAATAAGTTATCTCTTTTGAAATTTATATTTTTTGTTTAAACATATCAATTAAGGCTCTTTCATAAGTAAAGACGAGTAATTTTTTTGATAATTTTACACTAATGAGCTTATAAAGCATTTGATTAAAAAATACTATATTATGATAAAAATCGTCTGAAAATATTTAACAAAAGTTTGAATAACATTATTAAAACTCAAGCAACTACCAAAAGAAAAGGAAATTAGTTTTTTCCACTCTAAATAGTAGAGAACATATTTGTAGGGTTTTAAAAGTTTTCTAAGAGCTTAAAGAGATTTTCTAAAAATCTTTTGCCATAAATATTTGATCATAAGCTTGAATAAAATGCTTGAACATTACTAATTGTCGTAAAATTAGTTATTGCTAATGAAGACATTGATTCGTCTATGATATCACTCATCATTTTCTTGTATAGTTCGCTATTTATCGTTGCGAATAATCATTCATTAACCGAAAAATAGCAAAATAAAATGCTTTTTTGATTTCAATAACTTTTCAGAATTTTTTATCACATTAAATAATCTTTTTTCTGATTTAAAATAATTCTAGAATATTAATTCAATTGGTTTTAAAGTTAAAAAATTAATATATCAATGAATTAAATGCTTTCAAATGAAATTAACAATTAATGCATTAAATAAATAGGATTGCTGTAAAATAAAAATTTTAAATCATTTCAAAAACTTTGAATATTTTTTCAACCACGTAATCTTGTTACTCACATTGAACCAATTTTTATCGATTATTTTAATAATAAAAAAGAGTTGATAAACCCAGCTTTTGTCTTGACAGAGTGTTACTTTCCAAAAAAAACCTAAAAAAAAAATTAATTTTATTGCAGATTCGACGAGGAATCATTTTCGGATTAATAATAGTCTCCAATAGCATGATTTTATCAGCGACTATTTTATCACCTTTGAAAATTGATCCAACACTTCTTCACTTATATAAATCAGGCCTACGTAATGAGTTGGACTACGTTTTAAAACGTAGCTCTTCCATCCAAAATGTTGATGAGAATCCGGATTCAAAAGAACGACGTAGTCAAATGGGCTCGTCATTTATCAGATTTGGCCGTGGTCACAATGTTGAAGGTGGAAATGAAAATCCAAATTTTTTGCCAGTTAGTATGAATGAAGTTGACACTGGAGCATCAAGAACCCCTCGTGGACGATCAGACGTGATTATTCGATTTGGTAGAAGTGGATTGCGAGAAAAATTAGATAATTACGGGCTGATGCGTGGTAAAAAAATGAAAATATATTCCATGGATTTAGAAAGAATTTTATATGCTTGTCCTGATATTCTTGCATCTGCTGATATTGACGATAATTCTGAACTGATTCATCTCTGTTCGTCATTCCAATTTGCTGCCAATAATGATCCTGCAGACAAAAATAAAGAATAAAATTTGTTATGCTAATATTTGTTGAATTTTTCAAATGAATTTATCAAATAGTTTTGTTTATTTATATTTTATTTATGACTTGTTGCAAGAAATTTTTAAAAATTATATACCTCAAATAGATATATGATATTAGTTTTAATACACTGAAATCCAATAGTAAATTTGTAATCATTAATACAGTGAATAATCTTTTTTTATTTGAAGATTAAGCATAATGGATTTAAAACAAGTTCGATATTCAAGGCTAATCGTTCTAATGTTTGTTACGTAAAAGTGCATCCACCTGACGGATTTCTCAACCCTATAATATACTGCATGCTTTATGTTTGTAATAAATCTTTATATAAATCAATGAAAAAATATATGCTAAAAAAGTGTAAAAAAAATGATCTCTCTCGTGTTTGAAAAATCCGTCTGTAAATTCATCTCGAATTAAACATGGTACATAATTATTAGCCAATTCTTTATATTATAATGAATAATTACATAAATAGTTATATACATGTCTCTCGAATTACTCGAAGTAACTTTATGTATCTAGATTTAATACTTAATCCAAGAGAAGAAAATAAAAATTTATCGCTGAAAAACATTTGTTTGGCTCTTTTTTTTTATTATTACCAAATTATTTTTTCATAATGATGCGAATTAATGGCAATGATGAAATAGATTGAAATTCACAAATAGATGGCAATATTTCATCAATCTATGAGAGATTTTAAAAAAATGCGGAAAAATGTCATATCTACAGTGCAAGAAAAGAAATGACCGAAAGTATGAACTAGTAAAAAATAAAGAAAAGGAAGAAAAACTAAATTCATGTCATATTACAAAAGATAGTAATGAAGATAAATGAGAAAAGTACGATGGTGGAGTCACCGATGTCCACGCATTAATCCGGAGAGTTATACTAGTGTACACAATGTATATCTTCTTTCTTCTCAATGTACCTGTCCTTAGTAGTATGTTCTTATTCCTTCTTAATGACTTTTATCTTTTTACTTCTTCCCACTATTCTTACTGTATTATTTTTCGTCAACAAAAGATATAAAAAAGAAGAATTAAAAAAAGTAGAACATGAAAACTTTCGATACTATTCTGGTTTATATTGTGCTTAATCCAGTTCTTAACCCCCACTTGGATGTCATGTGTATTGTAAGGATTCCATTGAGTCTCCATGTTCGATGGTCAGCCTTATTAGACAATTTGTCACCGACTCTTGCATGCCGAACACCAATTTAGTTGTTTAGCTACAGTGAAAAGTGGAAAAATGTGTGCAATTATTCATTAAGATTTAATAAGTGTTTAAAAAAAAAATGAATACATCAGAATCTCGTGAAGATCTGTTGCAAAATGAAGCTCGAGCACCATCAGTTCAATCTCTCAAACCACCTACGGAATATGTGCTTGGTCCCGTTGAGAAGCATTTTTTAGTCAGCGCTGAAAGAGGAGATTGTGCTACAGTTAGACGGTAAATTATCTTCTATTTTTATTTAAGTGTATTTCAATTATTTCCTCATAATGATATTACCATCAAGATTTTCTATTCAATAGGCTTCTTGAAGAACATAAGGGCCATCCTGAGATATTAAATATTAATTGTGTAGATCCACTGAATCGATCTGCCCTCATTTCAGCCATTGAAAATGAAAATATTGAGTTGATAAAGATTCTTCTAGATTGGGGAATTCAAGTAAAGGATTCTCTCTTACATGCTATTAAAGAAGAATATGTTGAGGCCGTGGAGATGTTGCTGAATTGGGAAGAAAAAAATCACACACCTGGACAACCTTACGTAAGTACATTGAATTTATTGAATTATTCAAATAGACTTGAAAATCCATATAATCCCAAAATTGATAATTTCAAGTTCAATTTTTTTTTTAGAGTTGGGAAGCTTTAGATGCTGCTGAATATAATTTCACGCCGGATATAACTCCATTGATTCTTGCGGCTCATAAAAATAATTATGAGATACTTAAGATTCTTCTTGATCGGGGTGCAACTCTCCCATGTCCTCATGATGCAAGGTGATACTTCACTGCAATAAAAAAATTTTTCATAATAATTATCAATAGGATTAATCATTTTTTTTTAAAGTTAAAACTTTTTTTTCTTTTATTTTTAGTTATAATAATGAGTTTTTATAAATATAGTCATCATAATTCCATTTCACAATCATTATTGAGCATAATTAATTTATGAATTAGATGCGGATGTGACGAATGTGTAACCTCAAGCGAACAAGATTCTTTACGTCATTCTCGTTCTCGAATAAATGCTTATAGAGCACTCACCTCACCCTCCCTTATCGCCCTTTCTTCACGAGATCCACTGTTAACTGCATTTGAATTGTCGTGGGAACTTCGAAGACTTAGTCGAATGGAACAAGAATTTCGCAGTGATTATAATGTGAGTGACGAATAAAATATTTTCACTTATTAAAAGTACAGAATGTATGGAATGTTTATTTGATATTATCACCATTTTCACAAAGGAATTGAAAGAACAATGTCAAGAGTTTGCAACTACCTTGTTGGATCATGCTCGCTCTTCCCAAGAACTTGAAATTATTCTTAATTACAATCCAACAGGAGACAATTGGGAACCAGGAGAAAGACAAACTTTAGATCGTCTCAAACTTGCTATAAAATACAAACAAAAAGCGGTAATATATTATATATTTTGATAGAATATAAATTATTACAATTAGTCACATTACTGCAAATTAAAGGATTTAACAAAGCTTTTTAGAGTAAAACATTGGATCTTTTTATTGGATTAAATCCATTGAAATGAAGGATAATTGTCTAATATATGAGTTTACAACACCATGGAGTTAAATCATTTCATGTACTTTAGTAAATAAAATGCTCATCTTTGTTTTTATGCTCGACATACAAAACTCATTACATTTTAACTATTTTGAAATAAAAAGTTCAAGTAATACTAAATTATTGATTCTTCTTGTTATTATAATGAGATAAAAATTAGATCTGCAGTAATATTAAAATACTTACGAGTAATTCTGTATATTTTTTTTCTATTGTTTCAATAGTTTGTAGCACATCCTAACGTTCAGCAACTTCTTGCTGCGATATGGTATGATGGTCTACCAGGTTTCCGGCGATTGAGTATGGTTGGACAGCTGATAAAAGTTGCCAAACTTGGAAGTATGTTTCCAATTTACAGTTCTATTTACATGGTATCACCTACTTCTCAAATGGGACTGTTTATGAAAAAACCATTTGTAAAGTTTATTTGTCATTCTTCTTCGTATGCTTTTTTTCTCAGTAAGTATATGACTATTGCAACACGTTTCCATTTTATTAAATGATCAATTGTGCATGGAAATCTTCAAAATTAAATTATTCCTGTGCAGTGCTTCTCGGAATGGCATCACAGCGCATTGAATATCTTGTTATTGAATTATTTGGAAATGCATGGATGCGAGAAATTCTCGAAGGCTGGAAGAAAAGAGAAAGAGGATGTATTCCTGGATTTGTAGAATCTGGAGTAATTATTTACGTAATCAGTAAGTATTCAAGAGAAAAATTTCTTTAAAAAGAATCTATTTTTAATATATTTATTACTTCAAAATGAGCAAGTCAGAGTAAAGTTGATAGGTTGAGGTTATTTCAATTGATTTATGAACGATAATTGATGATATTTCGTTGGAAAAGCAATTTTAATCAAAAAAACAATTATTTCTCTGCATTATTAAATAATAAACAATATTTTTGCGGTTTATATACACGTATTTATATTAATCTTAACGATTCTTCATTGATTTCAATTCAATTTATCGATACACATTATTTACCGAATGCAGCCATTACCGTGACTATAAAGCCTAAAAAATTGATTTTAATATCCAAAAAGCATCAGAGGCAAAGAGGTATTTTATACCTCGTAAATACTCGTTAATTGTCGAATGTATTCGTAAAATTATTACCCGAATACTTCCGAGTATATTTTTAAATCAAACGGAAAAAGCCGAAAATCAAAATATACTGCTAACGCCATCTTTTTTACCACTGTTGGTAACAAAGATTCATCAGATAGAATACCAACTCATTTTTATAGTCTCCATTATTAGGAGTTGACAGACCTCTTCGTACTTTATGTTATCTGGATACTAAAATGATATTTCTCGGACGTAATACTGGTTTGAACCTCAACATCCTACCATTAGATATAGATATACTTCTGTATAAAAATAAATAAATTCTTTTTTAACTCAGTTTATGTTAATTAAAGCTTTAAAATCGATGCATAATGAATTAGTAATATTAAATAAAATTATTTAATTATATTATTCCAATTGGAAATTTAAAAATAAATAATTTAATATAAATAAATGATAAATATAACATAGAGTTCAATCAAATGTTGTTTAAAAACAAACTAATATTTATTTAAAATAAATAATTTGAGATGAAATATATTAAATTATAAGGAATTTTAATTAGTTTATTATGAAACATATTTATTTACGTTGCGAAAACTAATATAATGTCTTCATTTGAGGTTTAATTTCCGCTGAAATCCGATCTTTATGGTCTGATGGATTACTGGAGTACATATCCGACCTCTGGAACATTGTAGACTTTATTCAAAACACCTTCTATGTTATTTGGATATTCCTAAGAGCAACAGCATGGTTCGTTGTACAGGTAAGTGAATAAACAACTTTAAATATAAGTTTATTCAATTCGTATATGTAAAACCTAATAAGATTATTTTAATTTATTTATATTTGTTCAGAGAGAATATTGGAGTGGAGACGATCCTTGGTACCCAAGAGACCAATGGCATGCATTTGACCCGATGCTTTTGTCCGAAGGTGCTTTTGCCGCTGGGATGATATTTAGTTTCCTTAAACTTGTCCATATATTTAGTGTCAATCCTCATTTAGGACCGTTACAAATTTCCTTGGGAAGAATGATTATAGACATTATTAAATTTTTTTTCATTTATACTCTAGTGTTATTTGCTTTTGGATGTGGAATGAATCAATTATTGTGGTACTATGCTGATTTAGAAAAAGCAAAATGTTATCATGCGGATTATGAAATACCTGATTTTGACAATCAAGAGAAAGCTTGTTCTATATGGAGACGATTTGCAAATTTATTCGAAACGTCACAATCACTCTTCTGGGCCAGTTTTGGAATGATAGACCTTATGTCATTCGATTTAACAGGAATTAAAAGTTTCACACGATTCTGGGCTTTGTTAATGTTTGGATCATATTCTGTTATCAATGTTATTGTACTTTTAAACATGCTTATCGCTATGATGTCTAATTCATATCAAATAATCTCGGTAAATATTTTTAACTTATCATCAATTAAAAATAATGGACCAGTGATATATTAATAATAATAATAATAATAATTTTAATCAGGAACGATCTGACACTGAATGGAAGTTTGCACGAAGTCATCTTTGGATGAGTTACTTTGAAGATGGTGATACCGTTCCTGCACCATTCAACATGATTCCCACAGCTAAAACCTTTAATAAAATTATTAAATGTGGTAATACCGGACGTCCTACTAAATCATTGATTGTAAGTTTCATTACGTTTTTATTTTCAAAGGTAGACATTATGATCAATTGTAATAATGGTAATGATATTAATCAAAATATAATTTCAGAAAAAATCACGTGAAAAAGCACAGGAACGTCATGATACAGTGATACGAATTTTAGTACGCCGTTATGTGACTTCAGAACAACGTAAACGTGATGAGTATGGAATTACTGAAGATGATGTGATGGAAATTCGTCAAGATATTTCGACGTTGCGGTATGAATTGATAGATATCTTGCGACAAAATGGAATGAAAACTCCTAATGTTGATCAAACTGATACGACATGTAATTTATTATTATTTGACATTTTTAAACTAATTATTATGATTAAGACATAATAATCTTAGGTACATGGTGATTTTATCAATAAATGATTTATCTTACTTGATATTTTCAGTATCTGGCAAGAAAGGACGAGTAATGGAACGACTACTGCAAAAAGATTTCCAGATTGGTATCGTTGAAGGTATAGTGAATGCTGTAATTCAAAATGAAAAAGAGCCTAAAGATGTGTTCAGTCAATTGGCTCGGGCGATTGGAAAACGAGCAAGTGCAACTAAGAAGAAAGACTGGAATGCTGCTGTTAGACAAAGTACCATTACGAGAGATCCGATTGGCAGTAGAAGTGAAGCTGAGATTAAACAGACCCGAAGGAGTCTTCGTATTCACCAGAAAAATCATCCAGATTCAGATTTGGCTTCTTTCGATCCTGATCGACTCGTTTCTTATAATCCTAATTTATCTGAAGTATCTCCAGCAACTCGAGTGGCTTATGCTAAATTTATCATGGGAAAACTCGATAAAGCTAAAGCTGTTGGTGAGGCTACTGATGATAAAAAAGGTAATATACTTAATTATTTATTTATGTATTAAAATGTGTTAGTTCATTTTTGTCTTACCACATAAAATTTTTTCTAGAACAAAAACCAGCTGAGGAAGGTACGAAATCCCAAAGGGCTAGCTTGAAAGTAATGGTATCAGGAATAAGTCAATCTCGATCATCACCACCAAGTTCTCTTTCGGGATCATTAAAAAAGAGTGTACTGAAACCATTGAGTTCTGTTAGTAGTCAAGATAAAAGCGATGGTGAATTTAGAACAATACCATCACCGATTCCCGAAGATCCAGAAGGTGAAAGTGTTTCTACATCAACCAAAACTAGCTCTCAAACAAAAGATGAGCAACGAAAAGAAAGCGCCGATAAAACTGAATCAGAAGATAAGAAGGAGAGCACAAAAGTTGAGAAAAAGCCAACTGAAGATGAGAAAAAAGATGAACAAACGAAGAAAGAAGAAGAAGAAAAGAAGAGTGAAGAGGAGGAAAAGAAAGATGAATCTAAAAAAGAGGAAGATAAAAAGACAGACGATAAGAAACCAGCCAAAACAGAAGCTAAGCCCGCACCCAAACCAAGCACTAGTGCAGAACCATCATCAACTCAACAAAGAGATACTTATGGTCAGACTAAAGCAAGAGGAAAATCAAAAGTCACAGGAAAAATAACGGGTGGATGGTTATAATTTATTGTACAGTTTTATTAATTATAATTAACTATAAATATATAAATAATAAATGTTAAATAAGAAAATAATTTGTTCTCTTTAATATTTTTAATTGACACATTTATGAAAAAATGTTATTCGTAATAATATTCGATTCCGTTTTTTTGTCTTTTGTATATCATCTTGAATTATGATTGCCTTTTTATTTATTTTTTTCTTCCTGTTAATTTCTCTGTCCTCCTTTAAAATATATATTTAATTGATACTTAGTTTTATCTTTGCCATAATGTATACTTGATTCAACAAACCTCAATTAGCTCTCCTATTTTGTATGACTGGAGAGTATTTTTAGCATTGGATGAGTGGCCAAAATCATAAAATGCAGCTGTTGCATCCTTTCCAGCATATTCTAATAGCAATTCTGCTCCTCCTGGATGCTGCAGAGTAAGGTAAATTTAGGTATTATGGTGATATTTATAATATTAGTTTGAAGTTTAGTTGGCTAATGCTAAATAATTGCCTACTATGTGACATGATACATCTGTATCCGTGAAGTGTAATCTTATTCTAAACAATGATATTGATTTTAGGAATGAATAAAGTTATAACTCATTATCTTATCCTTCAGTATTGAAATTGTAACATTGTTCACTAGAAACAACAACAATATTATCTCTATTACATCACTATGCCAATTAATTTGATATAAATTTCTCAAATTTTACCGATTCCAAATAATTAGACACGTCGTAAACCACATCTTTAATCACTATCCAAGTTTTAGCACCAAGTTGACCATTATGTTGAGCAACCTTTTCAAGGGAAAACAGAGCCTTCGACATAATTGTTCCACTGACAATAAGCATCGTTTACATTCTCATCAGCTTATAAATACCTGCTATGGATGTCGATTATCTTGTTAAGAATTCATTGATACAATCGTGCTATAATTATAGTGGTACGAAGTTGAAGTGGGAGAAAGGAAAAAAAGAATTGTTGGAAAAAAGAGTAGGGTCATATAATCGATGACATGTGTCAGATGTTATGATATCAATTTTCTATGAATGCATAATTATTTGATAACACATCTCAGATTAGTATTAAATTTGATTGATTATCTTTAATTAAATTATTGAAAATGAGAGATTTTTCATTTATTCAAAATATCATCGATATTATTATTTAAAAGAAATTTATTCCTTCTTTTATCGATATATTTTTTTGTTAACTTACTTTTGAAAGATTATATTTTTAATATATCAAGGTTTCAAATGCTTAACTATGTTAACAGTACTTGAATAAAATATCAACAATAATTAATTAATAATGATGAAGCTGAAATTGCTGTAAATATTTACGTACAAACATGAGTTGATAACGACTATTATTAATTTAATCTTGTTTCTATTGAATCGGATATTGTGGGTTTATTGTAACTTCCTGAATTTACGGAGAACTATTGTTTGTAACTGTTATACAAGTTAAATGATAATTCAACAAATATGTACGCATATTTTTCCCTGTAACTATTTATAATATTAATAAAGATGATTTTTTATTTTTGATAAGTGTTTGATTTTCATCAAAATTTAAATATTAATTTTCAATAATTTATACAAGTATTTTTTAGAGTTTTTGTAACCAGATAATGAAGGTGTAGTGAATAAATATGAATGATATACGTTATCAATTTCAAGAATAAAAAAATTACACAATCAGTATTATCTTGATGATCTGAAGGATTAGATCGTGTAGACTGTCACGTTCTAAATTATAGATTACAATAATTACGTTTAAAAAAATTCTTTATTGAAATGAAATAAATTATATATGACTTATTACTTTAAAAGTAAAATATATCTATTCGATTCAATCGTAAATTATTAAAATAAGCAATAATAAATAAATATATATAGAAGTTATAAAAATATAAACATACATATATCATAAAAATACATTTTAAAAAATAAATATAAATTATAAATATATTGAAAAAAATGTACATATTTATTTAATAATATTTAATTCCAGTAACTGAACGAATCCATCGATGGTAAAAACTTATCTTAGTAAAAACACCAGGCAGTGTACTAGGACAGTCTGAGTCTCCATAGCTTACTATACCTATCTGTACGTATTGATTATCTTTATAGACTATTAATGGTCCACCACTATCACCTTGACAAGCATCTACACCAGTTCCAGCTGCTGTACATAAGACACTATCAGATACTTTCCATTTTTTTGAACACTCTTTATTAGATATGATTGGAATTCGACCAAATTTAAGACGACGTTGAACATTATTTGTTATTCCATCTAGTCCCCATCCAAATACATAACTTGTCCATCCAACATAAGTATTAAACTCATCATATTTTCCAGCAAGTTTTATCGGCTGTATTCGTGCTATAATAAAAATAAAAATGTAAGTAAAAATGATTAAAGTTTATTAAAATTCGTATTTTAATAGTTAGTTAATTTTTGTAATAATAAAGAATATTTTAATTTTGCTAATAAAATATGTAAAGTAATTAACTTGAGAAGATGTAAATTACTTTTATTTATAATTGTTATTTCGAGAGGAATATTCAACAAATATATGCCATCATGTCTGGAATAGCGGAAAAGTTTGAATGCCTCCCAGACGGCACTGGAACATTTTCCGGAGCCTAGACCTAAATAGCCAGGCATGTTTCTGGTCAAAGGGTTAAGCTAGTTAGTGTAGACTCTGACCGCCAGAATAGAGACTCGAAGTTTCCTTTATGAAGATGTTATCATAAGACTACTGATCCCCTTGAGAGACAGATTGACTTGCACACACGACAGTAGTTTATATTCAAAATTGATTATATCTATTCACTTCATATTTTATATTTTATTTCAGATTTTTAGTCTTAAAAATAATTATATTAATTAATAAAAAATACTGTAAACACGGTTTATTTAATTTTAAAAATATTTATCAGACTATTAAATATATTATCTATTCAGAGAAGAGGAAGTTATAAATGTTAGAATGATAACACTGTAAAATTAATGATTTTTTAGTTTTTCATGAAAATTAAAGAAAAATCTATCAGTAAAAATTAATAACTGGACTTTTCAATTTATAGTGATATGACAAACTGGTGTACCAAATGACACAACTTACCACTGAAAGGAATATCACGAGGCATATAAAGTAATGCGATGTCATTCACAGTTTTTCTATAATCAGAATGTATTACACCACTGGTAGTGATCATGGCAATTCCTTTTCCATGATAAGTCTCATAGCCGATATTACTTCTGTCAACGTCACCGAACACAACTAGAAATTTCCGCGGTCTTTTTTCTATACAATGACCAGCTGTTAAAACCCATCGAACTGATATCACTGTTCCACCACATATATGTATTTTGTAATTTCCTTTCATCTGATGTATCACAGCCATCCACGGAAACTGTCCGTTCATAGCCATATTATTGCTATAAGTAGTTCGTGATGAGTATGAATAACTGTGTTTGTAAATAACTGCAAAAAATAAATTAGAATTAAAATAAATTATAAACTAAAAATATAATTAGCAAAGTAGAATATTTTTTTACCATTAGATTTGTAACGAAATGAAGATCTTTTAATATGAGTTATACAAATGGCTTTTTGACTTTGATGGAAAATCAAAAGTAGCGCGGCAAAACTGAGTACTCCTCGAAGGGCCATGGTCAAATGAAAAAGTTGCCATCAGAAAAAGAACCATTGGTGCGTTTCGTACAAGTCTAAAAAGGCGGGACATATTTTTAGTTTGATGATTGGCGTTAGTGACTTGCAGATTTAAAACTTATGACATTGGAAAAGAACTTACTCTATTGTTTGACAATTAAAGAAATGGCTGCTTAAACTAACACCTGTTTTCTTAGAATAAATTCGTGAATACTAGTAATTCTCTATAGATTCATATTGGAGTAACTTCTAATGAAGCAGAATATTAATTTATAGAGGTAACCATTATTATATTATGTTAAAGTATTACGTTAATTATTCTAACTTCTCTAGAGCGTTTATTAATATAATAATAATAATAATTATTATTATTATTATTACAATTTTAGAACTCTTTAATTTTTTCAAAAATAAACTTGTTCTGTAAAAGTATATTAATAAAAGATTCTAAAATAATTTTTATGCAAATTGGCATTCTTTTATCAACAAAATTTTGGAAAAAAATTTTCAGCAGGTTTTCATAAAATTAAAATGGTCCTTTTGATATTGCTAGTCCGCTGCGAGTCACTATGAGTAACGTTTTATAACTCCAACCCATTAGATTAAGGTCCATTTGCAGGTAGGTAAAGAAACCTTTGAACTTCAAACATAATGTATCCAAGCTACGATCACAAATTTCTTCTCTCTAAAATATCTTCTTCGGTTCAATGACCTCTTGAAAGTTGAATTTATGCAGATCTTTCACTCAGCACGCATAAGGATAAGTTCCTTACGAAGTAAAAGTTATTTTCAAGTCTTTGTGTTAATACAAGATGCTAAATATTTCAATAATTAAAACTTTAGCAATATTACTTAAGTGCTTTTAGTAAAATATTGAAATTAATTACGAAAACAATATTTTTGCATATAATTTTTTTTTTATCAAAACTTATATTAAAACAGAATTAATTTTTCTTAATATTATTTTTCAAATTCTGCAACCCTACATCACCATCCAAAAACTACAGTAACATTAAATCATTCGTCAGCGAAAAATGAAAGGTTTTACTACGGACAATAAGCATGATGATGCAGGTAATAAAAATGCTAGCATTTAAATTTCAGATGTACCTGACCTAGGCTAACAGCACCCTCATCTCATGGGCGTAGCCCTGCCTAGAAATGTGGGTAAATCCGTTCACAGATGGTTTGGCCGTATAGTTAAATATCTGTAAATAGATAGACACATGCTAAAGCATAAAATCGATGTATTGCGTAAAATATTTTCAAGAAATACATTGGGGATTTTCTCTATACTGGAATTTCTCAATACCATATGTCTAGCTTGGTATTTCCCTAGAGATAAAAGCAATAACACACAACACTTATTGCAAATCTAGTGGATTAAAAGACTAGGGAAGAAATATGGTGATAGAATAAGTTGAGAAAAAATGAAAAGTATTTTTTAACCGTATTATTATATATATTATCGTTTTTCTCTGCGTCAAATCATACATCGTTCAAAACATTTATGTATTGCGATGTGATCATGATTGTAAAGATAACAATGCATAGGTATCGTACAAATCAACTTAACAGTATCACAAGAATTTGACGTGTTATTGAAAGTCTTATTATTAAATATATACTTTTAGTGGTATTTGTTTAGAGCCAATTATAAATTTACGAGATAATTACGACAAAATAGACAAATGATATATTGACCACGCTCGATTACTTATAATACTAGATTCTTTAGTATAAATAAATAATATTATAGTACGAGCCAGTGAACATTAATACTCTCAGCAAGTCATGAACGAAATTACAAGTCGTATGTTAATTAAAAAAGTTGTTTACATATACAATGATGACGGTAAATGATAACGTTGATGATGGAAGTATATACGACTTGTTACCTGAGCTAAAGGCGTGTTACACATTTTAATGTGGTCGGCCCGAAATTTTATAAATTTAATATAATTTTATAGTAGAAAAAATGAATGAACAAGGAACAAGTTATCGCACTCTCTGTAAATGTCATTAACAATATTAAAATTTACAAAAAATTATATAAGAGAGCGGCAGTAATTTCGACTTTCTAATAAGTGGATATAATAATGATACTCTAGATTAAAATACTTTAAATAGTTAACATCATTCTCGCTCTCTAAACTATGTCAAATATTAAAGTGCTATGTATTTAATGATAACTTATTAAAGAGTCAAAAGTCCTGCCGAAACGATTGGTCGATCGACGACCAAATTTTTTTTAGTGTTGTATAAGCTAACGAGCTACCACTCATACATTATTTCTCTCGTTTAATCTGTCCATTTTCGTTTTTTCAATATTTAGATTATACGCACATATAATTGTAAGATTCAAAAACACTTCTTGTATACAACTATTGAATAATTTAACAATTCGTCAGCAGAAGATATTTTCATTGCTAGTGCAAATATTTTAGGTTTAGCCATTAAATCATCAAGGCTTCATAACTCTCCAATATTTTGTCATACAATTATTTTTCTCATGAAAACAATAATAAATATTTACTGCAATTGTTTAACATTCACGTTTTTCACATTCTACAATCTTCGTTTGTATTAATTATCTTATATACTGATTGATTTATTAATTTTATTTATCAGTTTTAATTTTCTCATTTTAATCTGCGTGTATTTATTTATTTTTATTAAACATCTTACTTAAATATTCGTTTGTTATCTATCTTCCTTATTTAGTAGTTCCTGGCAATCGATTAGAGATTGTACAATACAGTTCAGTTAGTCTAAACTCGAGACCTTACGAATGATAGTATAAAGGGATTGATAGAGCCTTGAGGTACTTCGAGGTAATATAGGCAAAGGAAGTAAAGGAGGGAAATAAAGGGTGTGGAGAGAAAGAATAATTCGGTAGGTATCAGATGAAATAGTCTCTGACTCCTTAATTCATAAAGTAATCAACATATTTTATAATCAAATAATTATTGGCAACACTCCCGTACACTTTTTCAATACAACAATTGAATTAGCATTCTTTTACAGTTTTAGTTTTTAATTACAATATAATTGACGGTTTTGACATTAATCTTGATGCAAATAATAAGTAAAAAGTTGTTTTTTATGATACATATATATATAGTTCTTTGTTTTACATCAAAGCGTTAAAGATATTCGACTATGTCACACTTGATTGATATATTTGGACAGCTGGCAATGTTAGCACCATATCCATCACCACTTGATGAACTTTTGTGCCGTTCGGAAAGTAATTTTTGAAAAATTGGCAATATATCAAGGTCCAGTAATTCTCCGTCAGACACAGCACTACACATCTTCGACAGATCAGTTGTTGATCCACTTGTTCCAGTACTTCTTGCATTCTCATCCCTAACAACCGCAACACTATCGCCATTTCCACTGGCACCACTGCTATGTCCACCTCCACGGGGATTAGTACTTGTAAATTTAGTACTATGAATTGTTGCAACATTAGGACTACTCTGCACATACTCTAACCGAGCCTGTTGTCGTAGTTTCGATTCTGTATGTCGACACTCACGATGTTTTCTCAAGGGCGTGCGATGTCGATGACATTCTGTCATTGTGTGGCCTGTACCGCCGCGAGACCTGGCGCATTTCTCCCGAGATCTCTCCGACACTGATCGGTGAATTACTGTTAAATCTTCTGTTTTCTCTGTAAACATAAGAAATCAAGCTTCAGTAGAGAAAAAGTTTAACAAGATTGTTGCCACTATTAGTCTCCAAGGACTCTGACGAGTTTTTTTTCGAAATCTAATCAGCTTCCAGTTACCTCTAAATGTATTTATTGATCTCCTGTTTCAGGAATTTTATTTAATGAACCTTGTTGCTTTTCATTTGCTTTACTAAAAAAAAAAAAATGAAAATGATAAAAAAAAATTAATAAAAAAACACTAAGCCTTTAATTTAGATTTTTCAATAATAAATTGAATGATTGCTTTTTAAAATATTCGTATTTAATGAAAAATAAACTAAAATAAAAATATTAGGTACTTACGTATATTGAAAATAACAATTTTTTATACTTTTATTATTACTTATTGCTTATTATAAAATAAATGTAAAACTACAAGATCCTTTGAAGAATGAAATTCAATTTGTGTACGATCGATCATTTTATTCTCGTTTGTTAAAATGAAATTATAAATATAAAGTTCAAAAGAGGTAATTTTGTATCGAAGTGGTGTTTTCTATTCTATTTTAATAAGATTAGAAAACAATTACGTTGCAAAGTTTATGTTTTGCATTTTGTCAATTTCATAATTGAATAATCAAATCCATTATGAAAAATTAAATTCTGATTAAAAAGAAGAAAATAAATAAAAGGTGAGAGATTAAAATCGAAAATAAATTACTCACCAGTATCAGAATAACTAGTATTGATGCTTGATTGTACATTAAGTGAGCTTGCATTTTTGCTGATAGTATCACGGTGCTTCTTAGAAGTTGAAGTTTCCACTGAACCATTTGAGACGGTGTGTATATGACGACTAGCACCACCATGTTTTTCACATCTGTAGCCTGTAGCAGGAATTGCAGCTATTTTTCGATGCCCGCATTCGCTAATAACGTATGACCGTTCGAAAGGACCCAATGATTCTTCAATAGTTTCTCCTTTCGGTATATTTTCCGTTGAAACGTGAGCAATTGTATTCACCGGAACACTCGTTCTTCTCTTCTCGAACAATTCATGATGAGAATGCGCTAATCCATTATTTTTTACTGATGATCTTCGTTTTGCTAATGATTGGTGTTGATGGTGAGCTACAATGAAAAGTTTCAAGATAAATAGAGCTCAAATAAATTCCTTCAGTAAATAGCACACACTAATCAACAATTGCAATGTGTTTCTGATGGGTACGTTAAGTTGATTTAAATTAGTATCTGTTAATTACGTTTATAATAGCAAAAAACAAATTATTAGCTCTATAAAGAGAAGATGAATTGATTACATGAAGCATTTAATTACTTTTTTTCATTAAGTTGAGCCTATTTATAGGTTTTAAAATTAGAAAAATTTGAAAAAATATCACATAAATGATTTTTTTATCAATTTGCGGAAAATTTAATTTTAAATTGAAACAAATTTATTAAATATTGGTTTTGATATTAAATTTAACTGGTTAATTTATGGCAATTATGAAATAAATGGCAAATGTTAATTAGATAATAAATTAAAATAAAAATGATAAAAAATTATTTGAAAACTAATTCCATTTTACCAGACAAGATATGGCGTTAATAATAAAAATGAATTGTCAAATAAAGAATATAAAGACTTCTCGCATGAAATAATTTTATTTTTGATGGAGCTAAGTTTAATAACCATTGCAGATATATTTTTTAAACATTTATCATACGTTGAGTTGATAAAAAATCTATTTTTAGATAGCAATAAATCTCTATTTATATTTCTATATTTTAATATGAATATAAAATCCCTGAATGCAACTATCCATCTTAGTTGATTCAAAATAAACTACTTCGTCTTTCAAAAGAATTATTTTTTCAAAGTGATACTTTTCTGAATCAAATTTGTTGAATAGAATTTTAGCATATTTTTAAATATGATATTAAAATGTGTATATCAAATAAATGAAAATTCTAAAACTATAGAAATTGTTAAAAATATTAAAAAAATTGCTTTTTATAACAAAAGTGAGAGGTATATTTTTTATAATTGAAGATTGCTAGATTGTAAAGTTCACTGCAGTTCAATCGATCACTATAATCTATTGGTATCATTTATTTTTAGAAGATAATTTTCAAAGTTCAGTACGTGGTACATTAGCTGTCAGTATAAGTTAATTTTTTATGTACAAATTTCATTGAAAGGACGATTTATGATTTGGTAAACTATAGAGCCAATAGTTTTTATCCGTGAATAACAAAAAACTTTGTTCGCCGAAACAAATTTAAAGTTAAAATTTGTTGAACAGTGTAATGAGCACCCTTATTGTATATTATTTCCTACCAGTATGCCGATGTTTCGGCACGAACTGCACAGGCGGTGGAAGTATAGCTTGTTCCAAATAATTCTGCTTTTCCAATTCGCCAAATGATACATTTTTGGTTGGAGGTGGTGTTGGAAGTTTTGCTCTTTTTTCAGGGCAAACTTCTTTCGTTGTCCTTGTTATTAGGTTATCTCGTGGTATTTCAGTCTCCTCCAATACAACTGACTCTTCTGATTCCTCAACTGTTTCCGATACAAATTCTACGTTGACTTTATCATCTTTCGTTGTAAGGGTTGTTGACTCAGAATATTTTTCAATTAATGGCTCACTCTCCGGTCCTTCGCTCATGGAAACTTTCTTTCGGTTATTAGATGGTGAACTTGGTTTCTGTGGAATCAATGACGCTTTTTCCTCCAAGTTAGATTTGTTAAAAAATGGCTTTTTTCTGGAAACATAACAAAAAATATCAACTTTTGCACTTAATTTGAAAGTAAAAGAAAATATTCAAAAAAGTGGAAACATCAAGTTTTTTAAGCACAAATAAAGCTTTTTTTTGTTGATTATTTTTCTCAAATAAGAATTTTGTCCCGTAAAGATTTTAAATTGAAAAATTTTTTTCAAATTTTGCAATTTCCATTTTTCAGTAATTTAAACAATTTATTTAATAAAGTTGAATGATAGAAAGAGAATTAAAGGTTAATATAAATGTATATATAAATACAAAGACTCTATAAAGTATTGTCTTTAAAAGATTGAAATATGATATTCTCTTACTTAATATTTTGTTGATCACTTGTCGCTAAAACATTGACATATTCATTCTCTGGTTGTGATAGCGTTGTCGAATTTAAACTGCATAATGACATGGATATATCAGTTGTTTCCGTAACCATTGACAAACCTATAAGGTAGCATAAACAAACAGGTAAACACTACAAGTTAATAATGAAATATTTATCTATACACTTATATTAACTGATTTATTCGATAATTATTTTAACTAGATGGGTACCTAGACCGTTAAAAATCTACTTTTACACTATCTTCATGCAGACAAAATGCATAAATTACAGCATGGTTTTTCTTTTCCAATTAATTCTAATTTTATTCGAGCGACTTTCGATTCTTTTTCATTAACTAACCTGCCTGACCGGGTGCGCCATGCCGCTGGAGGACAGTGGGCTCTAGCATACAGATTGATAGAAAGTCAATAAGGGAAGAAGGGGAGATTAAAAACAACATTGGCAATTGGAGCTAAATTTTTATACAGGCCATTTCATCATGAACTAAATAAAATAACAAATACCTTCTTTTTTGATAACTGCTTCGCTTTTTGGTACTGATAATCTATCCATAGCTTCTTTTGTATCTTGTATGAGACTCTCATCCCCTAATCTTCTGAGGAATATCTAAAAGAGAGTAAAAAAAATGATATAGTGAAAAATAAAAAGAACAAGATGGAATGACAATAGGTAGAAATAATATCCAACTTGAAGCTCTGATTCTTTTTCCAAAAGAAGTTTACGAAATTTTTGATTGGCTATAGTAGCTTCTCTTAAACGTTCTTCAAGTTCGCTGACCGTCGAATCTCTCCGAGTCTTAGAAGAGGGTCTTAAAGTCGCCCGGATTCTCTTATCTATCGCGCCTTGGGGATTTCTTCGTAGTTCAATAAGCTGAAAGAGAATCAGTAGAAGAATAGAAAGATAAACAAGTCATTGTTGGGAAATAATAAAATAATAAGTTTTTCAAAAACTAACTTTTGGCACAAAAACAAGGCAAAGTGTGGCTGTACTGCAGAAGATAATAAATATTGACAGCATTATGAACATAGTGTCCTGCTTATCAGCCAGAACGAAGCTGATAGCAGCTCCAGTGATGCACATTATTACTACGTTATAAACACTCATACCAACGTACTTGCTATCGTTCAACGCTGGTATGCTTACGTGCCTCGTTTCCCAAGCAAGAAACGCTCCGAATATCTGAAATTTTATTATCATTTAGATAATAATTCACATTTTGTATTCAAAGGAGATTTACTAAGGTTTTACCATCAAGGAGCCTTTGTAGGCATAAATAATAACAAGGTACACAGTCATATTGTTACTTTGGCAGTACTCGTTTTCTGGTATCATCAAAACGTCTTCATTTGATGGAAGGGACTGAAAAACAAAATACTCTTTTTTAACACACTTTTTATTAATTAATGTAAAATAAAGTTAAATAGTCCTCCATACTTGACCTAATTTTAAATTAAAAAAATTTTTTGTTTCATTATGTAGTATATTTAAATAAATTTTGTTTAAATTTAAAAAATGGGTTAAAAAAAATTTCATTCAAGATTTATTTTTAAGAGCCACTTATGTAAAATTTTTTTGAAAACACCTTCTTTTTATGATCTTTTACAGAATTTCTTTTCAGATAAAAATTTTCATAGACTAAAAAGTTTGAAAACTTTTTCGTGGTTAAAAATTTTTCTATTATAACGCACGATTTCCCAAAAATGTCTTTTTTAATCTTCAAATATATTTCTTTGAAGAATGAATAAGATTAAATTTTTGTCTTTTATTTACAAAGCAAATATCAGAAATGACCAACGTCTTGAAAACCAGAGACTTCCAAGTTTCATATTTGTAGAATTTTAATCAAAAGATAAAAAAAGCTTACATTTCAACTCGAGTATAAAGTTTTGCTGAGTATTCAGATGTAAAATCAAGTCTCCATGCTCAACAATTTAAAAGAAAAATAGACTCGAAATTTTTGTTTTTATTTTAAACACTGAATCGCAAAGTAAGCACGAAATAGCTGTGAAATGGTTAGAAAATAGTAGAAATCTCTTTGTTTAAAACGTAGAATAAAACAAATTTCATCGTATTTTTCTATTAATTTTCTAAACCCACTGAACACTTTAAAAAAATGTACGTTTTTTTATCAGTTCTTTGACCTGTATACTTGTACATCAGTGATTTCTTTAAATTGTTTTGATAAAAATTTAAGAACTACCTGTTTTATTTTCAATAAACAAGTTTATTTTTTCCATTGAAAAAAGCTAGAATCTAAAACAAGTTTCAACTATTGTTTGATTTAGTGTAACATCATTCACGTTGCCAAGAATACTAAATTTTATTGTATATTACTTTTAAAAAAAAAGTTTTTTCTTTTTTAATTACTTTTGTTCTACTCTGTTATTTCGCTTATTTTTTGTCAAGTATATAGTATGTTCTGAACTTTCAATAAAATCTCGATACACAGTCAAAGCACATTAAAGAGTGTGATAAATTAAGAGTCCAAAAAAAGAGATACTTTTTATCCACCACATGGCAACCTGGCAATAAATTGTGGTAAAACAAAAAATTTCTTTCAAGTTAGTAATTGATATATTTACTCACATAAGCTTCCATTCTTTTAGTTTCTCTATAAAATGGATCGGCAACTTGCCATGTTGTCATTATTACCAAATCAATGACAAGGAGAACTCCTACAACCATAAATAATTGATAGTCTTTTATAACCTGAAACATAGAGAAAAAATAACAATAACTAAATTCAATAATTGGATGTCATTTGCAGTTGATAATTAAACGAAACTCCTTTGTCTTTGATTACCTACTTTTTTATTGAGCTTGACATCAGTAAATATAGAATGAACTCTCCATGTTTTTGAAAACATTGCTCCAAATGCTAGGGAAAAGCCTGCCATCAAGAGCCATGCTCGCGCAGTACAAATGTATGGAAAAGCTGTCGTACTTGACAGAGTTGAATCTAACCCCAGAAAAATGACACTGCTGTATGTTAGCATACATCCAACGATAATAAGATTGTTCAAGTGAGGAGATGACATCTTTATGTATCTGAAAGCCATTGAAATTTTAAAATGTTTACGTTGGTCGCTTGTTACCACACAAAACTCTTGAATATCATTAGTAAGCAGTCTGCATGTTCTTCATGATTAATATTTCAAAGCTTTCTCATTAATAAAATGATAGAAATTCTTGAGTAAAACAGTTTGTCACTGAATCTCAAAAATCCAGAATCATTAAATAAAACCAGTAGAGATTGCGTATGAATTTTAAACAATACTTCCTTGAGATTTCAATTTCAATAATCCATTGAATGAAGATAACAGTGAGAAGAAACTAAACGAATCAATAATGGATCGCAGAGATTCTAAATGCTTTAATTGAATTTACTCAATAGCACTAACAAGAACAAATAAACATGGACGAAGATAGACAGAGACAGAGTAGCATGATTTGCAAATATACTTGGCTGATAGTACCTTTGATTTCTGTATCTGATGTTGATGGCGAGAAACACTACAGCCATAATGATGCCCATGGCAGCTGCAGATGCTATCACCGAGTAAATGGTGATATTGACGGTTGAGTGCTCGATGACTTCAACTGTTCGGTCCTTCGGGGGCGATCGACCACGCCAGATCAGCGGTTGACCTCTGTTAAGATCTAATGTATCAGTGACTCCATCGTATTCGCCAACTTTAACTTCTGTTCCACCTGGAATTGAGATGTTTCCTCTTGAGAATATTTTGATATGGTCACCCGATCTCAAACAATTATTTTGTTAATATTTCACTAACTAAGTTGATTTTCATTGTCGCCACTCACTTTGGAATTGCTTTAACAATATGTAGGCCTTCCTTTCATTGTCGTAGAAACGGACAGGTCCCTGAAATAGAATGTTGATTTATTTAGTTCTGCCATCGATTGTCTTTTAATTTAGTTATTAGATTGTAAGATTTATTTTGTTAATCGATTTGTAACAATAATATTTTATTTTAGGTGAAGAAAAAGAAACTTAATTGCGGTATTCGATGAAAGAAGGAGTTTGTTCTTCTGATAGAAGATGTTTAAGAAAATTCTAGTGTAGTTAGTAAAGGAGTTGGGACATTTTTTATTAAAATATAAAAAAATGTAGTTGATTATACATGATTTTTTATGTAAAAGGTAAATGAGATATTCTTAAGAAACAATTCGAGAGCATGTCATGGGATTTTAGAATAGTTAAGTTTACATAAATTTTCATAACTGAATAAATTTTTTAACTCGTTGGGTAATTTTTTTTCTATTATTAAACTCCAACAAGCATGAGGATCTTTGTTACATTCTTGTGAGATCAAGAACATTATAAAAATCAAATGAACTAAATCACCTTAAAATAGTTATTTTATTTAAAGAGTATTTTAATTATACTGAATTTAAATATTAGATAAACTTGAATATTTAAATGAATTTCCTGGATTGATAGTTGAATGAATAATAAATTCCATAAACTGTAAATAAGATCTTCAATATGCAAGCTTCCTTAGCTCTATTAATTTCTGATAAGCTGTCGACAACAACTTTTTTCAAAAATTCATGATCTGGTATTAACAAAAGCACACGAGAAGAATATTTTTTATTTAAATTGCACATAAAAAAACCATCTGGTGGATAAAATAATGTGAAAATGTACGTGAATGGTGAAGTAAACCTTGTGGAAAGTACAATATAGTGGATCAATTGTGAGCGTGACTGAATCAAAAGTAACAATGGCATCAAAAGAAAATCAATCTTGAGTGTTCGAAGAGAAATAAAATACTTGGAATTTACACGTCAAGACTTTCTTTATTGCATTACATAAGTGTGGAAAAAATCAGAGCAAGAGTTAGTTAGAGTTATGTTACGGAAACATTTCTCTGATAAACAAAACCAAAGGGAGAAAATAGAAGGGTAGAAATGACTTCCCCTCTGTGATGAGGAAACACGTGGGAAAATGTTAAATTATAACAAGTCTTGTGCGGCACAAAGCTTAGAGAAAGTTAGTTGAAGCCCAAATGGAAGTGGTTACTCTGGCTTTAATAGAATTCGTGAGTGAATATAGAATATATGGTAGTACACATTGAAGAGAAACTCACAGTAACTCCTTCGAAGCTGGTGTTCCTCAGGGCCTTTAAAAAAAGTTCTTCCCACAGAGGATCTCTGTATTTAAAGTCTGTGACAGTCTGATTCCTACGGAAATGCCGTATTCGTTTGGAGACGTGCTGAATAGCTAGTGCAATCGCCCATATTCCATCATATGTGTAACCATGGAATCTCGAATATTCGTTGCCTCTTCTGGAGTCGTATTCAGCTTGATATTCTTCTGGTGTCTATAAATGTCAAAGAGGATTACATAAACTTTAATTTGTATCATTCAACTACATTTTATATTGTCACACGAGCTAAACTCACACCTTGGGTAAATAAAATAATTGAATATATCTTGATTTCACGTTAGAGCATCAAAGGATTAAAGGATAAAATGAGCTTTGGAGTAAAAAAATCAAAGTTACCGAATAATCTGTTGAAGTAAATGAGAAACACTAACAACAAAATATTTCCTTTCATTATATTTTTTCGTTAGAAAAAAAGTCAATAAAGCTAGTGTGTTTCAACTGATACAACGATAATGAATTTTTCACTGGAATTGAGAACTAAATCGATAAAATCTGTGTTGAACTAGGATAAAATATAAAATAAAAAAAAAATAGAATTTATGTTTCTTTCTTGTATAATTTTATAATTCGAATCTTTTTTTATTGTGATTCTCATAAATTTCTTGAAAATTGAAAAAGAAAATTTCTCAGGTATTCCTTTTAGATGCTCTTAAGAACACGTAGGTGCTATATATTGTACCGGAGAAATATTACTAGAATATATACGGAACTCACAATATTTTGGATTTTACTGAAGACCAAAGGATTACAAACTTGAAACGTATGCCAGTAGTTATTTACTATAGCTTTATATATGTTTCGATCTGGCAATTCGCCGAGTTATAACAATAGATGCATGTAACCCTATCGACATGACGCTATTGGAAATGTTGATTGTTATTTGATGTACTTTTATTTCTTTGTTTCCGATTAAAATGGTTAACGATTCTTCAGTAAAAGGTTACACACGTTAAGCTAACTGAGTAATTATTTTTTCTAATTTATTGGATAAACCATTTATAAAACAATTTCCGTAAAATACTCACGATTCCGGATACGGTGATTTGCCTATCAGTAGAAAGAGGAAGTAGGTCAGTCAAAATAGCTCCATGTAAAGCTTCAATAAGTTCAGAAGGTGCACAACCACCATCAGGTCGTAACCACCACTCTTCAGCATATGTGCCCATAATTATCCACTGGTATTTTCTTCCGAACATTCGAAACCTGTTAACCAAGCATGAGTATTAGTTTTCATTAAATTTAATCAATTATAAAAGATAAAGTTGAGGTGAGTGAACTATCAGCTGAAAAAGTTTTTATAATACTTTTAATTATTAATAAAGTTCCAACTAAAAGCAATAGAGTGTGAACTATTTAAAAATTTTTAAGACAGTTTAATGCATTCATTATTAAGCTTATGAAACCACTAGCTGAATTTTATTACGTTTAATACATGAATACATTCCGTTGTTGAAGAAATGAGCCAAGATAATTCTTTTTTAAATTATATTTGCTATATTTTTGTAGCTTTTTTTATTTTTTAAAAATACACTTAAATAATAAAATACCTGTACTTATAAAAATAAATGTACTTATTCAAAACTTACTTTGTTGTAACCACCTTAGTAAAAAAGTTTCGTTTTGTATGAATAAAAAATAAATGTTTTACTTATTCTTTTGTGGTAAAAATAATTTTTTAATCATTCAAATAACTTGGAGGTCATAGCACCTTTACTACTAACGATAAGACAGATCACAGAATTGATAATCAAGTACGAGTGATTTTTAATTGATAATGTAAATATTTAATGGACTAAGATCAAATTAAATAATAATATATTGATAATGACTTATAAGTAATTTATTTCCAGTTCAAATTGGTACCTGTACAAATGGTATCCGAACCAGAGATACTAATTGGTCCATTTACCAAACCTTAACATTGACTTTATTGAAAGGAAAATGAATTTCTTTAAAGTGTCTATTGAATGGAAATGAGAAAAATCGAATGAATGCGGCACAGTAATTTATTTTTAATACACACAATATAAAAATAAAGTATTATATAAATGATGAATCGTATTTAGTACAATACCTGAAAGCTTCACAAAATATCCGTCTCGCCCAAGCTTCATTAAAATTTCCTAGGATTATTCTGACATTTGCATTTTTCAGTTTTTCTAGGGCAGAACTTACTTCAGTAGCAAAGCTTTGAGTTTCCAGCACTTCAAATTTGTGGTCGTCGAGATCGGCTAGCAGTCTATTATGTGCCTAGAAGAATGTAAATAATAAATAAAGATTATTATCGAGCATAAGCAAAACGTCGGGTACAGGGCTTTGGTTGAGTTAAATCAGACTGGTGGCTGGTGGTTTTCAACGGTATGTTGCCTACGCAGGCATAGTGGTTGTGTTTAGGTTGGATGCGAATTCTGCAAATTAATACCTTTCACCCACCTACTACCAACAGTTCTGTTCTGTTATAGTTCCCTCAGTAATTTGCATCCCAACTAATTGAGGATTTCAATAAATTAATACACCATTTATATATTTCGATACTGATATGAAGATTTTACACACTCTCACGATTAGAATTAATTAATTTACGAATATTAATTAAGAAACTGATATGAAGGTTATCGCCACAATCATCAAAGTTATGTTTTCATGTGGTATTTGTCAACCAATTTGTTAAGATGTAATAGTAAAACTGATCTTTAACTATAACCTATTATCACTTTGATGAACTTTAATTGGAAAAATGTTTAAATTAAATTTTTATTGTGAACTTTTATGATAAACAGAATAAAATTTCCTTGTAAATTTGCTTCGAGACGGAATTTTCTTTTGTGTATCTTCTATGATCTTTTAAAAATTTATTGCTTACATTTGAAACATCAGAGAACATGAAAGTAAACCTTGCCAACATGTGAAAATCAAAAAATTTCGAATTCAATATAAAGCTCTTATTGCAAGACGATATTCCATTTCTATATCAGTTGTTGTATTATGCCATGTAGGTTCAATTTCGTCTTTCGATACATTATGTTTTTTTCTCAGTATGCTGTACTTATAGGATATGAATTCCATATTCACATAGATGGAACCATTGTCGATGCAAAACATAGATCTCAGTTATACGACACTTGTTTGTTCAACTTCTATCATGTATGCGAATATGAAGAGGATGTGCTTTACATTTTATGGTGGAAGATGTACTCAAAATTATGATTGTTATCCCTCCGGTAGTGAGATTATATGTGAAACTATAATCATGTGACACCATAAGTTATCATTTTATAGCCCATGAGGTAATAAAAAATGGGATAGAAGCTCTAATAGTAAACCGATTATTATCGATATACCGTCCATATTAGTTTAACAAAGATCAATATTTTTACACAGGTTTTTGATCTATAACTAGGAAAAGTTAAGCTCTTTTATGACCGTACAAAACTCGAAGAAAAAAAATGTCCCTTAAAGCATTATTGAAGTTGAAAACAATATTTCAAAGGGATCAAAAAGAATTTATTTTTGTAAATTTTCAATTGTTTTAATTATTTCCTGTAAAATATTGGAGCTCAAAAAAGAATTCTCCTTCTGTTGTTCATTTTTGCAGGAAAACTTCAATTGAAATTCAATAGGAAATATATTTTATTCTCTCAAAAAATCACATATAGAACAAATAAAGGTAGAATATTTGATCTCACTTGATATAATAAAAGACAGACATGAAATTTTATAAATTCAAAAAGTTTTTTAAATCAATAACTTATTTTTGGTTATTTTTAATTAACAAAAAAATGTGTACACAATATTTTCATTTGTAATTTTAAAATAAATTTTTTTCAAATGAATATTTTTATCTGATTACCACTCTGTGCTGGAGCTAACTTTTTGAAGAAATGGAATAGGTAAGATTGAATTATTGCTCATTATCTCTTTCACTGGAAACATATTCTCTGGTATAATGAAATATTTTTTTATATTTCTTTTTTCAACAAGATAGAGTAATGCAATGTGAAATTTTTTTATTAAAAAAAATCAACACACTACATTTAAAAAAATACTTCCTTCACTCTTAGAGCTTATTTGCGTTTCTCCATTGGTAAAAAATATTTTTAAAAGAATAAAATATTTTAAAAAGTTTGCAACCAATTGTTGATATCAGTAATGCCTTCTTGAAATTGATATTCTCTAATTAACTTGCAAGTATTAATTCAAATAATCTTCATGAATAATTTAAATTTTCTTAAATTATGACACCATCAAGAATCTTGAAGATACCTGACTCAGTCTCCAATAATCTCCAAATATTTAACCGGATTATGTTCAAAACTAAGATTAAATTAAGACTGGATAGATCTAGCTCATTTTTTGCAGGTGGTCAACCACTGGTACCTGGCTAGCCACTCTGTGCTAGTCTAGCCCATGCCCTACTTAAGTTTTAATAGGATTCATTACTGAAATTTAAGTCAGTATGTAGTTCAAAGATGTAAAAATGTTGTTTAAAAAGATAAAGAGTAAAATGCATGAATTTTAATAAAATCATAAAACAGTGGTCTTTTTATTAAGTTATTAAAAGAATATAAAATAGTAAATGTAAAAGCGCAATTTCCTATTGTAACTGTCTCTATTGTATAAGACTGTTATTACGTATCACTAACGAGCCTTATTCTACATGAACTCTGAACATCTCATCCGGAGCATTATTCCCTTGGTAATAAGTATAAGACAGTATCACGCTCTAGCGGATATCCGTTGAGCTTCCTTGGAATTGTGCCAAAGATGGAAAGAATAGAAGTTTACATGACATGAGTAAATGAAACATCTACCAATCATCCTTAGCGCACGTGCTGGATTTTGACAAATTGCAAGAGTAATCTGTTCCTCATCTAAGTTGCTTGCAGTGAATCAACTACTCAAAACTGTCTTAATGTTTATCCTTTTTGAAGTCATCACAATAAAACAAGACGTCAAATAGTTGTAATAGTTTATTTATCTTCATCAACTTTTTTATTCTTTTTATAGTTATTATTTATTTTTTTTGTTCCATTTGTTATGGTTTTTTAAAAATAAAATTTTCCATTAACAGTTTTTTTTAACTCAATAAATATTTATTTTTTGTATTTTCATTTTTTGAAAGTTTTATAATGTTTTTTATGTTTTTAAAGAATTTTTTAAATATGCAAGTTTACTTTTTTGTTTTCAAAGGATTAGTTTGAACATATGTGACGATTTTATTAAAAATTTTATGATAAAATATTATATAACGTTTGATGGCAAAAAAACTTGAAAGAAATAACTAGAAATTTTTCTACAAATATTTCTACTTCGGCCAATCTTGACAATGTCAGTCTAACAATATTAATAGCATATCATTCTTAATATATAACATCTCATTTATAATTTACAACTTATACATTTATAACATACAACCGATTTTTAATAGATTGTAGATGATAGAAAAAATGAACATAGAGATAATTATAAAAGGGTTTAAAACATTGTAAGTATTATGATTTTTTCGATGTTGAACAATTTCATTTTATTCAAGAATCTCTATTTGAGGTTCAAAATTAAATATTAGACATTGGTTATATACGACAGAGTATTTATGAAGCGTTTAAAATAGTATTCAGTTTAATTAAATTCTGTGACCTAGAAACAGTACGTAGTATTAATTTATGAAAGGCAGCGCAATGGGTATAAGTAAATTGACTTATGTATATAGACACGAGTACGAAGGGAAAGTCGAAGTGTAGCGATTAATGCATATACTAACAATACAAAACGATGTCGAACTATTCGAAAGCTTTGATTGAATTCATTCAATTTGTCTTATTGATAAATTAACCTTAGGCTTTATCAATTAATTTATTTCAATAGATTTCTTGTTTGACAAAAATTCATTTCAAGGCCAATTATGTGAATTTTTTTCTAAAAAATACATTTTAAAATTATTTAAAAATTTCAAATATTTGTATTTTATGAATATGCATGAAAATTAAGCTAAAATGATAATTTTATTTTTTCCACAAAAATTGAAACACTCGTTGTTTATTTTTCGTTTTAAATATTTAGATTGTTAAAAGTAGCCGTAATCATTCTGCACTGCAAGATTTATTTCAGCATTTCACCCTAGAATACAAACGAGTAAAATTGAAAGCATTTATCTGATTTAGTTAATACAAAAATCCTGCATTTTTAAGGACTTAATTTACAGCTTAATTCGAAAAAAATTACTTTGCGAGTTAGAGCTGGCATAAATGAGCAAAAGAAATTTATTTAGTTTCTTGTTCCACTGCAGATTTACTCTACACATGTATACTATAAGCAGATTAATCACTAGATTCTCTCTAGCAATAGTAAAAGCCCTAAGTTAAACTACTATACATTGTACATACATGTATAAGGTGTTTATCCTCAAAATACACCTATACCTAGGTTCCCTATAGAGCTCATTCATATATGTTCTACTTCAATCTTGGGTAGTTTACATATATATTTATTACAATAGGGTAATATCTAAGGCTTTAAAGACGATAATAATTTAACTTTGCAATGCGTATTTGTGCTTATAAGTTTTCATAACTCTCCAGTGAATTTCTCCATTAAATTTATATGGAAATTGATTGCTGAATTTAATGGAAAGATTGATAAATATACTGAAACACTGTAATATATGATTTACGTATTTTTATCATATAAATACACAATTCTTCAATTAATAATATTGAAGAATATTATATAAAGCTCACTATATTTTAATTAAAAATTTTGCCATAAGGTATTATTTAAATAACAATATTTTTATTTAATCAATACCTCTGTTGGTAATTAATTTAAATGATGGTATTCCATTATCCCAAAATAAATAACATAATTAAAAATAAAGTAAAAGATGTTGGTTTAATGAATTTTTTCTTTTAATTACTTGTCTTGATGCAGCTAAAAAAATTTCAAACTTTCATCTACTTTAATTACATTTGCTTTTGATTTTTTTCAATTACAATTGTATTTCATTTTTACTAACATTAATAAATGGCATATTTTATCAATTAATTGTAGTGAAGTCATTCATATTATTCTACATGTTTAATATTAACATATGAACGATCTTGAATTAATAAAAACGTAAGATAAAGTAGTGAAGAAAAATAAAAATACTCACAAGAGCATATCTAGGCTCATTCTGGTAAATTGTTCCAACACGAGTCCAGTTGAAGGAGTTCAATAGAGCCACCCTCGGTGCATTGAAAGCATTTTCCGACGGTACGATTCGGAAGAAGTTGGGGAAATTGTCGCTTGTGAACATTGGATGGGTATCAGCATAACTTAACTGGAATAAAATTTAAAAATTGTATAATATATATTTACGAGTGCATTTTTATAACTTTTCTACTATCATAATTTTTAGTAAAATAGTAGCTTATAAATTGCCTTACTATCCGCTTTACTTTTTCATTCTATGTTCAATGATAATAATAGTAATAATCAATAATCAATAACCATGATGATAGTTATAAAAATTCAGAAAAATGTATATGATGATAAAAGAATTAACATATTCACTGAAAGTCTGTTCGTGACAGTCTATGATATGATAGGCATTTAGAACTGTTACTTTCAACTTATATTGAATAAAAATAAAGCTATAAAGATCAGTTTAGAGTAAATATGAAGCTTGTCGATAACACAAGTAGTGATAAAGAATAATGTCCGGAGGTTGATGTTTGCTTTTAGCTGTCTTATATGTTTATTGATCTGACAAATATGTTTGTCTGCATTTTTATCTTGTTAGTAATTATTCTCTTCCTTAAATAATAATTTACATTATTTTTTAATAATATTAAAACTAATCAGAAGTGAAGAGAAAAATTTGAACATTGATTTTCTATTGAGATAATTAATCTAAAAATAAAATTCGTTTTTAAAGGTTACATCACTTTTTTTAAAAATATTATTCCATTTTTTAGTAAAAAAAAAACTTTCAAGTGATAACAACTTTAGTAATAACTCTTAATGGTTTCAAATATAAATCAAATTTATTACTTTTCAAATTGTCATTTCATTATGCCTTTTTTTTTTCATTTGAAAACAATTTTTTTTTTATTAAGTTATAACTTTTATTCATATAAATGTTTAAAAACACTTTACTTAATTAAAACTTATTTTCAAATAATTTATCTTGTTGGTTTTTCAACAATTTTTCAAAATTTATCTGCAAATGTGGGATCAGTAGTATAACTCAATTTCGATCAGACACCAGAAACATGCAATTGAACCATCCAAAGTATTTATAGAGATAAATATATATCATAAAATAAAAAACAAAATATTCAGAAGTAAAATTGAATTTATTAAAGCTTCATAAATAGCTCTTCAGACTGTATTGAAAATTATTCATTTAACAAATTATCTGTAGATGACCTATATTGCTCTTTTGAAAAAAAAATAGCTAACTATAAATGTAAATTTACCGTAATGATGGCATGTTCTCTTTGATATTTCATCATTTTCTATAAACAAGCTTGAAAATGAAATTGAAAAAAAAATGTATTTGGATAAATAACAAAAAAAATTGATTCTAAATCAGTCAATTTTATTTAGCAAGAATGAAAGCATAGATATTTTGTAAAAGTTATTAAAAAAACTACACTAAAATCAATAAATAGAATCTAAAGTTGTAGGAAATATACATTATCATGATTAAAATTTAATTAACAACATAAGCTAATAAGCAATGTTTTTAAATGTATTCTCTTATTTGCGATGAATGCAAAATATTTATCCAGTATAGAAATAGTGCTTGTTATGATAACTAAGAAAACTTTGCAATTAAATTTCGCAAACCGTTCAGGTTTATACTATTTAGAATTTGGGTCACAAAAAAAAATTCACTGACTATTTTAATTTGATTCAAATACGAAAGTTGAATGCTACATTTTCACATTTAGTAAATGTAAATGTTTTCTTATCAAAGGAAACGTTGAAAATTGTTCATTTGATTGATCATTACACCTCATAGGTAATAGAGTTGAACCAGGCTATTTGAATTGAGAATCATTAAGAGACTATTTAATATTACATCTAAACATCCCAGTTATAATATCCTCCAGCAGAATATCTGTGTTATAATTTCTATTGATTAACTAGCGTAATTCATATTAGGTGTTACCTCTGGGACATGAATAGTTTCCAGTTGAATAAAAATTATCTTATAGTTTAGAGAAAATATTTGCAATGGTTAATTCTTTATTTTTAATGATAGGAGGAAAATGATTGGACAGTTTGTTATGGAATAAATTAATCAGAAAGGATTTAATAATGATTAAAATCGTTGTTGGAGTTAAGATCTACTTTCTAAGTTTTCAATTGCAAAGTTTGGTTAGGAGAATTGAAGTTTTAAAGTTGAAAAAAAGATTTAAAGATATTTTCTAGAAATATCTTTTTTATCTTATTAAAAATTATTTGCGTCACAAGAATAATGAAAAAATAATTCTATATAATGTTTAATTTTTAGTAATTAAAATATATATGAAATTAAATTTTTCTCATCATTCTTCTTTTTGCTAGATATAACTTGATTATATTCTTTTTAATAATTTCAGTAATGTTAAAATTATTTTGGAAACTTCATTAAAAATTTCTTGATTAATAGATTGTTCGTTAACAACTCAAACTACCTCATTGAATATTTGAGCTCTGGATGGTACAATGATTTATTTGTATTTATTAATATATTATATTCCTGTGGGTTATTTCAATTTGTGCTTGATGAGCCATGTTTTATTAATAATCACAAGTATATTTATTGTGAGTATGGAGTAAATATTTCTGATAATTACCAGAAAATAATCGATAACCTACAGCTCTCGACCAAGTTACATTATATGAGATGAAGCAAAGTGAATTGAACGTTCTGCGTAGCTGGCATACTACATAACATAGTATTTACATTCTATCTATATGTAAATGCGGTGTCAGTAGCTTCAATGCAATGAGTGCATAGAAGCACCATTCGCAATACATCAACACATTACCTATGATACTTCGACATATTAATTTATTGGATGATAATGATACTTATTTATGAATGGCATACAGTTGTTATTGCATCAACACTTACTTGAGTAAGACGCCAGTGTTTGGATGCTTTGGCTATTGGATCTGTTACTTGGGTACATGCATCACCAAACAACATCACTTTATGTGGTCCTCCATGCATCATGTCAAAGAATGCCTTCACACCAACTGCTGCATTGCACTGAAATCATATATGATGCTATAATAAATAATGTGCTGATACAAATGTATGAATAATTTTATTTTTTAGTTTTATTTATAATGAAGGTGAGTTTTTTCATTTAAATTTAAGATTTTATAATACCCAACTTGAAATGAGTTTTTTGCCAATTTTTTTTTATTCAGCTTGTGTTTCTACAATGAACATTCTGGTAATTGATTTTTTTTTAGTTATCAAAAGTGGAACATAAAATGAAATATAGGTGTTCAAGGTGAATTATGACATAAAAGTTTTATGGCCATAAAAATTATGACCGTCAGCTTTAAAACAAGGTTACCTCCAACCTACATCCTCAACAATCATGATCTTGATTTTTTAAAACTAGTTAACTGATTGTTATCATTAATAGCTCATCCAATTTATACAATTATTTAGCAATTTTTTATATAACAAATGAAATATTGAATATTATCAGTGAATATTCTATTAAATCTTAAATAGAAATAAAATTTACTAGATAACAAATGAAAAAGTATTTTTTGAAAAAAGATTAAACAACTGTAAAACTGTTCTTTGTTGACTGCGTCATGGCATGTGCATATTACGTAATGTCACTTAACACCCTGAAGGCAAGCAGTGTACTTTGAAATAACGCGCAAAGAGTTTACAGATTTTAAACATAAGTTATATATTTTCAAAGACTTCATCTTAGCTCAAGTTCTGTCTCTTATAAAAAAATTGTTATCCATCATTCAGAAAGTCAAGTTGTGATAGTAACAAAGTAAATGCAACTTAGAAGAAGTTTTAAAATTGTTTTCATATACTCCTTTCCAAAGAGCGGAAATGATCGTTGTAATTTTTTTATTTTCTATTTTTTCCGTCAGAATTAAACTCTTGAGACGTAGAGAATAAGTTCAAGCAATTTAAGCTTTTATACAACTGTAATATTTTTAATATAAAAAGAAGAAAAAAACTTTAATGATTTCTATTAATTCTTACAGAAAAGTTTAACGTCCATGAAATAACAATTTATTCAGAATTTTTAAAACATTTCGAAAAATCACTAGCTTTCAGTCAACAAAACTTTGAAAGCTGTTAATAAATTTATCTAAAATGGCCTGATGGTTTTTGTAAAATAAATTTAATTATAAATGTTGTGACGGACGAATGGTTCAATGTTGCAATATTGGTTGGCAAATTTATATTTTATTTTCACCATTTATGCCCATCAACATTGAAATATTCGTTATCACCATGTCGAAAAAAATCAAAGTTAGAATATAAATTTCATAAAATGTATATCCTCAAAAAACTGATCGTTAATTCAAGCCTGGTTATATTTATGACTACCAAAGATGATTAATATTAACTGTAACAAAATAGGAAACAGATAGCGAAGGTCTACATACTCACAACAAAAAATATCAGAGAATGTATATACTTTGATTTTTATTCGATATGTTTTGTGATGTTGTTATTAATTCAGAATAAAAAACAAATAGAAAGATTTTATTTTGAAATATATTTATATTTATGCCTGGATATTTTAAATGTAAAAGTTTATAAATAAACAAAGTAACGTACTTGTAGTTTCAACTTATCATGATAGACTTTGTTTATTTTAACTTGTTATTTTTCTCAAACTCTGCTGATAGACTATTGGGACATATCATTTGCAACAAAACATGAAAGCTCTATTTTTTTTATCACAAACGTCATGTACTGAAGTTTTTTTTTTAACCATTTTACGTTGTCTGCATGAAAAAATGGAAATTAAACTTATTTTATAATATAGAAAAGAAAGAAATGGAAATCGAGATATAATTAAAACGAGTTCCGTTACCATATCGAAAATTTTTACAAATCATACAAGTCTGTTGGAATGGACTGGATGCCCATAAGCGCTAAAAAGAAAAAAAATTATGAAACCAACAAAAAAAATTGAACAAAAAAATTACAAAGTTATTTTTACATACGTACAACATGTAATAGTTTTTTCATCAAATTTTTCTCAGAGACAGTTTATCAACTTATTACCAATAAATGTGCGTTACATTTTCCTTAATAATTTTTCAACCCTTAAATCAAATCATCACGCATCTCACGTTGGACGAATATCTAGAAAATCCAGAATTATTTATCAAGAGACATGAGTATTTCAATCATGACTGAATTTTCAATTTCACGATACTTTAGATTACTTTTCCTCTGACTTCAATAGGAATTTTTTTTTAATTGTATCGAATATTGACGATTGCAATACTGATAATAATAATAGTAATATTATAAGCATACTTTACATAAAAGTTTTTAATAAATTTAACTTTTACCTATGGAAATTTATTAATAATTTTGGTTGAAGAGTGATAAGTTACTATTAAATATTATATCTAATTGGCATTACTTTTTAATTTAAATGTTTAATTGTTTAATTTTTAATCTAAAAAATTTTAATTAAAGTTTCAATTGAAATCTGATATTCATTTTAGCTTCTTCATTGTCTTTACACAGGGATTAGAGTGAGTAAGAAAAGTCTAATCTTCGTTAGCAACTATCAGATTAAAAGGAGGAACAAATATTAATTTTTAATTTATATAATTAATTTGATAATTGTATAGATAATATTTCATGTCATTTATTTTAATATCTCATTGAAAAACTGAAATTTCTAGATGAATAATTATTTTATTGTTGAAATATTGTCTCTTTAGTATTTGTAATATAATTGTAAATATTCATCATCGTGGAGAAAATTTCTTTAAATAATTAATCCATTTTTTAATACATGAAAACTAATTTGTAAGTCAATATTTAACATTGCTGTTTTAAAAAATTTATATGTATATAGAGTTATGTATGTGTTTTGAAAAGAAGAAGTTTTCATATTGAAATTAACACAAGTTAACATACCCATTTACTTTATAAAGAAACTCGTGCATTCATATTTACATATTTATTTATTGTTGAAAGTTAATATTTATCGTATATTAATTTTGATTTTGTTTACTTTGCGTATTTGTGTATTAGTAATTATTAATTTGTTAACAACTCATAATAATTATTAATTAATTTCTATTAAAATATTATTAAATTATTCGCTTATATTAGTAATTCATTATTTATCATTAGTTTAATAATATTTGCTTTTAAGATGATGGTATTTAATACAATTTTTCCCGCATTTCACTTTCAAAAGAATTAATAAAAAAAAGTGCTCACGTAATATTTCATGAGTAGAATATTAGACTGGTTCTTATTATATCGTAAGATATTATGAATAAGATATTCAGATATAGAATGAATGGAGTGATTGCTCAATTCCTCGATATGTGAAAAGAATTTACCACAATACACCAAGGATTCGAGTGCAGGGGAATTTTTTATGCCATACAAAAGGCTTTACACTGGAGAAGAGTCCTGCTATAAAATTGAAAAAAAAAAATTTTAATAGGATTTTTCAATTTTATTTTTATTAAAAAATAAATCAATAAAAAATAAAAAATCTTTTGAATTCTTCAACTTAAACTTGCGGTTTTAAATAAAAATTCTCAGGCATATAATAAAAAAAAAAATTGAATCTAACATAGATATAATTTTGAATGACATATTACCAAATACATCATGACGCAGCTTTAAAAATTTCACTCTTCATGCAGCCAAGTAAGTTTCTCATTTCAAAATAATCCCAAGAATTTTTTTCGTATATTCTACTCTTAAAGCAACATATCCCTTTGATGTGAAATACTTATTCATCTAGAATTCCATTCACGAATTGAATCCTCTAGTGAAATAATTTCTATGTCATTTGTATGTACGTTTGCAACGAATAAGTAGAGATATATATTGGGCAATATATCAGGAGTAAATCCTAGACAGGACAGTCAACAGAATGGACATGTAACTATATTAGTTAATGAGCTTGTATATAAACTAATACGATATAATCGAGGTTGATTTAGAATTGTTAATATATATATATATATATCTATATATGCAATATACATATACATTTGTCTAGAGCACATATATATGGTTTAACCCAGCCAAAGAGAATAACCGCAAATTGTTGAGTTTCAACTTGCAAAGCATTCCGAGTCAAAGATATAGAGAGAGAAATGGGTACAGTAAACGCCAAGAGACAGGGTTGGAGAAAGTGAGGGATGGAGTTCTCCAGTTAATGTTACACAGTTGAGTGAACCACGCGCGTATCTAGCAGAATTGAATTATTCCATCGAGTACAATCGCCTTCAGTTATTAGGTAAGAGAGAGTGGCTGGATTTCCGGTACATACTTCTCTTCATGTATTCAAGTGTCTATCGATTATATTACGGAGGCTTCTTTTATTAGTGAATTCATTATTATCTCATCTTTAAATATTCCAATAAAACGCCCTCAACATTTATTACGTAAATATAACCAAATGTTGAACAATCTTAGAGGAAAACATCTTCAATTAATGGTGCCAATAAAGTACGTTTTTTTGCCGGAAGAATTTTTATGAAATGAAAATGTTATTTTTGTGGGGGAAAAAAAAGAAATGAAGTTGAGCTTGGGTATATTATACAAACGTTCATTAGACCAGAATAATTACGTTATTATAATATCATTTTTTTTTGCTAATATCATCTGTATATTTTTGATTTTAATAAATTTTTTTATAAATAACAATAAAAACACAACTGTTTTGTAGAGATCGAAAATGATTGTTTCAAAAGCATATCTATTTAGAATATTTTGGAGTAGACTAAGCAAATTTGGTCTTTTTCGGAGCAAAGAGAGAAAGGTATGCAGAGTTTCAATATAGGTTCAATTCAGAGTTTCTCTTCCACTTATTCTAGTGGAAACCATAGTAACAGGCTTTGTTTCCAAAAACAGAAAGCTGCTCAGCTTTGTATTGAAGTAAGCAGAATGAATGAATTAATATTTTATTTAATTTGAAGCTCATCAATGAACAATCTCAATTATTTATAGATTTCATAGATTATTTTTTTCTTTAATAAAATGATTTTTTTTTCATCAGA